CACTCGAGAGCATGCCACGTATAATTGTCCGTGTGAAAAACACGGTGTTCTCAAATCTAAGCCACAAATAGACATCGTTTGTCCTTGGGATTTGTTGGTTGTCATTGCAAATGCCAATCTAATCGGAAACTGAATACGTTTGAATTGAGTTGGCACATCTGTAGGTATAATAGGAATCCGTGGTATTAATATATATTCACCTCGGAACTTGCCATTTTATATGCTGGTTTCGATCACGTTTTTCATTAATTTTTGAATGACTAATCGCGTACCGTTGCACAGCCGGAGTGGGTTCAAATTACGAAGCAAGATAATCGCAGATCCAACCTTTAATTGTAAATTATGCGGTGGCATGCCTGGTAAATCCAGTGAGTTCAAAAACTCTGTGGGAAAATTTACTGCTTCGCTGTCGTCGCAAACTGTATCAATAGATTTATATGATACCAAGTTCCCTGGCAACAACATTTGTATCTTCAGATTTAAATTGTCAACGTCTACATTTTTTGCCGCTAAAATTGCTCTTTCTGCAAACCACTCATGATGTATGTACTGTGTGTGTACATCGGGAAATATTTGTTCAATGAGAATATCTTGCGAATCAGCGATTGTGCAGAAATCGGTCGGTAATTTTACGTATCCAGTTTCATCTATAGCAACTTTTCCATCACCGATATCTAGGAGTTGTTTTGAAAATGTTTCAGCGGATGGATCTTGAAGCATTTGAACGCACACATTTACTTTCAGCTGTACTTTTTCAACATTACGCCACAATGGAGATGATTTTAAGCAAGCGTTGATCTCATCAGCGTATGTTGAACGTGGAATGACTGGAAGTGTTTGCCTGAAATCACCTGAAAGGACCAACAGAGTTCCGCCAAATAGATTGTCGTTGTTTTTAATATCTTTCAATGTCCTGTTCAACGCCTCAAGCGAATGTTTGTGTGCCATAGTACATTCATCCCAGATGATAATTTTACACTGTTTCAGCACGGTGGCCATGGACGATTGTTTTTTAATGTTGCATACTGCGTCAGGGTTATTCTGAATATTTAGTGGCAGCTTAAATACTGAATGAGCTGTTCTGCCTCCATCCAATAAAGTTGCTGCAATGCCCGATGATGCAACGGCCAATGTGATGCTATTATTTGATCGTATTTCAGCAAGAATTAGCGAAATAACGAATGTTTTGCCAGTTCCACCCGGTGCATCCAAAAAGAAGAACCCACCTTGTCCAGCTGAAACTGCGAGCATTATGCGATCATAAACGGTTCTTTGTTCCTCATTCATTAGTGNATAATATTCAATATCGGGCTCATACTGGAATGCTAGACGCAGGAATGAATCAGATGTAAATGCTCGATGTACCTGTTGTCGTTGTTGGTCATTTGTTCTACGTCTATTGACTGTGAAACGGCGTGATTGTCGTTGTTCTAATCTTATTACTTCATTGCGTTCAGCTCGTGTGTCTTCTGACTCTTCTTGACGCAATTGCGCCATTCTGACACGTGCATCAGTATTTTGTTGCTGGATTTGTTCTTCGGTTCTTTCGGATCTTCTATTTCGCAAGCTTCGAGATTTACTTGTATTACGGTTCAAATCAGCCCCTTTGCGTTTTGTTGGCATTGAAATATGTGCAAAACACACGTACATAGGTTAGGTTAGGTTAGCAAAATTAGCCAAATCGGCCCAGCCGTTCTCAATTGTTATTGGCACGCGGGTGCCACGGAAGCCAATAATAAAAAATAACCACATAGAGTGTATATTATCTCTCCATGACAAAATAATAATTGTTGAATATCGTGCGTGCTAGTATACTTTGACTTAAGAGGCCATACCTCCGGAACCACTTATCGCAGAGCATACAAACTTAGATAGTAGCCGATTCTCAGACCTACTGAATATGCATATAAAATTTCATGCGAATCGATCAAGCCGTCTCGGAGGAGTATGGGAACGAACATTGTGACACGATAATTTTATATGTAAGATTAATATACAATAAACAGTACAAAATCAGGGAAAACTCGAGAAAAACCGGTAAAAATTTAACAGTTTTTTTCCCATTCATTCGCGAACATAATATTATCATTAAGCCGTTAATCGGATATGCAGATTTTCACTTTTTTTTTTTTTTTCAAACAGTATTCACGTGGGCGATTATTTTTAATAATATATTATACAAGTCACAGTCATTAGTATGCAGTGGCTAAACGAACCTGTAACAACCCAAGTGCATCCTATAATCTACTCAGTACCCATTAACCACCAATAGGCCCAATATTTTACTATGTTTTCATCTATTTTTACTGAATTCGTAGTAAACTGATAATATTATTTATTTGTGTTCACATTGAGCATCCACCGAATCCTAAATCCTGAAAATACCGCGTAGTAAATAATCTTAGTTAATTTGTATTAGTGTGCGTACGTGTTCGATAAAAAAAAATATCTCGTATATGTACATGAAATAAAACGAACAATTTTTTTATTTACAATAAGTGTACAGTAGGTGTTATTGAATACCAGCCAAAAATATTAAGCCACTTGCCGTTTGCGTGCGTTTCTTAACGCCGCGGCGTTAATCGGATTTAAAAAATCGCATGAATGTAATGTGTATTAAACGCGCGTCTATGTGCAAGTTTAATTAAATGTTAATGCGCACTATAGATTTGAAACGTAAAAGCGGTAGTGCGCATTTAATTAGCCGCAGTGGCGAAAATCCGTCGGCGCCGTTGTTAGGTGTCTGCGTCGAACTTTTCGTTTATTTTACGGTCGTTTCCTATAGGTGAGTTAATGGTCGCGCGTTCCGAAATGTTTTTAAATTAATTTTAATCGACTGCCGCGGTAAATTTGCGGCAAACAGCGATACAATTATCACCCCGATACCACTATACACGGGTAGTTATGGTATGGTATTAAAATAATGTGTGCGCGAGCTAAATGCGTTTTGAACGTGACTGCCCGTAATCGACAAGACGATCAAAGTTTAAGCGGTTTACGTTATTTGCATGGTCGGTGTGTACGCACGCACACGTCAAACCAGGCAATCATATTTACGTTACTGCGGTTCATAATCTTTCGATTAAAAATCGCGTGTACGACATTTATTCCTAAGTGCTGGTGTAATCAGTGGCGCCGAACACGGGGCTCAGGTCTGGTCAAGACCAGGCCATATTTTCGGGACGGTGGCGGTCGTTATAAATGGACAGAATTCCTCTCCCGTTCATAAATATTATTTAAAATAGATACTAGTAATATTAGTAATAATATATTGCTATTGGTTTGAGCTTTGACTGATAATGCGTTAGCGCATGGTATAATATTTAAATTAACACAATGAGGGGAGGGGGTTATGGAAGACGGAGCAGCCCCAACACTTACGGCTAACGAATAATAACCGCCGACCCGACCATTTCAAAACAGATTCGGCGACGTTGCAGCACCGTTGATATTTGCGATATTGTAAAACGAAAAGCGGCGCGAAATTCACCGACAGTATATGAGACAATTTGATCCTGGTAAACCGGAGCCAGATTACAGGAGGTGTGCGCTCTCGGTGGTGTCATGTGAAGGCCGGGGATACGTTTACCTAACTTTTAGACCCTCGTCCGTGGAAGTCAACGTTTTGAATAGTCTCTGAATATTGAGTCTAAAACTCGAAGTATCGAATAACGTTTCATAGAGTGTACATTTTGTTTGCATCCCCATCGATTTCCCGGTTTCCCGACCAATTTCGTGAGTTTTAACGACGATTTTTTAACATTAAAAATAAGATATCATATTTCAACGCCGCGAAAACATGCGCTTTTTTTTAATGTACGTAAATCTGATATGCTTATTAAATGAAGAGCGATATATTCAAGCGAATCGATAACATTTTATCGTTTCGGTAGAGAACTCCTTTTGTCATCGATCAACTCGACGAGTTGCCTCAGTTCATAAAAAACTATTGAAATGACGTCATATTTTAGCCCTCCCGCTAAGAAAAAAGACGTCCCGGTAAAAAGTTTTAAAGACTTCATAAACACGCCTGTACAAACGACTTTTACAAAGTTATTCGTGAAACTGCCAAGTATCGCAAATTAAATGTTGTTTAGTTTATTTAACGACACCTCTCGTCGTAGCCCACTGGTGAATTGCTGCTGACCTCTTTCCCCTCACCTCGTCTTTCCCGCCAAATCGTACATATTATCGAATTTCGGAAGGGATATGTACACATTTACAGGGGCTAAGCCCCTCCTTATAGCCTCAGCGACCCCTCTTGCAGGGTTATGCCGGCGAATTAACACGTATAAACGGTTTTTTTTTCTTCTTACTTTTGTACAAAATAAAGGCCACTCTAGTTTAAACTTTCCGTCACTGTGTCGCCGTCGATAACGCGTTTTATAAAACCGTACACGGTCGCACGGAAAATGACGCGTGCGACACGACCGTAAAATAGACGTTTTTTTTTTTCTTTTTCCAAAGGGGGTCGGGTTGTCGTGTGTAAACCGCGCGCAACAGTTGTGAATATTATTATTGTTAATAATATCATTGCGCGTGTGTTCGTACAAAAATATTAATAATAATTTTTGCGGAATTTTAATTTTCGCTCGTCACGCGTCCCGGCGGCCGAAAAAACCGCGTGGCTCGGGAAACCCTTCGTGCATAATGCAATGGACGGATAGGCCGCCTGCCGCGGCGGTTGCGGTAGACCGGGCCGGGCGTCGTCGATCGCATCCGCCGGGCGGCGTCGTGGGCGCCCGACCGTCTTTGAAATTGATCGGTCAACGCGGCGGCGGCGGCGGCGGCGTCGAGATGGTAATGCCTACGGCGGCGGCGGCGCCGGGCGTTTTTGCGCCTGTGTGAAAACCCGGCGGCGGCGGCGGCGGCGACGGTCGCGGGACAAACGACACTCGTGCGCGCACCGCCCAACAGCTGGCCGCCGCGCCGCATAGACACTCGTACTGTTATTATTATTATTATTATTATTATTATTATTATTAAAGTTCTCGCGGTAGTGTGTGCGTGTGCGATTCTGCGTGTCGCCCATCGACCGCGGACTTGTGTAATATCAACGCACTCTCGCGTTCGCCGCATCGCACGTGCGACACACAGAGCGTTTAACGGTTTACCGTGGTACGTCGCGCGTCCGTTTTCCGCCCGCGGTCACGGTGATTTTCGCTGGACGCCGACGCGCTATCGTTGTCGTTGACGACCGCGAGTTGTTGCCGTTGTCGCGGTCGTTCCTACTCTCGTCGCCGCCGCCCACGCGTACTATCACGCGCGCATACGACGCGCACCGCGTCCGCGGTTATTATTGTGCACGCGCGCAATAACCGGACGTCGAACGGCACCGCCGCCGTCGTAGTCATGTCCGACGAAGCACCTCCGCCGGCGCCGCCGTCACAGACATCGCCACCACTTACGCCGCTGCCGCCGCCGCCGCCGCCGCCGCCACCGCCACCGGCACAACAATCGGACGACGACGGTGATGGAGGTGGTGACGGAGAAGACGGCGGCGAAGACGTTGCTGTGCCGGCACCAGAAGCGTCCACTGCGGCGGCCGACCGGGGTAAGAAAATAACTTTGCATGCGAGGGCGCGGGGCGTCATAGTAAACACAGTATGAATATTTTACGAGCCCGCGTGATGGTAAACATTAAGTACGACGAGCGCGTTGCCAAAGTCGTGTACTGCCCGTGCTCGTATAACAATATAATATAGCGAACGTCGAACCCCGCTCCCCCCCCCCCCCCCCCCCCCCACCCGCCCCCTCAGACCTCCGTTTTCTCCGGTACAGACGATATCGATTCGTCCGATTACAATCGGACACACATTGAAAAGGCGACCTTTTGTCGTGCGTATTATATCACTTGTCTCCCCGTCACCCCACGGCCAATTAAATATACCTGCATACGCATGTATCCGTGGCAACGGGATTACAGGGAAAGGGACGTTCGGGTTGTTGAAAATCCCTCCAATCTCGGGGATGGGGAGGGGGAAATAATTTAAAAACAATTTAATACGGTCCGCTTTCATAGCGGATCTGCGCAAATCCAAAACCAATGGGTATTTATTTAATTGTTCAAGGAACACCTTATCAATCGTGTCACTCTCTCAACGATTGCAGTATCCGACTATAAAACATAACATATAGATCAACAAAATTGTAAGTAATAACACGTATATAGTTAATAAACAAACAAAACAATATTCCGCCAATTATATTATATTGTATAATATATGATAGTTTAAAACAAATTACGATTACATTTGAAGTTTGATACGATTGTTTTGATTATTATTGGTAGGCACGTATCATTTATTCAGTATTATAAACATTGTTCCCATAATAATATACACTTTGGATTGCTGACTAAAATATGGAAGTATATAACTACGTAATCCCCAAAACTATAAAATTCCGAAATATTAAGTTCCTAAAGCGAGTTCTAAATATATGTAATACACTTTATTCTGAAACTATACGCGCACCCCCGCAACCTGACCGCCATATAGTCGCAAAGTCCTAAAAACTCCAACTGTCAAATCTCGCCGTATTCCAAAAGCTGACCGAAAATGTACAGCGTTCGAGTGGCTTAATCATACACCACGCTCCTGAAAGTTTTCAAAACGTGCCCATTATAGTTCCGTTGCACTTCACAAACAGTCTCACTTACCCTATCTATGTCTCGCAACAGTCGCAACAAATTGACGTCACAATATTATTATTAACCCGTTTTACGGTTTCGGGCGAAATTGTCCAATCCGAAGCTGCGAATTTACGATAAACTATATGCAAAGTTATGTCTTTTCTTTTTAAGGGACAACGGGCTGTATGACGAAAGCGAATAGCCGTCCATTTTTTGTCCTCCGGTGTTCTCTCTCCGTTGTTCTCCAGGTTCCACCGCTTCTACATCCCTACCAACACATCTTAAGCGAGGTCGGCATTAGTAGTGACTTTCCGGTCGGGTTGTTTTCTATAACATCCCTTATTGTCGGTCCCTGTTTTTCCATGCGTCATCGCATGTACTGCACATTTTATTATTTTCGCTGACATTTATTTTCGTGATGCTAGGGCATCCTCACGTTTTCCAAACAATTATTTTCAGAACTTTTCTTTCGAAAACTTTCAGGTTCCGACCTTTTGCACGTCTGTTACGCAATCATAATAACGTGCGCTTTTTTCGAAAAACACTGTCCACTCGTGGAACTATTCAAACCGAATTCAGTTTTTGTAAGTACAACCATTAGTTTTTTCATTAAGTACCTATTATTATTATTATCAATAGAAGCCTGTCCACGAATAACAATTCGAGCCGATTATGTAATAATAATTGTAAGTGCTCGTTAACCGAGTTGTAGGAGGTAGGTAGGTATATACTTTTTGTTTCGTTATTATATAGTCTCAAGGCCACGACGTAACGACGTACAACGTCAATACTATGTGAATAATAATGTTATTATATCATTTTTTTTTTTTTTTTTGAGAAACTATCAATACAAATGTCTATCACATTCGACCGAAAAATTCGTCGTACACACGTACCTATCCATATATATTTAGGTATATTATAAAATATATTGCATTCAAGGCGAAAGCTAAAAGCGTTGAATTATTTAATTTCCGAAGGAAAGAAAAAAAGAAATACGAGTTCGGTAGAATATTGTAATATACCTACCACCGGCGTCCCGTTTGAGAATTTTATGCGCGACGATACATTTATAACACGGCGCGTACAAAAAGACCGCAAAAGGTTTTCGGTTAAATCGGTTCGCGTGTATATTATTACGGTTAAATGATCGTTCGGACGCCGGTGATCAAAAGCGTTTATCACATGCTAATATATTTATAATGTCGGACTACTGGTTTAGTGTAGGCACACCTTGAAGAATTATTATTTTAAATATTCTCTTTCTCTCTTCTAACGCTATGATGACAATATGATGATTGCTATCATGTTGTACAATATACTGAGGATTTTTGTCGCCATCACTGCACTTCACCGTCTGTCTCTGTCTCGAACTATCTATGCCTCATTCCCTGCAGGCCTTCCAAATCCCCTTCTACCACGTCAACCCATCTTTTCGTGGGTTTTCCTCTAGGTCTTCAACCCCGAGGTTTTCACTCCGTATCTCATCACGTGACGTAACCATTGAATTCTTTGGTCCTTAACGTAACTGATATTGGTGCTGATTCCGTCATATCGCACAGCTCTTTAACTTCCCCAATTCCTCGTTGTTTTATCGATGACGGGCCCACATGATATTTTCTTCTAGATTGAGTTCTAAAATGTTCTCAAGCTTCTCTCTGTTTGGTCGTCGACCGAGCTTCGCGTCCATACGTTAAAATTGGTCTTATATTAATGGCTCGGATGAAAATACTCGAATTTGAAAAATAATCAAAAAGTTCTGTTTTGTTTTGTTTTTTTTTAATTTAGGCGTATTACTACTGTTATTACCCGTTGATACCGGTTTGATAAACAGTCATAGTTTGTCAATTGCGATGCCGCCGCCGTCGTCGTTTGTATTACTCGTCGGGTTTACAATATAATGTAGCTGATGATCCGCCGAAATCTCTGGATTATTCGTGTGCACGAATAAAACTGTTTAAATGTACACAACAAGTTTATATTATTCTATACTCGAGTATAATTGCGCGTTACACAGCTGATCATCTGCGTGACTAATATAGGAACACCGACAATATCCCGGCTCTATACAAGTCTGTCAAGATTACGCGAGGGTTATACAAAGTGCCAAATTTAATAATCCAATCTAAATTCGTTTCGTGTCGAAATCGTGTTGTTTCTGTAACGGGATCAGGCGAATGGTCGTACAATGTTTCTAAACGACTAGAACCGTCATCGTAAATATCTATAATCTACATATTACTCCTTATCTGGCTGGCTTTTGTTATGAATGTTATTTCCCTTCAATGTTCAATAATTTACAAAACGATATTTTATCTCTAATGTTATTACTTATTACACCGACAATAATATTATTATTACCGCTCGTCTATTAAAATTATCTAGCTGAAGTGGTTGGTATACGATTGGTGTACATTATATTGTACACCGTCGTGTGTTTTACTCAAATGGTGCCATAAAAATATTTCAGCCGGATAGACATGGTTTGAAATATAGTTTTTTTTTTTTTTTTAGGAAGATCGGCGTTCCAAAATATACATTCGTGCATGCGAAATGAAACTTACATTTTCTTAAATGGAAACGTCTATTTTTAACATAGTCCAATAATTTTCCTTCTCAAAAATGACCCGAGATTAAGATTCATTATAAATTTCTAGGATTTTTTTCTAGAATTTTCAAAACATTTTGAACTTTTGTTATTATACAGAGTGATCAATCTACCGTATGACGATCATTATCTCGGAAAGTATTAACTTTTTTCGGAATTTATTTTATAGAATATTTAAGAAACTAGCAGATCTGCAATTTTATATTTATATTATCTTTTGTCACCCTTATTTTTTTGGGAACAAAACTAATTCCTACTTTTAATTTTTAAACGACGGCTTATATTTAAAATTCCATACATAGATGGAGTATTATCTGAAATAATTTTTGATGTTGAAATTTTTGATTTCTGTCGATCCGTTGACGAGATTGACGTCGGGAGAGAGTACTGGAGCTTTATATATGACAAATGTGTGGCGGTGTGGCGCGCTGCATTAATAAATATATCATAAAATCTTATGACTCCACTAAAGATGTGTGAGACCCCCTCAAAATGTTTACTTAAATATTAAATTAAAACGCCCAACTTTAAAAAAAATCCTGCGTTCGTTTTGAATTAAACATACTGAGTTAGCCCGAACTTATTCAGTTATCGTTTTTATAATTATTTAGGTTAGGTTTCCTTATATTTTGTGGAACGAATGACCTAATCTAGTATACTATTATTTGTATGTGTTTTTTATTTAAGGGTCCGAACCATTTTTACATATTGTTATTGTACACGCGATGTCCTGCAATATAAAACAAAATAATGCAGTTAAATTCTATAATAATACAATATTATGCTGACTATACACAAGTGCATTCGACAAAGGTCATCGCATACACAAAGGAAGGGTACTTTTAGTAGATTGATGTAATTATGTGTTATAAACGCGTGTAATTGATTAATTAAGAACTACAACAGTTGCGAGTTGAAAGGTCGGGGAAATTTTAACAGCACACGTAGTAAAACCACTTTAAACAATATTGTATTATTATATTACTACATTAGACCTTTATTGTGTCAGTGTATTTAATTTGTTTACTGCGTGTACATCAAAAGGAGCCAGTCGTAGTACATAGTACATAATCAGAATTTCGTAAAGATTTCGAAGACAATATTTGTTATACCCGTTTATTCGATATAATTTGTACGGCGTATCTATTCATGTTAATTTTACTCTTGTAAAAAAAAAAAACTCCTTACAATTATTTCGAAAATATTATACGCTTATATTTTTACTACGCCATTGCCTGTGTTATTTACAATTTTTCACTTGTCGGACCAAAATCGCTTTCAAACTTTTATTCTTCACGATTTTTTGAAAATAGTTTTAAATACATGTATTATATATACAACTGCGAGTTGATAATATTATTGGGTAAAGCGTGTTACACGGTCATTTTTCATTACTGTCTCGAAATTTTTATTTTAAAATATAAATTTAGTTATCGTTCTACAGTACAATAATAGGTGCGTCAACGTATTTTTAGACTTCAAGCGGAACGTGGGAGTTATTAATTTTATGCGTTGATGTGGACGTACGGGATTTTTTTCTCGGTGTAATAATTCCCCGGTACAAATCACGCTCAAAAAGTTTAAATTTCAAAAACGTGTTATAAAATTAACTTGGTATAAGTATATAGCTATCTAGCCGATAACCCCGACGTAGAGGTCGCCCATTGTATTTTCCGTAGTTAAATGCCACGCGAAAAATTGCGAAAAAAATGCGCGAATGATGTAATAATTATATAATGTAAATGTTTTTCCTAATTTTTGACCGAAAAAATAAATCTCAAATATCATTTTAAATTCACCCTGTGAAATAGCTAGTAATTATTCCACGCGTCTTAAAAACATCTACCTATCTTTCAAAATTTTTCAATTTTCATAACTGATATGGAGATTTCATCAAAATTCTCATGCATTTGTTGTACAATAGTATCAACAACCGCCAGAGGTTAAAGTGAAGAGACGTTAGAATTATTATTCTGACAAATGTTTAACGAAAATTAAAAACTGTAATTGGTTTTATAAAAAATACATTTTTTGCTGGACTCTGTTTGTCTTTAATTTTATTGAGAAGAAGAATTCGTAGGATAATACTCAACGGGAGGGGGTGTAGTTTATATTTAACTATTGTCAGTATAATAAATTTACTAACAGATGTGTTTGCGAAAGAAACGTATCGGAAGTCTTATCTCCACGGTGGGTTTGGTAAAAATTTATTAAATTTAGTCAGTTCCCAGGAAAGCTTCTTAACTGGCTCGACTTTTAAGTCGTTTTAAGTTAACATATTCTCCCTTCAAGGATACCCCATTTTAACAATCAACTGACTTTTGCAAAATTCACAGATGGTTTTAAGTATTGAACTAGATTTACAATTAATTCAAGAGCCGGCTCTTCAAATTACCAAATAACTTTTCTTTTTTTCTAAGCAGAAGCGTACGCAGGATTTTACTTCAGTTAGGGTTTATATTATAGACATAGGCGTATACAGGAGGGATACCAGGTATGCCATGGCATTCCCTGTGGTCTGCGGGGCAGTTTTTAGTTCTTTACTATTTAGTGAGGTATTTTATAAAATTTGTTATAAACCAGTTTTCATTTAAGAAATGTTGATAGTTAAACTTTCGTTTTTTGTTAAAAAAAGATTAAATGGTTACATCACGGTCTCTTTAACCATGGTTTTCTTCAAGTACATTTTAGTGATATTGGGAGTTGGGAAATGACATATCACTTCGACGCCAGTAATGTAACCATTCACGTTACCTTGCAGAGTTGCACATAACCAATAACCAAAAAGCAGCCTGATAACATTATTCGTGCAAAAATTATTATTACTATCATAATTTTAACTAGTAAATATTGAATGTTTTTGTAAATTGTATAATTGTGTAAAAATAATTTTAAAGAAAAATTTTGATTTACGTCTTTAAGAAGGCAGTTAAAAATTCATCTATTTTGAAATATACCTACTGGCATTCCCCGTGAAAAAAGTCGGCGCACGCCTATGATTAAAGGTCGATCCAAGACCCGTGGGGGGGGGGGGGCAGAACTTATACATTTATAATTCAGTTAAAAATATTTGTAGTAACTATTATAGTTCAATTAAAAATATGAAATTGTATAATTGGAAAATAATCATAAGAATTATAATCATAATGAGCGTCAAAAATAATAATAGCAATAGTAAGCGTAATAATAATCAGCATAACAATGATAATAATAATAATCAGTGCAATAATAATAATAATAATCAGTACAATAATTATAATAATAATAATAACAATAAGTATAATAATCAGCATAACAATGATAATAATAATAATCAGTGCAATAATAATAATAATAATAATCAGTACAATAATAATAATAATAATAACAATAAGTATAATAATAATCAGTATAACAATGATAATAATAATAATCAGTACAATAATAATAATAATAACAATATAACAATGATAATAATAATAATCAGTACAATAATAATAATAATAACAATAAGTATAATAATAATCAGCATAATAACAATAATCATTAAATTAGTCTTTTTATCGTTTTTACAAAGGTAGGATTTAGATCCACCCATCATGCGAAGTGTCTCCATCTTTTTTTTTTATCAAACATTAATATTAAATTTAATTATTTCGCACCCTCCACCCTATAGTCAAGGTCTGGAGACGCATCTGCTTTATCCTCTGGCAAAATTTGATATTATTCTAAAAAAAAATTCACGAAAAAGTCTGAATAAGTTTTAAATGCTATTTTTCCCTTCCGTTATTTGGTCAAAATTGCATAAGTGTTTTAGTTTATGTACAAGTGTATGCGTTTTTAAAATCTAATTTCCTTATAATGTCGACTTAAATCTTTCCCCGAGACCAAAGATAAATGCTTGTTATAAAATATTGAAATAAATGTATATATTTGTACTTGCGTTTATAAACCGAAGTCTATAACAAGTCTAACAATCATAACGACTGTCGTGTACGGACGTTGTGATTATTTTCTCGGAAACATTTATGGGCGGCAATACACGTTATATTATACACGCTGCCACCAATACAGGCAGTTGCGGCCGTGTGCTAAAAGTATGTACGTAACAATAAACAACTCGCTTTCGGCGAGTTTAACGAAATAATTCGGACGCACGACACGTCTTACCCACACAAGACACGCACACCCACGCACACGAATATACGAGAGTAAAACGCATAGCCCGCGAGGATGTGCAGGACAGTAGAGTAACCGGGAAAAAAATGTCGGGGGAGGATTTCCCCCCCCCCCAATTATCGTGAAAACTACGCAGAAAAGAAAAGTTACCTCCCCGTTGCACCGGCTAAATTTGAAACGCTCCAAAAGAAAGCTCTCTTGTCATTATATGATCGGAGTACAGAGACAGGAAAAAAAGCGTACATTTCATGGTAAAACAATACGCCCATCTATTCCTCGCTACGCTCAGAATCTAAAATACTCCCTTTTGGGACCAAAAATACAATACAGACGAATATTATTATAGTAATAATTCAGCGCGCGTATTTTATTATTATTACAAATTTTTTTTTCTTTTTCACAGATGTCAATTCCGTCGGAAAAATTAACACGCGCGTTATTGTCGGCGTAAACAATTAAAATTAAAACGGCAACGAACAAAAGCGTAATAATACGCCGTTTCCCGTTTAACGATATCGTAGCCCGCGATCGTGTAATATCCCCGCGCAGCAAGTCCGCGTGCCGTCCGACAATTAACGCGCCGACAATTTCCCCGCGTGCGTCTACACCGCGCTACACCGTTTACACTGTTGTTGCACTCGTTTTACCACCGTGTCCGGTATACGCGTACGGTGTAGCTGTGCTCTCCGAAGAAATACGCCTACAGAGCGTCTCGCGGAGATCCGACACACGCGATATGACTTTTGTCCCGCTCGATATTTTTAGATTCTTGAGAATTTTCCGGGTTTTTTTTTTTTTTTTCAAAAACAATTTTGTCTTTAAAGTCCGAGATAGCGGCATTTTATTCATTTGTTTTGCAATAAAAAAAAAAAAAAAAATTTTGGTATTGCAAATGTTTACTATGTATATATAATGACGAATCGTTAATTTTCCACAGTATCTTTTGAATTCGACGATAATTCCAATTGTTTTCATTGTCACCACTAAATGTGACGTCAATCGATTCGCCAATTTCGTGTAAACTTCCAAAGACCGATTGTATAACACTGACGTTTCGTTTCAAAATAAACGCACAAAATGTGCAAATCTCGGCCTTTGTAATATAACTATTTTAAATTTAAAAATAAAAATTTGTAATGTAAGAATCGTGTAGCGTAAGAGTGTGCGAGCAATTGCAGTTATAACGGAGATAAACTTATACACACATATTGAACAGAACGAAAGTTTTTGCATATGCCAGATTTCCGTGGGACACCCTGTATAAAATATCGGCCATATAATCTCCGGCGCGATTTTTAATTCGTTTACACGCACTGTTTTTCCCTTCCACATTCGGAACTCGTTTTTTTTCCCTTCTGTTTTTATTATTAAACCTACGTTGGCTATTCCCGCCGGGCCGCTGCCGTTTACGGTCAAAATATCCGTACAGGATTTTATTATTATTATTATTTTTTTTTTTTTCAACGCGTCCGTTCAATTTTCACTCTTGTCCGTTCGCGAGTGTTTGACGCGGTTACGCATTATTAAAACGTTACGGCAATGGGAGGAGGTACCCGCGGAGGAGAAAAGGTCCCCGGCTATTTTATTTCGACCGGCTGCGGCGGCGCGACAGTCACGAGACGGACGTAACCGCGCGAAGATTTTGATCCGCCAACATCATTTATTATTATCTGTTTAGTTCGCGCCGTTATACAGCAACGAAATCTCTTCGAATCGCAAAAAAAAAAAAAAAAAAAAAATCCGTTTTTGTTTTTCCGCGCCAACAGCCGAACCGTGTCCGCCGATCAAAACGTCCGCGGCCGCTCCGACCGACTCCTCATAACATCATTACCACCATAGTACTCCTGCGTATCGTCCCCGTTGCAATGGCCGTCCAATTCGGAAGTGTCCAGTTTTCACTACACGATTACGGTACGCTTTGCGCGATTTTCGCGTCTGTGTGATAACAGCATACTAGCCGCTATGCGTTATACTTTTACTTACAAGGACGACATTTTCACGCGCGTCGGTTTCGGATAAATTTTAACGTTTCCGGTATTTTACCTTGTATACATACATTTTTTTTAAAAAAACCGTTCAAACGGCACCCATCGACACCGTGTATTGTCGGCACTTGGCGGAGAATTATTCGAAAAACCCTCGCAAAATGACGTCCCGAAACGGGATTACTACCGATTTTCGGACTTTTCAAATAAAACAAATGGACATAAAAAGTAACCGTTAGAACCGCCTTGACGAGGCCATTCTAATTGTAACGAAAACATTTCTAACTAACAAATTCGTTATTAACACGTATTCACCTAAAACATTTATAACGCGTAAATCGGTATTAAAATAAAATACAAAATTTGCTCGCATACCTATGGTCCCGGGGTATGTCAATTGTTGGCATTTTTTAATATATTTTTTTTTTAAATTTTATCTTATGTCATTTTGTCCCCTTCGTTTTTTAGTCTAAATTGCATAAGTATGTGTATTTTGAAAAATTAAATTTGCTTTCATTGAAAATTACACGGTATTAAACCCTTCTTCTCCGGATCAAAAATGATTGCATTATAGAACTTTATTTACTCTACGTAGAACTATAATAGTTATATTTTTTGTTTCTTCTTATTATTATTATTATTATTTTTTTTTTTATCGTAAAATATGAAACGTTTACGTCAATAATAGTTCATCTTTACTACCTATACATATCGTTAAATTTTATTTATTAGCGACACATAATAATATGTAATATAGCAATTATCGATCTATAGAAACGCGTAGTAAAATTACTTTCCAATCATAATGTAAAACCGGTATTAGTTTAATGATAAGTACACGGTTAAACAGGAAATATAAATACAATTGCGTATACCTAATTCGTTCGACTGATCGACATTGCATTATTATATTGAACTTTCTATAGATTTTTAATGTACACAGGTTAGAGGTATACATAATACATAATGCGTAATAGCTCTTTTTCATGACGGATTTGCAAATTATTTTCTCGCGTGTTTGCGACAATATATAATAAATTTGAAAAATTTAATGGCTCGTAAAAATGTACGCGACAACAAATCGCCGAATACCATTTTATACGCTAAAACGGAAGGCAATGTAAGGTATTAAACATTTAAGTGTCCATTAAACCCGTTCGTACACCCGCAACGGATATATTATTTATATAGGTATTATAAACTCAAAACAAATTGTGTTATCGTACTAATAGCTATTATTCATTTACGGAAATATGTCCCGGTCACAATTTATTTTTGACTTTTTGAATTTCCCACAAAAAAAAAAAAAAAAAAACGTTTAACTCAACTAAATCGGGCGACAAAAATCGACGAGTTGAACGAATCAAAAGCAATACACAAATACGAATTTCACACGATTTACAAAGCCCAACGACACAATATGTCCGACTTACGCACTACTTGATAAATAATTCTCGAAATCTTAACAGTAAATCCTGTTGGAAACGTATTGAAAACAGTCATTATTATTTGCATATTACCTGCAGACATATGAATATCCGACGGCGATTATGCATGGTTATAGGTCCTCTGTTTTAGCTCGTGGTAGGTACATAGGCCAATAAAATGATTTCACAGTAAAAAATAAAAACAATAAACATACGTGTATTGTATAATACAATATTAATTTGAAATCGATAAAACACACGTTTCAAGTGTTTAATTATATACGTTGGGTTTTCGTATCGTTCATACTGTTAATTTGTATACGACGAGGACACGCGTAAACACGTTTCCGTATGCATTGTTGATGGACACTATCGCGTTCGAACGATTCGATTTTGGGGGGCGAAAAACTGTTGGAATAGTTTTTCCGAATAAAAATGCTGGGAACAAACATCCGTTAGCGCGTCGAAACTATCGATAGTGTACACTATCCGGAAGTGTCCACCGATAATACGAATAGTTTGCGTGCGGGCTGATATTTGTTTACGTCTGCCGATGGTTGATTTTTTTTTTCTGTCTTTTAGAAACGAAAAAAACGTGTTCAATAGTGCCAATGGCGCATTTGTGTGCCATAACGTGCGCACATTTCAACAGCCGACGTTTATACATTTATATATGTATGTAGACAATATTTATACACGTTCGAAATTTCGACACGAAAACCGAAAATTACAACAATTACACGCGCGTATAAAAATAAACGCCTCGCTTCTAATATCATATTGTTCGAAAACATCGTGTTTTCCGTTACACGAAATGATTGTCGTCGTCGTCGTCGTTTGGAACGCAATGACCCGTACATTATTGTAGTATTTTTTTTTTTTTAAGTAACTACGTATACGAAACGTTAGGTCTAGGTGATGTGCGTATAAATAGAAATTCGAATAGTTGGCCAGCTTTTAATTTTTTTAACAACAATTATATTTCAAATAAAACGTCTATACCAAACTAAACAGTGTATTATATACCAGGCTCTTATTATGTAGATTTTTGTTTTGCGCGTTGAACATTATTGTTTCCCTTTTACTTTCTGAACGAAGCTAGAAACGTATTTTGGTTTTACAGTGATGAGGTGTTTTTTTTTTTTTGTGACTTTCTTGTAGCGCTGTTTTGTCTAATCGGCGCATCGAGGTGGTCGTTTTCATACATTTCCTCGTAGTTTTTTTATAAAATGGTAAAAATTGGCAATTTTTTTTTTTTTAGAATTATTGTCGATTTCCAGGTTACCTCGACCACAATGGAAAATTATGACTGCTAATACTCTATTCAGAATTTCTATTCGTTAGCAATGGTATTATCGTCGCGTACAAATATTAAATTAATTATTATTAATTGTCCTCACTTCCGACTACTCGACTGAAACAGTAGCGCACCCAACAGCAATATGTTTTTATTAAAAAATGCCATATTATAGATTTATAAAACATATTTTTTAATTTTTTAGAAAACGCAAGTCCGATCAAGAATTATATCCAGCAAACGCCCGAACAAATATCAACAATACAGTTCGAAAACGAGATCTCGCCTGTGGCCACTAACGGAAATCTAAACAGACCTTGCGCTTGGCAAAGTAGTAAGTATAAAGCAATAATAATATAACAGAGTGATGTTTAAATTCAACTTTTTTTTAGTATTTTAAACGTACGGATGACGTTTAGAATTTAACTTATTCAAATATATTGTTACCTACTTGATTTAATATTTTTGTTTTTAATTTTTAAACATCATACTCAACAAATTAACAAAATACCCCGACAACATTTTTAAAGTTGAATTCAGAATTATAAACATCACCTATATATTTAAAATATGAATTAATATATTAATATCCATAGGTTATAGCCTTAAAAGTACAAAAAAAAAAAAGTTGAATTTTAAGCATCGCCCTAACTAATGTAATAGGTATTATAACATCCGTACGCATTTTATGAAATAATTTACATTCGTGTTGTTCGCGTCGTAATGCTCGGAGTGAAAATGTATTGTATAGAAGAAAAAAAACTTCTAGTTAACAACGAAAATACGAATGTAAAACTCTTACCCGGGAAAGTCTAACTTGTTGTGAATAGAAACTTGTCGTACGTCTGGTGACATTCTGTAGTGTCCACTTGACTTGCTGAAGTTTAATGACACAATACGTATAATATAGATGTAGATGAGTATATAAAAAAAAAACAACTTATTGCAGTCAACTTTTAGCGTCGAAACATTTTTTTCAGTTCAAATATGAAAAATACGATTAGTACATTTTCATATTGTAAACAAGAATGAAAGAATATTTAAAGTATAGTGTACACCTCTATAGTGTGCACCATGATATTTCAATTGCGTATATAAGTATTTATTAATTTCATATTTTTTTTAAATTTATCATACGCAATTCCAAATTCGAATTTTCTATTTTGTATTACACCGGTATTATTGTATTGTAAATTTTTTGCATTTTTTGTTTTACAATATTTTCTGTTTTTTTTTTTTTTTTTTATGAAAAATAAAAATATCCGTTTTATTGTACGTGGTAATGCTATTTATGGTACATAGAAAAAGTTTTTCTCAGTTATTCGCACTATTTATGTTACTAATACATCAGCCGGAAAACAGGTTTTCTATACCTAACATACGTACGTGATATTATACAAATGCAATTAGGATTTTGCGCCGCCCATTTAGAAAACAAAAAAAAATGGTCGGGTAAGTCAGGTCAGGTCATTTACGGCAAAATTAATATAATAAAACAATACTCCGTGGCACGTACTCATAAAAACGCTGTCTTTATTATTGATTTATTTAATCGTTTTAATTGCTGTACTATGATAACATTGTCGATAGTCTAATGTATGTTTACTGTATTTATTGTCATTTGTATAATGGCGGTGAAGTAATAGTTATAAAAGATACACGATATCGTTGTTTATTGGTGAACGCCAGAGTAGACAAGGTGCCTATATAAATCCAACACGATTTACGATCAACACATAATATATTGTCGATAATCATATTTTATATTATTATTATTATCATCGACGACAATTCCGTTCTAAACGGATTTATTGATAATACATAACGCACACGCGTCCGTATTGTATGTATAGTGAACAATAAACGTCAAAAACCGACCATCAATAACGACAGTAACAATGAACCTGCTGCTGAATATGCGCCGGAAACCGAAATTGGACGGGCGACTACTAATAACTCCATTTCGCTTATGAGAAAAGAAAACGCACAGACGAACCGACCGAATTCGATGAAAAGCTAAACGTGAAACGCGCGTCGTCCGTTAAAGATCTATTGTAGAGGATCGTGCCGTTTCCGCTCTGATTGCAAACGATCTACCGGGGCGTATTAGTCGGACGTGAATCCGACCGTCGGGGGTCGATTGTCGCGTGAACAAACGGCAGACCTCCGGTTATTATCCCGACCCGAGACCAGGAGATAATGGAAAAGCCTAAGTGCCATTCGCGATGAAAACCGATTAATCAATCCGGTTTCGATCGGACGTCTATTTGATCGGGATAAACGATCGCGGGATACGAGCATTCGAAAAGTTTTATCGATTGCCACGCAATTGTAACGAGCGTTTCTCTTACATTTCAGAAACCCCCGTGACTTTCGCCAAAAACCGTTGAGAGCACGGTGAAATGGACCGCGTGGATCAAGTTGAAACATAAGAATCAATGGATTTTATAAGACTCAATAGTGTTTGAGTCATTGGCTCGTGTCGACGGGCGACGATTGTAATATCGCGTGACGTCGCTAGAAATATTGACAAATTTGTATCGAATAAGTAAATACCGATAACAATATAAAAGTTTTCATGTCAATAAAAAATGAATCACTGTCATTACAATACTTTCTCTAAAGAAAAAAAAAATATGTATATTTATTTTGATTTATTGTGTTTACAAATGCTGTTTAAAGTGTAATTAAAAATGTACCCGAAAATACAATATTTGAAATAAAAACGTGTTTTATGTTTTTAATGTTTTAAATAATAAATAAACGCTGGTTTGCAACACGGTCAGAATCAGTGTCGAGACCGAGAACACTTTTGTGTGTGCGAGGAGGACCTGCGAATCGTTTATTCATACCACCCCGCCATCCATTTTACGAACAAATTGCCAATAATTAATTGTTATCGCTTCATCGCGTTACGAGCCTTACGCCTCCGACCACCCGTATACCTATGACGATTTTTTTTTTTTTTTTTTTTTTAATTTTTTTTTTTGGCACAGGCCTCAACAAATTCTTCGCCGAACCTCTCGTCGGACATGTGTACTTTGTATTCAATTCGATATTCGTATGGGTACAATATTCCCAAAGCAAATCTATTATAATGATTATACGTATACAACTACCCCGTATACAATATTTATAATAGTCTTATTTCGCTGTGCACAGTCGTTAAAATGCACGTTGTCTGCGTTTTCGTATACGCACGTATATAGAACCCAATTTATTGTTATTAATATCTACTGCAGCCGTGTTTTGTTGTGTATTATTCCAGAAGCTAATAATAATGGCTATAATAAAGGGGAGGGCGGATATTTGCTAAACAGAAGATTACGCCCGTTATTACAGGATTGCATGTCAATATTTTATTACCCAGAAAGCGCCTTCGGTTTTACTTCCACTTTTTTTTTTTTTATTTTTTATTATTTTTTATTACAAAATATATATATTATATATATATATTTCAAAAAAAAAAAAAAAAAAACAACAAACAGCCCTCGTTTTGTCTCTGTTAAACTAGAACATGTACCTGCAGCTTTTTTAGTTTTGACCTACTTGTTCGAAATAACTTTACGCCGTTATATTGTAAAATCTATACATATACTCGTATATTATTATCATGTCAGTCGAGACAAATAAACGTATAGATAACTTTTAACGTGGTTTGGTTACTTGCTCAAACATTATCGACTAATGAGATTTACTATACCATTATAGTTTAATTTTTTTCGTTAACTTATTTCATTTTTGTGTTTTTTTTTTTTTTTTTTTTTTTTTGGTTTAACTGTACTCATAATAAATTAGTTTATCATCAGTTTCACCTTTCGACGTCGTGTTTCGCAATGAAATGAATTTATACGTATTTGTTGCTATACAATAAACTGTATTATGTTACCTACCTATAGCCGAAATAGATAAATCCTTTTCCGGTATACTCAATGGTCGTGCGGCCCGATTTTGAATTGGTAACTTGACACTAACGACACGCGTATATGCAAACGTTTTTGGAACATTTCTTTTAACCGCAACAAATATTATACAAACAACTAGGCATATTGGCGAGCATAAAACAGTCACTTCCATTAGTAATCTTAAAAGATTGAATACAGAGTGATTTGAATGATCAATTTATAATTGTCATTCGTTTCTCCTATGGTTTAAATTCTAAACTGCTAGAAGTTATATAAACTCGGTTACGTTAAAGACATTTTACAACCCCTTTCCCCTCGCTCCTTCCCCAATGCAAGTCTTTGGGGCCACTCCTTTTCGGTAACTCGTGTAATAAACAAAGGAAAAAATTAAAACAAATAAACGTTTCTTATCCTAAAAAAAAGACACCCACGAGCAACATAGTTCCGTCACTAGAGTCGAATTTTCTTCCCCAGTCGACGTGACGCCGCCGTAACAATATCAATCTTTTTTTTTTTTTTAATTTTATCTAACATATTTATGGTTGAAAAGATATTATTACATTTTAGTCAATAGGAGTACTTAACAATCGGTATTTTATGTGAAAACGTGAAATTTAAGCATTAAAATAATCGAGGAGAGGTTAAAAGTTGATACCCCCCCCCAAAAAAGGCATTTATCTTTGGTACTTACGCCAATCACAACATACAAAATTGCATCCCCTGACTTCATTTGGAATGGTCTGCAGGGGCCGGTGTAAAAAGCCAAAAAACAGCATCCCCCACAAGAGCACAACGAAACACAACACAAATTGCATGACAGTGTCGAATTTGAACTCTTTTGTTCAGAGAGAACCGCTAAAAGTGTCCGAAATTGCGAGTAAAAAAAAAAAAAAAACTCCTATGAATTGGTGCAGCGTCAAAGATAAAAACGAACGTATTGCAATAATAATATTATGAACTTTACGGTAGATTTTCGGGAATTAATTTATATCAGTTCGAATTTTCTATTAATATTTTTTAATATAACGTATATTTTTGACACTGGTCCTTGTCGCACCGGGGCACGCGCTACATAATGACGTACGCAGTACGGTTCGATAATTTTCGAATTTTCGAGGGGAAATTCGTCTATACGTCTATACGCCCAATTAGGCACGCGTTTTTCGTTCGTGAAATCGAAATGGTGGGGGGGGAGGGAAATAACAATAATAATAGCGGCGGGCAAAAAATCAACTACACCGACATTATACGCGTATATATAGGGAATGTGGATGCATATTACGTTAACGAATAAAAAAAAAAAAAAAAAATAAAAATATAAACGTACATGCAGAATTTTACTACCCTCGCGAAACGTATACACGTAAAACGAAAATATATACGTATAATACGTACGTATATAACGTATATACCTATTATATACGTCCCGCGTAAAAAATAACGAACGATTTTTTCGGGCATTTCGTACGTACGTATAAATTATGCGTGTACGCGGCGCGACGGAAAACGAGGGAGGGAAACGCGCCTGTTCCGCCGCGCCCCATTCCCCTGCCTACCGCGAAAAACGGAAATCGGGAACCGTTCGTGTCTCGTGCCTACACGTATACACACCGCCGCGTGTGTACGATACATAATATAATTATGTATACACGCATATATTTATATGTATATATATGTATTATGTATTTATGTATACAGCGTGTTTTATTAGCGCGCGTCTAAGCACGCGAATTCCGATCGCGCCGAAGTGTATAGAGCCGCCGCGCGCCCCGATAGCTCAGTAAACCACGGGAACGTACCGGGGTCCGACACATCGCACACATTCCGACGCCCGTTTCCGTCCGCGCGACGGCGATAGCAAAAAATATCGTAACACGCGCGCTCCGATATTTCGTGATCGTTCTCCGACAAGGTACGTGGGTATAATAATCAATGTTAAAAACGATTCGATAGTTTCTTCGCGGTCGCGCCGCCTCTCACGCCGTACCGTGTTATGTTTCCCCGAACGAACATTCAACACGAGTAATATCTTTAGAACTTTTTTTACTTTATAGTTAGTATTATCTCGCACATTGGTTTGCGGTATTCGTTTGGTTTTTTTTTGTTTTTTATCTCCGCCGAGTTTACGGACGCTCGCGCGCGCGCCGCGATCGGAGCGTATTTACGTACCGGGCACGAAAAATCATCGCGCGGCCGTCGTTAGCCGCGCACCGATATCTAACATTTCCCCCAACACCCCCCGGACGCTCTTGAACGTCGCGGCGCAAAGCGAATTTCAAACGTCGCCTCCGCCGAAAACTCGACCGCCGCCGCGCACACCATCACTCCGCCGAACGTACGGCAACGCCGCGTGGCCCGCCGGGAGGGACCAGGCGTCCGTAATGTCAATCACCGATGGCCCGTCGGTATCGGCGCGCATTCGGGGCTCCGTTTTTTTCCCCGTTCCGCGTTCGGCCGTACGGTACCTCCCCGTTTCTCCGTCGCGTCTGTCCGCCGTTTCACGGGGTTTGTCCATGGTGCGGTCGCCGAACGCGTCCGTCTACCGGAGCGAGTGTATCGCGCGGCACGCGGTCTAAACGTCCGCACGGTATTTTCGTCGTTTCCGCGCGCGCGGTCTCACGGTCGCGCCGCGCGTTCCGCTCCGGAAATCGATGGGCGACGCGCTCCGGCGGCGGCGGCGGCGGGCGGGCGGTCGGGTCCCGGCCCCGAAACACGCGTACCCGCCCGCGACGCCACGCGTTATAATATTATTGTATATCGCGATGGTTTTGCGCCGTTTTCCCTTTCCGCCGTCATACGACCCGCCGAAAAACCGTACGGAATAATAATTTATCGATTCCGCCCCGTTTCGTTTCGTGCGCCGGCGACGACGACAATAATAATAACAATAATAATAATATGTAACGTCGATAATGATAATATTGCGTACCAATACGAGTGCCGTTGTATTATTAACGTACGTACGTGTGTAACACACGGCGCACACTCTGTCGGCCGGCGCGGGCGAGTGCGGCGCGCGCGTTACGTACGGCGCCGTTTGGCGTTTTGCTTACGCCGTGCGGTTTTCTGCCCGGACGGTTTAATTGCGCGTTGTTGCTGATAACGGGCCCGCGGCGGAGTGGCGCCCGCGACCGCCGCGCCGCACGAAACGCGTGCATATCGTTACCGTTATTATTGTTGTTACACACAAGTACCCGAATGCGTAACACCCCGTAATCCGCATAATATTTTTGTGTATACAATATTGTATGTATATATATATATACAATATTGTGTGTGTGTGTATATATATATATATATACATATAATGTTACTTTGTTGTAATGTTTAGGTGGTCGCGAGAAACGGACGGATATTGTAGGATAAAAATTAAAAATTAATAAATAAAAAAACAAACAAAAAAAAACGCAGTTAAAACTTAAAACGAAACGATCGATGCGAATAAATAAAATATCTACTGAATATTATATACGTTGCGATATAAAAAAAACGGTATAACCGTCGGACGTAAATACATTGTATTCAATACGCGCGTAAATAATTTAATATGCTAAATAATTGTTTTCACTAATATTGGCGTACGCTTAAAACCGGCAATACTTATAAAAAATACATAATAGATATTTAAATCTATAATATGGATAATCTGCACCGTCAAAATAACGCGGTAGAACCCGCCGCCGGCGGTTATGGTTCGGACGCGGCCGCCAGAATAAGTCAATCGCACACCACGGTAAGAGATTAATATTTTCGCATTTTGCACGCGCCGCCGGTATGTCCGTGAAAACCGACAAACAATTAATATCGCTTTCCCGGCATCGTTTACACAATTATTATTTTCGTATCGAAATGCCATCTTACGCGCCCGCATAAACTACGTAACGTTACGGGCCCGTTGCAGTTCTGCGGGCCCGTTAGTGTACGCGCGTAATATAGTACGTTATTGTGTGTGTTTTTTTTTTTTTTTTCTTTTTCTAATTTCCGTTAGACTGCGGCGTTGTCCAAGCCCCAACAGCGGGCACCGGAATTCGGCGCGAGACAACCGCGGCCCGAATTCTATCAGCCACAACAGCAACAACCGCAGCAGCAACAACAGCAACCGCAGCAGCAACAGCAGCAGCAACAAGGACCTTACGGCGCGCCCAACAGACCGCCGCCGGGCCAACAACAACAGCGGCCGCCGCCGCCGCAACAGCAACAACCGAGAACGCCCGGCGAAAGGGTCAGCCCCTGGAATCTTATCCGACAGACTTTGCCGCCGGAAATAATAGCCCGCGGGCCGTCGCAACAACAATTTCAGCGACCCCCGCCGCCGCCGCAGCAGCAGCAACAACAGTACTACAACATGCAACAGAGACCGCAGCAGCCCGTCACGCCGATGCAGGAACGCCGGCCGACGCTGTCCCGGAATGAGGACAGGCAACCGTTCCGGCCTGAAAACGGTAGGCCGACGGCTGTCAGCAGGCCCGTCAACGACGACGACGACGACGAGGAAGTGGTGGTCAACGCGCCGAACAATCAGCAGCCGGCACAGCAACCGCCGCCGCCGTTGAACCGGAGGGACTCGGCGTTACTGGGCGGCGGGGGCAGAGCTCCCGAAACGCCCGGGGATCCGAACAGGCAGTGGCAGAGACCGGGAGCCGGAGCCGTGCCGCCGTACGGCAAACCGCCGGATCAACAATACGGCCGACAGTCGATGGTGATACCCGAAGGCCAAGAACAGCGTTACCCGCCACAGCCGGCGGCGGTGGCGGCAGGAAATTACAACAGGCAACAGTTGCAGGACGACGACAACGGTAGGCGGCCGAAAGACGGCCAAAAGGGTCCCCGTGACGCTGCGGCGCCGTTGACGAGACGGGACAGCGTGTTGGAAGCCAATCTCAAAGCGACTGCTGACGCGTCGTCCCGCAGGAACGAAGGACCGGTCGAGTACGTTAGGAGACCCGTGGCGCCGTCGGAAATACCGCAACAGGACGATAGCGGCGGTGGCAGACGGCCGCTGGATCTGCAGGGTGGCAAGAGACCGCCGTTACCGCCATCTCCGGACGTCCAGGAGGACTCTAGACGGGCGCCGGAACACAAGAAAACCGCGGAACAGGAAGACGCAGGCGGTAATAGGCGTCCGTCGGACCACAGAAACCGACCGGCGGGCGCCGATCAAGGCGCCGCCGGGGCAGCGGTCAAGTCGGTCGCATCCCGGCCGGACGCAAACAAAGACGGCGGGTCGACCGCCAGGGACGACGAGCAGCAGCAGCAGCAGCAGCAGCCGCGAGCGTACGAACAGCGCAAGACGTCACTGGAAAAAGAACCGGCCGGGCCGAAGGCCGCGGCGGTCGAGCACGGCAACAGGGCTTCGGAACTCAGAAAGGCGCACTTCGAGGCCACCCACTTGAAACCGGTCAAAGAGCAGACGCAGTTCTCGAAAGCGGCGACGTCGGACGGCGGGGCGTCGCCGTCGGGCAGAGATCCGCCGAAAGCCGCGGGTGACACCAAGTACAAAGATTACGCGACCGTCGCCGCGACCAGGCCGAAGGACGGGAACGAAACGGACAGCGACCCGACGCGGACGCCACCGGACAACGCGGACGATCCGCCGTTTATTTCGCAGAGTAAAAACGCGCGGCCCGATACTTTGAAAATAATCAAAGGTACATCGCCAAGTTAAGATTGCACGGTAAACAATACAAACGTAGCCACGGACAAAAGTCTGTGTACGACACGACGCGGTTGTTTGTCACTCAATTGCGGTTGTTTTATTTTCGTTTTTTTTTTTTTTTTTTTTTTTTTTTATTGTCACTATATTTACACGGCGCCAATGGGCAATAACATTTATCTCACGCACAAATACATAACATGCATAAAATACATGCAGTACATAAAACACATCGCGTATTTGTACGAAAATACTGTGACCGTATATTTACTGTACACGCTGTTCTGTGGACGATTTATCCGTATGCGGACGGTTTGTCGTATTGTTTTGAAAGTCCGAGAAAAAAAAAATTACAACGATACAATAACATCGTAATCCACTACGTACACATGCACTGCGTACATTTTCTAGTCCGTCGACACCATTAACATTATCCCGTTACATAAAAAACGCGTAATAAATGCATATTTTCTTCTTCTTTGCAGATAACGAACCGTTCAAAGATTCGTCCAACACGAAAGTAAGTCTCCGATAATATCCGTACCCGTGTTGAGCCGCGGTTATCGCGGCGCGTATGACGACGGGTCGTCGGCCCGATTCCCAACAATATTGTCCTCGCTCCGAAACGACAAAAGAAGCGGAAAACGTTCCGTCGCAAATGCCGCGACTCCGACGGGACGGCGCGTGTTGCAACGGACGTCCGGCGGAAACGAGTAGAGTTTCTCCGAAGCACGACGTGGTCGTTGCATTTTTTTTTTTTTTTTATCGGCACTTTCGAGTCGGCATGCTTTCAAACTACGCGTTTTCAAACGCCGTAAACACAAGACCGCGTTACTGGAGTCGCGACAATTATTGTTGGGCTGTAGGGCCGATGACCGTGAGAAATGCAATGTTTTTTTACGCGCGATTTTTTTTTTTTTTTTTTTTCATTTTCTTTCAGAGTTACTATCGGGGCGACGACCCGGGCAAGTCGCCGAGCAAAATCCCGAAAAAAGATCGGTCGGAACTGAAAACGCCCACCAGGGCCGTCACGCCAAAATCGCCGGAAAGCGTGCAGATGTCCGCCACCGGACAAAAGAGTGCGTACCTACACACGCGAACGGTTTTCGCTCACTTTTTTTTTTTTTTCTTTCGTAAACTAAAAAAAAACCCCGTTCGAAAATCACCGCGACAATTTTCCCGTCCGTAATCTATACGCGACTCTCAGCTGTACTCGGAAATATCCGAGTATCGGTCGCAAATGTAATGATAACGAAAAGGAGAAACAATTTGATTTGAAAACCAATAATAAATTGTACGGACCGTTACCCGTTACGGCTGTTGTACTGTACAATTTTAACCGCGCGTGCGAAATGTTTTCATTGTTTGATTGCGTTCGCTGCACAAGATTTGTGTTTTTAAACACTCGCGTGTATTTACAGCTGTCGAACCGGAAGCGCGCCGTCCGGATTTACGGGTCTCTCAACAACTGCACGTTTAAAAGGGGCCCGTAATCGTGGATAAGACAAAATTCAAAATGTATTATAATAAATATAATAAATCATATACTAATACCGCCAAATATCCGATTAATCTCCTTCCCCTCCCCTCCGAAAAAAACTGGGAGTTCTAGTCCCGTAACGGTGTGTAGTAAAACCGGACGATCGCTTTTCAGAGTTGCCGATGAACAAGGTGCAAGTGGGAGCCGCACCATCACCGAATCTCAAGGTGGTCCGGTCGAAAGTCGGCTCGTTGCAAAACACCAGTTACAAACCGGGCGGCGGACAAGTGAAAATCGAAAACAGAAAACTCGAATGGAAAGCCGGGACGAGGGTGGTGGCGAAAAACGACACTTACGTTCCGGGAGGAGGCGACAAGAAGGTACGGGATCACATAGAATTAATATAAATTAATATTACAGTGCCCATTCGTATGTATAATAATTTTGTTTTGTTTTTTGTTGCCATTCCGTTGTTTTTTTATTATTTTTTATCGATTTTGCAACCGATCACTGATAGTGACATCTGTCGCCTTTGTCTGTCTAAATAGAATCAACAATAAATTTAAATTGGAAATAGGCATGAAACTTCCATTATGTAATACACACAATTTACTAGACCTAAATCAGAAATTATTTTACCATATTAAAGACGACATCATTTATTATGCTTTCAAATAGGGATTTCTTTTTTTCTTTTTTTAATTTATTTCCCAGATAATCTATTCGTACATCAAACTTTTAAAAAAATGTATACCATTTTTTGTTATTTAATAAATATTTCCGTCTTCTATTTGGTATAACTGTTTTTGTTTTAGATCTATTAGATCCCGAGTGCTATTGGATATACGAAAACACTCTTTTGCTACATTACCCTTTAGATAAATTCAGGCAAGACTCCTGACTATGAGGCCCCGTTAACGCGACCTAACCGTTATAAATCGCATAGGTATTATCCAAACATTTTTCTTTAATTCGACCGTGACGTTTAAACCATTTTCGTTCGTAAAATTCATATTGTAAGCACAACGGTGTCCATAATCTTCGATACAATAGTGTCTTTGAATACTTATCTTATATATAATTCTATTTTGTACCGCGATGAAAATTCTGAAAAGTATCGAGTATTTTGTATTGGAATACTAAAATCAAGGTATCTATAGTATTGAGTGTATAGATACTCATTTCGAAGCATCTTGCCCATAGGAAGGAAGAAAGAGGGATAAGCTGGGTCTCGCTTTGACTTTTCGACAAAAAAAAAAAAAAATTTTAAATTGATCGTGATTGTATGAAAATACGGAGAATTGTTGGGAATATCGATAAATGTTTTAAACAAATAACTACCGCGTCTTTTAAGAATATTTTGAATTTGAATTTATTGAATATCGAATATCTAAAGTATTTAAATACACTTACAGTTATAAGTAACGAGTATCTTATATTTCGATTGTAAAATAGATGCATTTAAATCAACGCATCTAGAATCTAGATAGATACCCATTACAAAGTATATCGCCCTTTCCTGATCATATGAAATTTAAAGATATAACCACGAAACAAATGTGTTAAATCGTTTAGACGTATAGGATAACATTATGGATAATCTAAGCAAGTATATAAATATATAGGTATTGAACGAATGAAATTTGTCTAGATTCAAAGCGTCAAGTTGCAATGGAATGCCAAACCTAAAGTCGGTTCGCTAGAAAACAAAACGCACAAGCCCGGCGGCGGTGACAAAAAAATTGAAACCGTAAAACTAGACTTCAAAGACAAGGCGAAACCGAAAATCGGGTCCAAAGACAACATCAAACACACTCCGGGCGGAGGAACTGTTAAGGTATAATAATAGAAACGTTTCAATGTAAAGAAAAATCGTAAAAACAAAGTTAAATCGGTTTTTCAAGCTTTAAATAACGGAAATAATGATAACAAAGTTTGTTCGTGAAATATACTAATATAATTTATTCTGAAATTAAAACGCGCGTAAAATAAGCATACCGTAAAATATGCTGACGCAATTAACATAAATTTGATTGTTTTTTAATTTAAGTTTTCGCGTTTATAATAATCATTATCCTCGTACCTATACACAACAATCTAATTGCATGCGATTAATTCCGGATTGACGTGCGTTCGAAACCATTAAATCCGCGGTAAACGACTTACCCACCAACACTACCACCGCCGTGATGTAGGTATACAAAATATTATAGGTAGGTGTGTATCTACAGTGAATATTTTTCACTTGTTGACTTCCGTCCCCTCTCCCGTTGAATAATTAACCGACTCCACGAGCAATTACACATTTTTAGTGAGAACACTGCGGTTTTAAAAATAGTCTTGAACCGTAATAATGAAATCTACAATATTATATGAACTTTTCTGTACCATTTTTTTCACCCAGCGTTTCACCGAGTAATATTATTTTGAGAAATATTCGAGTTGGGTCTGCGGGGTGTTATTTGATTGTGTGCCTGCTCAAATTGGTTCCGCGGTGACAATATATCATATTAAATCCGCAATAATGAAAATTAATGTTTGATATTAAAAATAAAATGATAACAATAGTAATAATTTCAACGTTTTTATAATTGTCTATTCGCACAAGAGCGAAGTAACAAGAAACATTTTTTTTTTTTTTTTTTTTTGCCGACATGATGTCTCATCCTGGGTTACTCTAATAGACTGGACTGACGTTTTCAATATAAATAATAATAAAACAAAATATACCTAAATAAATATGCCGGGACCCAATTCGAGGTCAGCCATTATTATGAACAAATTGATGATTTTGTTTTTGTAATAATTTTTTTTCGTAGACTTAATTCACGTTACACGTTTGAAGGACTAAAAGCGGTTTTCTAAATCATTTTCAATTTTGTAAAATTTTTTCATTAATTTACTGTCCAGAGTTTACGTTTTATTTTGGAAAACATATTTGAATTCTTTGATTTCTTATCTGTTTTGTAGGGATCATTTATTTGGGATTTTTTTTTTTATTTTGTTAATTTAGTAAGTACGTGATTTACCTTTTTTTATTAAAATTAACGCAGACATAGGTGGTGTTCTGAATAAAATACTCGTATTTTGGTTACTGTTTTCAGAATTCTGTTTAATCATTCTGGATATTTTAAAAATACTTTTCGGATTTATTCAATCCTATATTCTAAATACTTTTAACAAGTATTTGACCAAAATATTTTTGTACTTATATATCCAGAAAAAAATTTCCTAAAGAATATATAAAGAAAATTTGACTACTAAAAGTATGTTTATTATACTCTGGCTTATCCGTCTAAATGTTTGAAAAAACGAATCGATTTCAACCACATAAATGGTTTTTTTTCAAGTCTATTCGTAATCGATTTGTATTTTTTAACTATGCCTATGTGGAAGTAATAATTATATATCCACGTTATATTTATGACCTCAACCGTATATCGTGAACATTGAGAAGGTTGTATATTTAAACAATTTTATTTTTAGTTTTACGGAAAACCATATCTATTATTTGTATAATCTGTTTAGAGCCAATCAACACAATTATTAGAAAAGGAATCGCCTGACGTGAGTAACCGTAAATAAGGTGTAAAAAAAAAAAAAAAATAAAGTGTATGGTGAACACAATAATATACTATAATACTCACAAACGCTTATATTTTTTATGTGCATATTATACATATTTACTTTTTGTTTTTATACAAAACGTGTGTTGCGTGTTTCCGCCGTCATTACAATATTATGCAATCACCACGAATTGGCGCAACTAGAACCCCGAAACGGGTTTGAACAGATAGGTACCTTACTTAACCTATATAGGGGAACGTGGGACAGAACTGAGAAGTTAGGGTACTTGTATAAAAATCTAGAATTTGTTCAAAAACTGTGACTTTGGTATTTGAAATTTGAACCATGTACAAATTCATTATAGGATCTGCCATCTAGTAATGAATACGTCAACATGTTTTAAACATTTATAGTACCTAGGCTCATCAAGTCAAATATTATAAACGATGTGTAAGTATTATTTGCCCCATTTCGCTCCATAACAGTTGGGACATAATGGGGATTTCCCACAAATTGTATAATTGTAATAGGGTAATTTAGTTTATACACCTACTACAACTACAACGATACATCATTCCAAACGAAAAACGATTCTGAGCATGTTCAATTAAATTTGTTTTGATAAATTGAAATTTAATATTTTTTTAATTTTTAGTTAATAAATTAAACAAAATTACCTATAACAATAGATGAAATCGATTTTAACAGAAACCGTTATTCCGTAAATATGCTAACGGTTTTCTTCGTTTTTCCCCCCATCATTACCTATCAATAAAGGCATCTTATTTTTCTTCTTTCAGCTTTAGAGACCATTGATGTTCATGGATGCAAAATAGATATTTTTCGCCTCTCTCTAGCTGCCCTAAGCTAGGTACCTACTTCGTTAAAATTGTCTATTTCTAGTTGGCTTTGATCCATATGTGCTTCGGCCTTCCCACCGATCTCATTCCCAGAGGGATCCAGTTTAGCGTATATCATTTACAATTGATTTAGCCCTTATTACGAGACTCAACCAGCTCAGTCTTTTGTACCACATTTTAGCTAATATACTCCTGCACTTCAAAAGTTTGATCTACCTAATTTCATGAATTTGAGTCTCTTTATTTGTTTGGGATACCCATAATAGGTTTAAACGTGAAAACATTTACCGGCTACTCCTATACTAGCTTTATACGCGAATATTCAGTCCATGAAATTCACCATATTTACATATTTCTCTATATCAAGTTCGTTCGTGATATACGTTGATTTTCTCGTTAGAGTTTTACCAAAGTGTTAAGAATTTCTCTGATAAACAGGTGTCTTAACAAATCCCCGCAGGAAAAAAATTAAGTCATAGGCAAAAACCTACAAACACGGATTAAAGAACAGCAAAATTTGTTCGATTAAAAATAGTGGTTTCACCTAAAGACTAGCCAACAAAAATAATGTCCTAGTTGCGCCAACGTACTATATACACCATCGCCACGTCGTATTACATATTATTGTTATTATATTATACACCTGTGTGTGTTATGGTCTGCAGTGCATTTATTTATTTATATTGTTTTACGCGAACGTTGTTTGAGGACACTACAAAAAACAAGCAATTTGTTGATGTTATTATAACATATTTGTGACATTTACGTTGACCGTATCTTCGATACCAAACATAATGTAATAATTAATACTATTTACGACATATTATACACAGATCATCGAAGATCAAAAATTGGAGATAAAAGCTCAGAGCAAAATTGGCTCGTTAGACAACGTGAAACACAAGCCGGGTGGCGGAGAAGTGAAAATATTCGACGACAAAAGTTACATAAAACAAACGGCAGCACAGATCGGTACTCCAACCAAATCGCAGGTACCTGTCCACGGTTTCGTTTAATTATTAATTATTATTTATTAATAATATTCGTAATTCAAACAACGCTGTAAAATAATTTGTAGGTGCATTATAAAATAAATCCATCTACCTAAATACAATATTATAAAACTATAAATGTTCATTGAACAAACGAGACAAAAATAATTTTCAACAGCCACTAATCAATATCTGTGTTTTCCCAACACAAATTGAATATTTAAATGTAAAAATGTATTCGGCATTCTGGTAGGCATCTATCTTTTACACATAGAACAAAATTTGATTAATACATTTTTTATGCATCCAAATATTTGTACACAAATAGGTACTTCAATAGTTTAAACATATTTTTGCTCATTTTTGAACCATTTAATTTATATTTTTAATATAATACAGTGATCAATCTATCACAAAACACCCATTATCTTGGAAAGTATTAACTTTTTTCGGAATTTGTTTTATAGAACATCTAGGAAACAAGCAGTTCTATAAATTTGCATTTATGTTACTTTTGGGGATAAAACCATTACCTAATTTTGATTTTCAAATGTCAAACTACATTAAAAATTCCATAAATAGATGGGGTATTAGTTAAATTATTTAAGGAATTTTAAATTCATAGACACATTGATCACCTTACATATAATAGATACCCATTAGTTGAATATGTGGAAAAAAATAATTAAATACGTTCAATAATTCATCCCGGACAAATAAGCATTCAATTTATTTATACCTACTATTAATTAATTATGGTTTTAAAATTATTAAAACTGTATTGTGAGTAATAAAAAATAATGATATTAAATATAAACAAACATGTATTATATTATACCATTACACTTGCACAAATTTCGGTGGCTTTTTAGATGATAAATATTCTATTACAATATTATATAGTACATCACAACAGTTGTATAAACGCACAGCTTAACTGACTTATTTACAGAGCTCGAGATCATCACTGGCCGGTAATGTAGCCGAACAAGAAATTTAATCAACCATCATCATCATCATCATCACACTTCATAAGCGTTATTCTGTTATTCGTATTTCATAATCGAAGTACTCATTATATACAATAATAATATAGTATTAATGCTTTTGCCATGGCTAAAAGCCAGAGCACATAATATATTGTACATTGATATTTATATTGATTATTACTAAACTAAACAATAATTATTATGTTTGCACTACAGTAAGACACTCGCTGGTACATGTACGTAATAATAATAATTCAATGTAAAAGCAAAATTTTGTACTATATTTTATCGATTTTAAAAATACAACTTTACTATCTCTTTTTTGTAACACTGCAATGCTTGTTGTTGTTGTATTTCATTGTTACATAGCTCCGGAGGAGTTCTAGTATGAAAAGTCCAGTGGGTATGAAGTCATATAGCCTTGACGAACGACCCAAAAGTCAAGTCAAAATTGTTGTAACACCAACTAGCGATGAAGATTTGAATACTAAAATAGGAACAAACGTGGGCAGTGGTGGGCTTAGGAGATCAGCAAACAGTCGATCACCGTCATTACAAAATAATATAGTTATACCTGAAGAAGCAGTTAGATCAAAAAAATGATAAAACATAATCAAAATTTAAAAATTATGTATTTTGCCATCTTTTTACAGAGTATTTTCATAAACCAAAAATGTGTCACAAGGTTATTAATTTTACAGCTTCGTATAATAACCACATAGTTAAGATTTTACATTTTGATATTTTAGATAGGTACATTACTATGATACAATATGCACATTTTGTATGATAATTATAAATTACTTAATTCATACACCAATATAAAATCAAAATACAATAAGTTTAAAGATACAGTAAGTATAAAAGTAATATTGGAAAAAATATTGTAGATACTTAACTAAACGAAAATTAGGCACAAATCAAAACAGAATTCAGTACCTATACAATAAAATACAATTTTGAATTTTAAAAATAAACTAAAGAAAATAATAGAAACTTCAATCTTGATGATTACATATTCAACCAGTGTCGATTATTTTTGATACATATTCGTTTGGTTCATTCTAGTCCTATAATATTAACTTAACTTTTAGCTTTTGGTCAATGGGATTTTACTAACTATTTACACTTAAAAAATTCAAATTTAAATTTGGTATAACGTCTTGAATGTCTTAAGCACTCTAAAATAAACCAGATACTCATAATTCACTATTAAAAAAAAAAAAAAAAAAATTATAATAATAATTAGAAAATAAACAAATGATTGATATTTATTTAAGGTGTTTCTGGAAGTGAAGTCAGTCTTATATTATGAAAATACTCCATTTCCATTATTTTTTCAGCGGACATTCTGTTTGCAGGGTTGTAGGTACATAATGCCTGGTGTTAAAACAATAATGCAATACAATTATTACAGTTAATTGTATGTAATAAAACTAAAAGAATAATTATATTATTAATTTAATTTATACGTTATTGGTAAATTTGGTGTTTGAAATACTTAGATTGAGTGATCAATCTCATAATTTATTGTATAATATATGACATTTTTTGAGTAGTTTTACTTGTTAAAATAAGACATACAATTGATATAGAATTTAAATACCTTAAATAATATAAATTAATTAATTATTTTATAGAATTATACATTTACCTATGCTATAACTTAACTTCTATATCCTGAATAACATTAATGGTTTTTAAAACACTAAGATTTGCTGTAAATGAATGACCCAAAATATATTTTGTATGAACACATTAAAATACTCTAAAAAATATTTTATACCCATAAGAAATCATGACCTATATATTATAGAAACTAATTTTGTATTTATTAATCCCAATTATTACCTCTCATTAATAATAAATTACAAAAATCAATATACTCACTATAGGTATAGTAATTTTTAATAATATCATTAATTTGAATAATGTACATAAAATTTCACTATTGATTAGTAGCACATATATTTTATTTTTTGTAACTAGCAATTTATTTTGTTTTAAATTATGATTAATTTGTTAATATATTTTTATTTTTTATTATTATTATTATTATTACTATTATTCTGTTATAATAAACACTGTTACTCACGTAAAAAACTTTTTGTTGATTTTTTTCATTAAGTTCAGGTAAGAAATCATCTATATGGCGTGCATCCCATAATGGAAATAATGGTTTAAAATCAGGGTATCTATGCACTCCAGGCCATGTGCTGTCAGTCGGAGTTCCAAGAGTGCGAAATATTCTAAATAACTGGTCAATTTCTGAATCACCCGGAAACAATGGTCTCAAAGTCATCTATTTGAATAATTGAATGCAACAATAGTATAAAATATTTAAGATAATCATAATATTAAATTCCTTAGGTTTAAAAAATTATTAGTAGTTTATCTTACTTATGCATTCATTTATAAAAAACATACCATTTCTGTGAATATACATCCGAGGCTCCAAAGATCAACAGCCATAGTATATATTTTAGCTCCAAGTAATATTTCAGGAGCTCTGTACCATAAAGTGATTACTTCATGCGTATAATTACGTAAAGGAAATGAAAATGCTCTAGCCAACCCAAAGTCAGCCAATTTTATTCCTCCGTTATTATTCACCAACAGATTTTGTGGTTTTAGATCTCTATGAATTATACGATGCATATGACAGTAAGCTAATGCATTGAGTATTTGATATAAGTAATTCTGAAAACATAAAACATTTCTGTTATTTGAAAATAAATTGTAAACTTTCTACTAGATTTATAAGCATTAGTTAAAACTAATAAATATTATATAACTTTAAACGTTTAAATATTAATGTTTATTTATTTATTTTAAATTCTTACGACAGTGCCCAATCTATAGTGTATTTATAGTAATAACAATAATAATACAGATTATAACAAAGTAACGTTAACAATTTTAAATTAACAATACACAATAATAAGGTCAATAAGAAAAAAAAAAATTAAAACGAAACAAATTATTTGAATAAATCGCATAATTATAGTGATTATTGCCAAACTACTTTAAAATATTTATTAGATGATTCATCGTGTAACTTTCAGAGTAATTTGGAAAATAATATAGTTGATTATTGTGTATATTTTATTTATTTACTTTAAAATTTATCTGACTTAGTCAAAAAAAGTCATCAATTTTGTTATTTAATAAGTTGAAAAGAAAGGATTTTTTTACATTAATTCTGCATGTTTTCAAAGATTTCAATAATAATATTTCCAAAATATTTTCATAACCAGAACGGGTGGGTTCTAAAGATATTATAATTAAAGCATATATAGTGAAGGACATCAGATTAATGGAGCATATTGGAGTAAAGATCAGATGAGATAGGTGAATAGATATTTGTAGGTGTAGGGATCATTAAATTCTGAACAGTTAAACAAATTCAGTTTCATTTAATCATACCAAAATTATACAGTGCTTTATTTTGAATTGTAAATATATAAGATTTGAATAATAATTTGGAGTCAAACAATACACCTCAATCTTTAATTGATGATGACTGTAGGTAGAATATTATTAGATATACAGCAATTGACAGTAATTGGTGTGCATTTTTTTGAGAATGTAACCACTTGGAATTTGTTAATATTTAAAGAGAAATAATATTGATTGGAATTTTTTATGAGAAGCATTTTTATTAAAAGTTTACTTTTTAGACTTAAATCCTTCTTAAATACCATCTTCCCCACTATGTTTTAGAGGTTTTTAAATATTTGTTAGTATTAAATTTTTAGAAAAAAAATTTTCAATTTAGCTTTTGCGACACATGGGTACAAAGTGACCAACTGAATTTAATTTTAATTTTTTTATTTTTTAAATAATTATCGAATCATTTATCTAAGCTTTATTTTAATAATATTTTACTTCTAATTTACCCCTACTCTTTATACCCAAAATAAATATTAACTTTAGATTTTCAAACTCTTTTTAAGCACAAATTCAAATAGAGGACATTTTCTAAAAATTTTGATAAGAACAGCACAAACATCAAATTTATCATTTATGAATTATAACAATTTAGACTGCAAGAGTAGAAAATAGTAATAAATTGTAAATCCTTTTTTAGATGATAAAACCATAACTTTTCTTTACTCCTCCGATCTAAACTTTTAACTGTTATAATTCATAAATCTAATATTAGTGTTATAGTTCAAAATATGTAGACAAATAATTGAATATGTGTTAAAAGGGAGAGGGGTTGTTAGTTGAAAATTTAAAAATTATACTGATTTTAAGTAGAAAAAGTAGATGTAAAATATTAAAAATATCGTTGAAAAAAATCTTAAATTATTTTTGTTTCTTGATAAAGAAACTCAATCTTATATTGAAATTCACACTTGAAATAAAACCAAATGTCTAAAAATGTTTGTATATTTTACAAATCTATATTATTTATTAATACCATTAAATTATTAGAATTATCAACAGAATAAACACAATGAAACATGACTAAGATTTTGAACAAATAATTTATTTTCTGACTGCAAAGAAAGTATATTATATGTTTCTGTCTCATTAAGTAGTTATATGAGTTTCTTTATTCCACCATAACTTTTTAATACTTAAACCGATTTAGATATGTACAGTATTGTTAAAATTACTGGTGTCCTAAGTAATATAGACTAGATCAACAATTATCAACCAGTGGTCCGCGAGAAAATTTTGATGGCCACAAAAAAATTTTAAAGCTTAATAAATTATGTTATAAATAAAAAAAAAAACTATTATATCATTTTATAAATATATTTTTTTTTATTAATGGAACAGTATTTATGATAAAAAAAGCTGTAGGGTTCAAAACATCTGAATAAGGACATGAGAATTGTTATATAAACACTATAAACTTTATAGTGGTCTGTAGAATTTGCAGTTATAGATTTAGTGGTCCATGAAATCAAAAAGGTTGACACACGCTGAACTATATGGTTTATAGGAAGAGACCAAAAATAATCAAAGAAATATATTATACATCTATGTCATCAATATATACTTGACAAATCTCAAGCACATTAGGTAATTAATTTTTTTCACATTGTTTTCTGTATTTTTTTTTATAAAATAATATACTCCAAAAACATAAATTTTTGTGATTTACCACTAATCAAATACCAAAGTATGAAAAAAAAAATTCTATCTGTTAAAAAAAAAAAAGAAAGACAAAATTACGAAAAAATAAGGACGGACGACATACTTTGCACGTGGGTGGAGCCACGGTTGTAGGTGGGAAATTGAAAGGTGGGATATATTTGAGAAATTAATCTATATCTGTAAGCAACGATAAACCATTGATAACGAAAAACGATTCTAAGTAGAGTTTAGTTGATAGTGTTGCTTTGTCAACAATGTATGTGTCATACTAACTATCCCGTGCCGGCGTTGCCCTTTCCAATATGTATTATTTTTTTTACCCATATTCATTTTTGGTTTTGACAGTTTTAGAATTGAATGGAAACATTTTGGTGGAAAGTGTGTAGTCCACTTTCAGTAAACTAAAAGTGTTCTATTGTGAAATTGTATAGTTTAATTTATATGTTAATAGTGTAAGTAATAGTAATAATTATAATTATAATAGTTTTCTTATCCATGACAACTTAACTATCATCAGTATCACCAAGGTAACCTTTGAACAAATAAAAATGAATAAATAAATAAATAAGTAATTAGATATTTGTACTAAATACACCTAAAAACCTCTATTTTACCCCCTTAATAATAAGGTAAAATGATTAAAACAATGTGCATTTACATGACAACAATGATTTAAAAATAATTAAAACTTAATAATAACAAAAAATAAATAAAAATGATTGCCAATGACAACCTTATTTTTAATCTTTCAATATTTGTTAAACTAAAAAACTAGGTTTCCTCATTATCTTCAATATTAATGAGAATTTCAAAGAAAAACCTCTCTAAAGTACTACCCAGAGAACATTTCCTTTCAGAAAAAGTGCTATATTTGATAATCAGAGTATGCTTTCCGGTAGAAAATGTTCACATAAAAAAAAAAAAAAAAAATAAACATCATTGTAAAACCAATAGATTTCTTGCTCCATTAAGAATCTAAAATGAAATGTGATAAAAAAAAAGAAAGAAGCAGTCATGGTCCGTGTAATGCCTACGATTAAAAAGTATCATTCAAGATCAGGTATCACTGTATTGTTCCATGGTTTATTTTTCTACCACATATCATTTATTTTAAACGTATTATGATACATTATTATAGAACTCAATAAATGTTTAATAATTAAAAATAAGAGTCAGCTTGTTAAAATGAACAAATATAAATTACAACTAAGTTATATTTGTTTATTTTTCCATTGATCCTTAAAAAAAACAAATATGGTGGACGTGGCATAGTGACCTACTAAAGTAGTGTATACATTTAAAAAATGCATACCTATAAGAACTAACTATAAAACTGCGCCAAATTTTATCCATTTGGATGTTTCCTTAATTCGTGCATTCATAATAATAATACTATTATACTAATATCAAATCTATACTATGTATACTTCTTTGTTCAAAATATGTAATGGATTTTGGAAACGAAAATTAGTAAAAAAATATATATACCAATAGGGTGCCATTGGTAAATACTTTTAATTATTTAAACAAATTCAATACTAACTTATTGATTAAATTAATTAAATCAAATGGGAAACCAAAAATTTCTTATGACTTCTCTTAATTATAAATAAAAACAAATAACATAAAGAGTAGGGGTTTAGATTCTGGAATTGTTTTATAATTAAACCATAGTTATAAATTGATTATTTTAAATGTTTTTTTACTTACTTTTTGATATTTTCAAAGAAAGCAGATACAAGTTATTTAACATTTTAAGTTATTTTCCTTAAAATTCTAACACATGAATACAATTTTATTTATTCTAATTCAATAATGGATTCAATAGATAATTAGTAGGAAAAATTACTGATTCAATTTTTAATTACCTATAAGAATAATACAAATGGAAATGAACTAGAATATTAATTAATTTAAAATTTTACATTTAATACAAATCTTGAATCGTGTGGTAGTTTAATAAGTTTAATAGGAAAATAATTATTTTTAAAATCCATTGTCTATGTGCTTACATTTTAATAATTAAATTTATATTATCATCATAAGATCTGTATTAAGGAGTTTATTTATAATTATATGTTAATTAAATTAAAATATTAAATCTTACTTTAATAATAGGTTCAGGTAATCCAGATCCAAATTCTTTTCGGCGGGATTCTAATAATTTTTTTAAATCTTGATCCATGAATTCAAATACTAAAAATAATTTGTTATCCGACATTATAACATCATGAAGTTTAACAACATTTTCATGATTTATTTCTTTAAGTAATGAAATTTCTCTCATCGCTGTAGAAGGTACACCTTCGGCACTCCTATATAATATTATATTTAACAACAATTTAAACATTTAGAATAGTAAGAATGTTACGATGGATTATGCTGAGTAACAAATTACAACTTACGTTTCCATTCGAACTTTTTTAAGAGCAACAAATTTGCCTGTCTGTTTGTCTAAGGCTTTGTACACGACTCCATAAGTCCCTTCACCAATCTGTTCTAACTTGTCATAATTAACATTTATGCTAATATTCTTCGTAGGACCTTCCTTCACAAACAGTCTATTTTTCAACGCACTCTATAATATTGACATTGTTTTTATATATATTTTTACAATTGCGTTGAAATAACCGATGAATTCTCATAGACTATTTAAACATGAAGGAATAACAAAACAAAAATCAAACATACCTGCATGTCTGCACGTCTGCACTAGATGTTGAAAAATAGTCGAACGATTTAAAAAAATGAACAGTATTTTAATGTAGTATTATGCAAGTCGATCACACGGCGTACAAAATATATACCGTCACGTCTTCACAAGAAAATGATCGTCATTTGGTGCTTGGAACAGTTGAAGCGCAAAAGGTACGAGAAATGAGTGTGCACGTCAAAGAAAAAATTGTTACCTGTATGTAAACAAATGCCAATGATAAAGTCAGATTTTCCCGCCGTTTTCGCACATGCACGAGCTGATGACGTCCAGTGTGGCAGATCCGACGGAGCAAAATAATTCCCACTGTATCGGTCGTCCGGACAAAAGGTTAAAAAACGGGATTTTTAGATCTGGCGATTAGGATTTTTATAATCTTTTTGGCATTGACACAATGGTCCTAGAGAATTTGGTACCCAAGTACTTGTATCACTATCGATTTTGTTTAAATTTTAATATTATTTTGATTTCTTTTCGTTATGTGGCTATTTTAATAGACGTTTAGAGAATGATATAGAGATTGATATTATGTAGGTACCTGTCCTATTTACAATAATTAGGCAGGTATTATCACGGACTAAGATTTTGTCCGTGATCATTATATAATGTAAAAATAACCAAATAGGTAGATAATTAAGTTATAGATAAGGGTGCTTACCGAAAGTCTGAAAGATTACAAGAATACTGAAGTAGGTATTTATTGATTATCATAATAATAATTAACATTTACCATTATCACGTAGAAAGTATTACCTATAGGGCTATAATACATTTATACCTACCAAAACTTATTATTATGAACCGCATAATTAAATTACGTACCTAACTATACATTTTACATTATAATCCTGCAGCTACACCCACCTATATTTTAATAATGCATTACCTAAAAATGTATTAATAATTTATTGCCAACATATCTTTTTGACAAAAAATTACCAAATACTATATTCTAATGGTTTATAAGTAGGTAACGAAGGTTATAATGTATGATACCTATATTACCTATATATTTACCTATGCGCAGTGGCGTATTTTGTGGGAAAGAATCCAAGCTTATAACAGTTACCTACTTACCTGGGCATTTTTTTGAGAGGTTATTAAATATTAAATCTGATAATTCCAATTGTCTAATTGCTATAGGCGACAAATAAAGAGGAGCTAGGTGGGCCAATCAAGCCTTTCCTAGTAAATTTCTGATGAAGTAAATACTATAAATATGCCTATACATAATCAATATTATCTCCAATATTAAAGCCTCCGCTTTAATCCTCCCTCTCCCTAAAAAAAAAATATGTGGGCTGAGCACCCCCAAAAAACCCAATCAGGTTTTCCATAATAATGACAAAATATTTTATCCATGAAATACATGGTCAGTATTTCATATAGTTAATGAGCAGAACAAAATACAGGTTTCCAATTAACAATGCATGTGTGTATGAATAATCGATTGCCAATCGATAGTTTAAAAAACTGTTGAGTGATTTATCGATTGAATAGGTATTTTTATCCTTTGATTGTTTTGAAAACTATCGAATGAATTAGTCGATAGTTTTCATTCAGTAGTAGCATCGACTGGTTTTAGCTATCGATAATAAAAACGACCGAGTACTTTTTCAAGTAGATAGATATTATTATTAATAGAAAGAACAACTCGATAGATCATTAGTTTTCTTTCGGTTGTGTTAGCACTGACTAGTCTAAAAACAACCAAGTACTTTTTCAAATGAATAGATATTATCAATATGATGAACTACTCGATAGTCAACAGTTTCGATAGTAGTCGATAGGTTTTAAAAACAACCGAGTAAATAGATAGTTTTAAACTATCGAATAGTTCGATAGTTTTCACTCGGTAGTGTCCATCACTAGCTTATGTCCAAAAAATGTCATTATTTACCTCTATAGAGACTAATAAAGGAAAAAAACAAATTTTTGATTCCAATTACCATAGTGATCCCGTTTACGGTACCTATTATCCATCAATAATAATCAGTTTTTCCGTGCGATAAAGTTTTTATCATAAAGGAACCTTAGCATTTGTACTTTTTAATATTTATAGGCGCAGCTTAGAAACTTAAAAGTACAACATCATGATTATTATATGTGTAAATTGCTGTAGAAACATTCATCTGGTTTAATTTTATTGTGTTTTTGACTCTGGGATCCATTACTCTTCGACCCCTCCCCCCTTATTTACGTTAATATATCACTGTCTACAAAGATATGTGACGTTTGCACTTACTTAAATATATAACGTTTTATAACATTTATATTTATTTATATAATTTTATATTTAACCTCTAAAACATATATTCTCACTTTTATCAAATGTACACCTTTAGGTAATGATTCAAATTGTTTAAGTGTATTCTATAAACATTTAAGGGTTCTACATCCTTTGACAATGCTATAGCAGATTCAAAAAAAAAAAAAAAAATTGACTTCTTCTTCCTTGGTCTCGACTATTTAAGATCATACCGGTAAATAAACATATCGCCATTCGTCATCCTTTCTCTATCGAATTTATTCTATGCTATTTAATTTCATTGAATAATTAGCTCCACTAGCTTCGCATCTCTCTGTTTTCTCAGTTTTCCTATTTTCATATAGGTCTTCCACCAACGGGGTCTACTTTAATCGCCTTATTTTTTTATCATCTAACCATGTTTCTGCAAGGGATGTCCCGCCTACACCAGCCTTTCTTATTCTAATAGTCTTTACTCTTATATCTCCAGGTTATTGAAATATGTCTTTAAGTTCGTCGTTATATTATTCCTTCCATTCACCAACGTGGGTATCTAAGTATGCACAATATATATGTATTTTCTTGAGAATCTCTCTCTAGAATACCACTAAGAAAATATTTACATTTGAAAAGAGAATACATGTCGAAAAATGTTGATAACATATACCTACTTCTTGGATAAGTAGGGTTAACTAGGTTACACTAAATACCGGATATGATTTTATATAAATTTAATTTTTTTTCAGGAAATACTCTAATATAGGTAAAGAAATTATAAGGAAAATGTTTAAACGTAAAACATAGTACTCAAAATGTTTACATAATAACAGGTAAGTTATTTATATTACATTCAATAATTTTTATACATATTATATCTTATTGTAAATTATATTGAATTAAGTAGTCATATTAGGTAAGTAGATATAGTTAAATGTATAAAAATAAAAAATAATACACATTTTTAAGATTATTTTGTCATAATATTATATCATTATAAATTATAGATTTATGGTAAATTTGTATACCATAAAAATGGTACGGTTGTCATGGTAAATCAATATGCATCTGCCATACATTTGATTGCCGTGTCAAATCAACAAAACTTTACGGACGGATCACGGCTTTTAAAATATAATAATAATATACAAAACATACAGTTTAATATTATATATTTGTAGGTTCTACGGCATGGCGTAGTGGAGCGCCTCATGAACAAGCATACATTTTGATTCTTTTCAAACTCGGCATTCGGCGTCTTTTTTAGGTTTTGGTTTTCGGTTATTAAATAATGTTCAGCAATAAACCAAGCATTAATTTTTAAAGAATCAAAATAACTTTTTTTTAAATAAAAACAAACTGTTCAATCATAAATTTTTCACCAAAATTAAAAATTAAAACCAAAAAAGTGTTCTAATTCAAGATCTGAAAAGAGGCCAAATTTATGCTTGTTCATGCAGCTTTTTGCTGCGCCATTAAAAAAAAAAAAATTAAAATCAAAAATCAAAGCAAAAATATTCCAAATTAATACTTGTGCATGTGACGATTTGTTACTCCGTATAGAACCTACAGATCTATACTACTCATTATCAATACTCAATTAATATCAGTAATTTCATATAAAATTCCCAATTTCTTAAAATCATAAAATCGTCTCTTAAAATTAATAGGTACAAATTTAAATAACATAGGTATAATACAAATATCAATGTAAAGGCGTTTAAATTACCATATAATCATTAGTAGGTTCATTAATACTTTATAAACAAAAAAGGTAGGTACCTATATGAATATAACATAAGTAGGTTTGCTGTTTTAAGTCAAAATAATTAATTTAAGTTTTTTTAAGCTAAAATATAAAACCAAAAATCTTTTTTTTAAAAAAAAGAAACCAAGTCAAATATGTCTTATTTATTACCTAGGTGTGATACAAGTACAAAAATATAGACTTTAAAACAAAAATACCGTAATAGGTGGGTAAATTTTAAGATTAAATACTTATATTAGATAATAATCACAACTTTAATTCAGTTAGGTAGAGCCGGTGTATACCAACTTTGTAGGTACACGCGTTTTGGTATCCAACCAAATGGACATTTTTAATCTTATTTATGTAGCAAATATTCATTGCACTTGTGCGCAAAAAAAATGAGTAAGTGTATAAAAACTAAATATCGTAACTTGTTACTGCATTATTGTAATCATTGATTGGCGAAATTTCGTTGTGTGGGTGTCTACGTTCGTCATCGTTTACGAAATTATCCGATTTTTGTGCTCGATTTAGGTAGTATATCGTACTAAATATAAGCATAAACAAAATAAATTGACATAAGATTAAATTATAGATACTAAAAATTAGAGGGAGACTGTAGATATATAGCTTATTTAATTATTATCTATCTATAGTTTCGCTGGTCTCTGTAGGCTAGTAGTTTTTTTAGGCTTTAGGCTAGTTCATTCTTTTACGAATCGTTACTCCCTAACTTTTTTTTTTCATTTATGACGATCCCTTCAAAAATAGTTTAATAGAACTTGGATAATACGATGTACGGTAATAAAGTATACATAATGATGTTACTTATGGTTTTTGGTGACCTTAGTTTATGGGTCACGACCCTCAGGTTGAAAACTTTAGACTATAAAGTGTATACCTACAGAATCCAGATAAACCTTATAAGTACGTGTCTACGTAAAAACGGTATTTTAGAAATCCTATTAAAAAAAATAAAATATATTAAGATACATATTAAAAATAAAACATATTTACCAAAAAATGACCACCAGAGGAGCTGTCAGGATAATACTAATAATGAAAAACGCACTGGGAATCGATTCGAACGTTTGATTGTATACAACATTGTATAACGGTATAAATCCACCTTTCATTGAGCTTTCCATTAACAGTTTTACAGAATTCATAGCACCTGGTACATCAATGCAAAAAAAAAAAATAAATAAAAAAAATATTTGCAATATTTTATTAGCTTTATTACTAATTGTAAAGTTTATGTGCAAATATTTACCTAATTCATTCGGTCCGACACATTTAGAAGCTATAGAACTAGTTAACGCCAGAGCAGCACCGCGAAACAGTTCTAACGGCGGAACTATAATATAATTCAGGTAAAACAGGTAAAATATTGGTCCCAAGTTTAAAAATAAGAAAATAGGAAAAAATAACGAAAATGATAGAATTGTGGAAAAAAATTGATTTAAGCCCTTCTCTTAGAAACCGAAGATATTATACAACGATTTATTTTTGTCAGAATCAGAATTTAAATAACAAATAACTTTAATGTGCATTGGAAAAATATTAAAATCGTGAACAATTGAATGCTATTAATCTTATCGTCTTTTTAAACGTTAAAATTAAGGAGAGAAATAAGTATATTTTGTCGATATTATAATATTTTACAAATTAATTACAGGTAATTAATTAAGGTACAGCAAATTAATTGGATAATATGATTTTAATTTAATTATTTAAATGCATATAAAAATAAATGTTTTGCCCGTTCATTATTGAGATATAATCAGTTGATATTATTATTATCTTACCCATATATAGTTGCCACGATTGAGAAACCATAAAAAAAGCAATTGCAGCTAACAGATCGAATATTGATGCGATCATACCGATTAGCGCGTCGTCCATTCGGAATTTGTGACTTAAAATGGCTAACGCAAAAATAGTACCTACATAATAACACAAATTATTACGAACAATTAAAAATAAAATCAAATATTCGTAATTACTCAATAGTTGTGCAATAGGTAAAAAAAATTATGTAATATTATAAAATATGTTTTATTTATACCTATGGTTTAATATTATGAAATTATAATTCCCCTACCTGAATCCAACATCGATTTTCCTTTTTCCGAATCCTTCCTTTAGTTTATTTATAAATAAATTATACAACAAATTCTTATAGAAAAAATAAAAAAAAAATATCTTTCTGTTAAAAAATTAAACGTAATGGGCTATTATATAAGTTTTTTAAAAAAAAATCATAGGTGTTTGTTTATAGATAGCGCTGCATGAATCGTTTGAAACAGTAATGTACTGTTAATTGAAAAAATAAAGCAGAACTGCAGAAGGTTTAAATATTTAAAAATTAACAAAAGAATGACGAGTATACACCGCAGTACAATTATATTATAATTTAAAACAAATTGTATTTTTAATTTTTATGTACCTACCTAAATCATATTACTTTATTTTACACATTTTTCTAACCTTTAGAGTATACATTTATAAATATGTATGTATTTTATCTATTGTCCTTTTTTGACATATATCGATGTTTTAAACATGAATATCAACTTTAAAATTTTAATGTATAATAAATTATAAATCACATCTTACCTAATAATACGATGGACATCTGGTAAGCATTGAAAATACTAAATTGTACTTCATTCCATTGAAATTTATACCGCAAAAATAAATACATTATGGACATTTCACCTAAAAATATATAACACTTATATTATTTCATCAAACTCATTAATTCATTGGTACCGGGGAAAAAGAACTTAACTTTATATAGTTTTCAATACAAAAAAATTACATTTTGAAAATTCGAAATAATATAATTGCATCATTTCTAAATGGCTGAATTTCAAAATGGTCTAACCCAAATATAATGAACATTGCTTAAATTTTCAAGTATTTCTGGTAAGTTTTACAATTTATCCACAGAGTACCCAACAAATAAAACTATGTAAACAACTCGCAAAATTCAAAAGTCTATAAATAACTTAAATGTTCTGCAAATTTTACCACGTCTAGAAAAAGTAAATATAATTTTTTTGTAAATATTGTAAGTAAAAAACGAAATTTAAAATAACTAACGAATTATTTTTGTAAATTTTCCTGTTCTTTTCGTATTTTTCGATTTTTTTTTAATTATTAATAAAACTACAAAGCAAATCAAAAAACGATTTTCTTGGTCACCAACAAGGTTGAAAATTCAACAAAAAACATCCCTTGAAGTCTTCTATTGGAGCAATATTTATGATAGAAAACATAAGCCATAAAAGTTTAAAATAATGAAATCATTGTGCCGTAATTTGAAGAAAATCGTGTATTTCGTCTCTTTTAGTTTTTCTCAATTATTATGAAAAGTACTTTAGATATCAAAAACGGCTTTCTCGTCAGTGACGAAATATTAAAAAAAAAAAATCGATTTCTGGTCAGTTTTGGATTGGAGCAATATTTTTGGTAAAAAACAATCTGTAAACATAATATATAAAAATAATAAAAACGGTAACTCCGCGGCAAGCCGTAAATATTCGTCGTTTTACGTATGATTTACTTTCGGATTTCTCCCAATTATTTCAAAAACCCTTTAGAAAATCGAAAAATAACCTACTTAATGCATCAACTAGAGATAATTACCCATCAGAAAAAGCGCTATCGTCTATACCTACCTATCGGAGCAATTTTTCTGGTAGAAAAGTTGTTCACAGAACCAAAAAATACAAATACACACATCATAGTAAAACCAATAAATCCCTCGTTGTGCTCCGAATCTAAAATTTGTTCTGAAATAGGCATCTAACAATATTTTTACAATCAAAATTTATGTAATTATTTTTTGTTTTATATAAAAAGAATAGGTATTTGTTATATAATACATTAATTATAATCTGTTATACAGAATGAAATTTGAAGAAAACGCAAATTATTGATTAGACTAATATACGTTTTACAAATAGACAGTTGCAATGCATAATATGAGGCGTCTTACATGGTATGCTATTTTCTAATAAAATCCGTGTGCGTCCATTTTCGAAATTTCAGAGGTAATAGAGACAATGTTATTATGTTTTAATTATTGTATTTTTCAATAATGATATTGACTTTTTTTAAACTGTTAACGTGTCGTATACGTAGTACGGAAAAGTAGGACCTATCCCCCTCCCCGATAGACACGATTTTAAGTGAAAAAATAAAAAAGCCTAAAGTTCAAGCATATGGAAATTGAAATATAAAAATTTGGCTTCGTAAACTGTGATGTTCATTCGGACACCCATCTGTTCGCGGTTCACCTATACCTATTTACAAAATACTATCGTAAATTCATATCTCAGAGTGTACAATAATTTTAAACGCGTTTTTCTAATTAACAAAACAAAAGTGTTCATTTTGAAAAAATATGGCCAAAATTCACCCTATTTAGAAAATAAAAATAAAAATAGAAACCACTCGTTTTTGAAAAGAAATGTTTTTCGTTCTTTAATGTCCAATCTGCTCAGAATCTATGTTTTATTTATTCTTAAAATACTCACATAATCGTATGTGGTGAAAATATAATATAAAATTTAATCTTGAATAATATGTTTATGGTATTAACAATCAGTAAAATTTAATTTTAAATAAAATTGCAATGTTTTTCAACCATCGAAAGTAAAGATAATAATATCCAGAGACGTTTAATTGTATATTGTTAAATGTAAGTACCTATTATGATGTCGGATTGTTTAAGTATATAATATGTTATGAACTTTTAGTTATAATTATAATATATCAATAAGCATATTTATTTTCCTTATAATTGTATACACAATAATATGTCACTGTAGTTTCTGACGTTTCTGTAGGTTGAAAAATAAATAGCGATATGATTATTTATTGCTCTGTATTATTGATTATTTGGCTTGATTAGATAAATTAGGTCCTATTATAGTACAATATCTATAATACTAGTATATAAATTTAATCATTGGTATTTTAAAAATTAAAAACGTTAAGACTTTAACCTATTTTTAAATAAAATGCTGATAAGTTAAATACTGGTTATGCTAATATTAAACTAAAATTGTATTAATCGATTCAAATATTCTAATTGATTTGCAGTATATTTCTTATATTAATTATTAGTTTGAAAACGTATTACATAATAATCGTATGAACCTATATTATAAATATATATCTACACATATTATTAATATGCCTGCATTGAAATACGGTTTAGTGTAGTCCTAGAATACTCCACCTGATAAATAAGCACAAAAAAAAAAGGTCATCGGCAATCTCGGCGAAGGAGTGGAAAGGTCATGGGAAATATATCCCGTTCATCTCCCGTTTAACAGCCCCCGGATCAAGCAAAATAGAAGATTGCATAATGAGTCTTCAAAGAAAAAAAATATTTCTAAAAAAGTCAATCAATTCTATAAAAAAACATATACGAAATTTACTGTATGGATTCGAAATAAAATACCCAACATATTATTATGATGATAAAATCCAATTCAAATAATTGATCATATCATAATTGTCTTATAATTATCATTGTATTGAGCCCGTCATCGAATTAGACGAACATATTATAAATAAATCAATTAGATTCATTTCTTCAATTCAATAAAAATAATTCATTTCAATATACTTCAACAGTATTATTTACACAAATATGTAGTGTTGCAATTATAATTAATTATTATGAACAATATGTGAAAAACTATGTAAATAAACAAATTTTAAGAATACTGATATATACGGTTATAAACAATGATTAATACTACTATACTTTAATAGCTACTTATCTTGCAATTGCATTAGATTGTAGCTGTAGTGATAAAATGTATGCACATCTGATAACGATTCATGTAAGACATAAGAATCGATGAAATATAGCGGATTTAGATGTCTGTAAATATACGCGTTTTATTTCGGTCATTTTGGTTACGGTCGTTACGAAATACTTAACATACTTAACATTATTATTTTGAATACAGTTTTAAATATTTTAAATAAAAGATATTTCAAAGGAATTATAGGATTATTATTATGGTATCAGTTATTTCATTATAATTTCAACCATAGAATTAATTGAAACAGTGGTTGTATGAAGATATATGAAGATATTTTATTTATATATGCATGCAGCAATAAGCCATTGTAAACTAAAAACGATTTTGAGCAAAGTTCGGTTATACATGTTTTGAAATGTCACAATTTTTATAATGCTCGTCAAAATTTGATTTTAAAACGTTTATTAAACAATTAACTACGTTATGTTCAAACTTTTTTTTTTACTACTAACTTATAGTAAACCTCGTGTTAAATTTCCAAGTATTTCTGTTTGTTCTAGCAATTAAATCCATAGAATAACTACCAAATAAACATTAAAAAGAAAAGTAAAACAAACAATGATTAAAAAAGAAGGACATACTTCTGGTGCCACTGTTGTTGTGAGAAGTTGATATGGTAGAATATAGAGGGGAAATTATTTTGTATCTGTAAGGAAAAATAAACCATTGCTTACGAATAACGATTCTGAGCGGAGTTCAATTGATCGTCATGCTTTGTCAATATATACATTATATTATGGTAAAAAATTAAATATGCATTATATATTCTTTTTAATAATAATATGTGTTTTTTATTATACAGAATTTCTCGTTTTTTCAAAATTTTCCCCGGTTTTTACGTGTTTTTTCCCGGTTTTCACATTTGCTGGGAAAACTCTTGGGAAAATTAAAAAATGATCTCTCTAAAGTATCACTCCAAGAAAATTTTCTTTCAGAAAAAAGGTCTACATTTTGTACATCGGAGTAAGGTTTCTAATATAAAAAGTGTACACATAAAAAAAAAAAAATAAAAAAACATAAACATCTTTGTAAAACCAAAGATTTCGCTACACTTAAAATCTAATAAGTAAGATGGGTGATCCACTGTTATTGGGTGAGAAGTTGGTAAGGTAGGATATAGAGTGGAATTTATGTAAGTATATCTGTACGTAATGATTAATCATTGATAACGAAAAACGATTCTAAGCGAAGTATGGTTATATATGTTTTAAATGGCCGTACTATTTACGATTTTCATCAAATTTTGATATTACAATTCTTATAAAAAAAATCTCCATTGCACTCTTTTTTAGTACGACATAATATAATGAATCTCCTGTTAAATTTGCAAGTATTTCTGGTTGGTCGAATAATTATATTTACATAGTAACATCCAAATAAAAACTACGCAAAAAACACGAACAACTTAAAATGCCTATAAATAACTCAAAAATTACGAAAATATTTTGAAAATGTACTGCGTCTAGAAAAGGCAAATACAAGTTTCGTACTCACCCTCTAACGGTACGCAAGTGAGTGGTGCGCACAACAGTACGACGAGACAGAGGATTGTGGTGCCGTACCCTTGGCGTGGTTTGATCAAAACATGGTAACAATTTCGAAACACGTCCAACGGATTAACGGTGCGGATGACGTCCTGGAACAACGACACCTTGTCTTCCGGCATCCGTCCGTGGACACCGGTGTCAGAGGCATCGTCGATGAACATGAAAGTCAACACCAGCGCGACGATGCCCAAGCAGACGCTCATCATGAACGCGCACACGAAGCCCACGTTGATGACGACAAACCCGTAAATGAGCATGCCCAGTATACCTCCTATGGCCATCACGCCACCGAGCACGCCGTACTTGACGGTCCTCCACTCTTCGGACGTGGTGTCGGCCACATACGAGTTGACGCCGTTGAACAGCATTGGCAGGCCGCCCGAGAAAGATAGCGCGGCCCCTTGCATGATGCCCGTCACCGCCGGCGATACGGACCACTGAACGGAACTATACACCGATAGCGCGTCCGCTATTATCTGACCGACTATCGGCAACACTATTAGTGGTCTCCTGCACCGACCGTGCCGATCGCTCCAGGTGCCCGCGATCATGGCTAGCACGATAGGCACCATTTGCTGGCTCAGCATTTTCCAACCGTTGATCGGGGCCACCACGTGTTGCGCTTCAGTCTCGTTGTCGCACTTTGAGCCGATTCGTTGAGCTATGGCTCCCGACGGATCACACGCCTTGTATAACAGCAAATTAGTGCTCAGGCAGGCCGAGAACACCATCGTGAGAAAGAACAAGAACATCACCGGTTCCACCGATACGTTTTTAATGAAAAGTCGCAAATACGACATGTTCAACCGAATTTATGTTTAATATACTATATGTTATATAAATATATCAAACCTAACCGAACTTAGATATGTACTTATACTTATTTGTAAACAGATCAATGAACGTGTACTACGGACAGTCTTCGTAAGCTTCTTCGGTTCGACTGAATTGTTATCTCATTGCTTTTTTTATTATTTTCCTTTTTTTACATATTTATGTACACATTGATATTGTTTTTATCATATTAATCAATGCACCTTCGATCTCAATAATCGTATACGATCGTAACGACCGAGTAATTGTATGTGTACACTATACAGTATACACATTTATACAGAGTGTCCCACCGTGTTTTCCTTGTATGCTAATAATTTTTGTAATATTGTTAATATTAATGTTTTATTTTTTATTTATTCAATTGGATTTTACGTCATAGGATCATTTTTTAATTTATAATTTTATAACATTCACGAAATGGCTACTTTGTAAACGATATTGTCGTAAACAATTGAATGTATAGTTATTTCAATTTCTAGATACGGTGTATAGATGACTTTTATTATAGCGTTTTAATTGCGATTTTTTATCATGCAACGTAATTACAACCTATTAAATATAATTGTTTTTTAAGTTTACATACCTTTTATCTAGAAATTAAAACGGTTATTACTATGTAGCTTTCCTTTTAACATCTTTTTTACAAAGTGGTTATTTTGCTAACTCTGAAAAGTGAACAATTTAAATATTATTTTTTCTAGTGTTCAAAGGGTGTGAATATAAATATAATCTTTCTCTGAATATATGACCCGTCTAACACTAAATCCAATTGAAAAAATTAACAAACGTGAAAGTTTATAAAAATATTATCATGGAAACACGGTGTATCTTCCTGTATACCCGACACTCGTATACCTACAAATTATTACTAGTGATCCACTCCGGGTAATATTAATATAATGATTATGTTATTATATTGTTGTTAAATTATTAAGCGTACAGCGATAAGGAAATAATATTAAATTTTGATTTAATTGTGTCGTTTTTTTCCTTTATCTCGTAGACGTAATATAAGTAATATCACGTTTCATTTTATAATTGTATATAATTCGAGAAAATCGAAAAATGACTCCTTTAAAGTCCTTCCCTAGTGAAATTTCCTTTTAGAAAATTTTAATAATATGTTTCGTACATTTTCCAGTTTTTTTCGGTTTTTCAAATTTTATGAGAAAAATCTTGAAAAATAATCTCCTTTAAGTACCTCCCCATACCGATTTTCTTTCAGAAAAGATGCTACACCTAGAAATCCTAGAATTATTTAATATTTTAAAAACCCAACTATAAAATTAGATTAAAATCAGATATATACAATATACGTACTTATGTTATCTGTATATGTGGAGTGCAAGAGACCCGACCATTCGGATATTGATAAGATACCTAAACATATTATTAATAATTCATTGCACTGGGATTGAGATAAATAAAAAAAACGACACTTTTACAGGTAAATTACAATTTTGTACAATATATTTGTTTGATAAATAAAAAAAGATATTATAGTTATAAAATATTTTATGATATTCTGCTGGTACAAAAATATAACTTCGCACCACCACACTGCAAATATGATAGTCCAAGTGCTATATTTGCACCAACCAATTTATGCCACTGTTCTCGTTGGTCTCTTTAGACCAGCGGTCCCTACTACGCTGTCCTTTATACATTTTGAATGACCCGCACTAAAACGTCTAAAATAATATTATAAATTCTAAAATTCAACATTCTACACTTTTAAAGTAAATAAAATAAATTATGAAATTATACCATTTATTTATCTTATCCTATTATTCTTGTTTATTTTATCTGCCGATTTTAAATTTTAACTGAATTCTCAGTTTTACAGATGATTAGGTAGGTACGAGCAAGAATTTATTTAATGAAAAAAAAATACGCTAACAGATATTTTTTTTAGGTCAATATTGCAAAAAAAAAATTGGAATGGATTTACTCTATCCGGCACGTAAATAATTTAAAAAAATTATATTTGGCCTTTTTCAGAATCCTAATGTTGACCGCTGCTTTAGACTATGGAGTATATTATACTAAAAGGTAATAAGGTAACCCGTTGCATTTGTTCTTATTTGTACTTAGGAATTATGGATATTTTGTGTAACAAAAAAGAACATTACATGGCTTATGAGGGGGATGGTCGCCCCCTCGTCCACCCCTCAAGGACGCGCTTGGCTTGCCCCGCGATAAGAAACATTGGATTTCATACCACTAATTTTTTTTTTTTTTATATAATTTATGACAGCAATGGGAAAGTATTGTGAAAACAAAGCCCTCAGTGCTTTTGGCACAAAAAAAAAAAAAAAAAAAAAAAGAAGTCATTAAATCAATTTTACTATGCAAGTCCATTCCTAATTCAACAAGCAAAATGAGTAAACGTTTTTGGCTAAAAAAGTCCGGAATACTTGAAATACTAAATTATTTGAAATATTTCTAAATGTAAAGTTATTTCCTAGACAATATCATATACAGTCTAATTTAATCGGAAATATCGTTATTGACTAGGCATTAACATTAATTCCTTCATTTACATCTTTGATTGTAAGATAGGTATACATTACATATATCGTCATTTTTTTTTACAAAAACCGATACTTCAATTAAGTAAATAAACTCAAAAATCAACTCAATTATGAAAACAATTATAAATTACATTTTACTTAATAAAATGATGGACTCCTGGTAAATATTGAAAATACTAAGTAGTACTTTATTCCATTGAAATTTATACCTCAAAAATAAACACTTTATTGATATTTCACCTAAAAAAATAACACAGTTCCATTATTTTACCAAATTGATTAATTCTTAGTTACTAGGGAGGAAGAACTTCGTTAATTTTGTACTGTTTTCAATACAAACAAATACAATTTAAGAAAAGTTTGAATAACATACTGTTATAATTTATAAATTGCTATAATTACTAAATGGCCTAATATCAATATGATGTTTTAAATTCATTAATCAATGTATTTCTGTCTCAATATTCTCAGGTATAATAATACCTGTCGTAAAAGAATAATTTAATTTTAGATTTTATATAAGTCAGATATATTTTATTCAAAATTTGTTTAAGTGTTAAAAATTTGAAATTTATCTGTAAATATATGCTTCGGTATCTCCTATCACCTCTTGAAAACTCCATTTGATCTTGAGTTATCCAGTTGAAATAGTAAGATGTACTACAAACCGTGATCACACCGTATATTTTTTTCACACTACTTTTAGCGACTCGATCTGAATCTTAAATTCGGGAAATAGAGTTGTTTTATTGGCGGGTTGAAGTGATAAAATTTAAGCTAAATAATAGAAGATAAGAATTACACTACACTACACTACTATACATGCTGTAAGTATGACGATAATATTTGTTCTTACCATAGCACTGGAAGCCATAGTGTCTTTACGCCATCAGCTAGTTACTGTTTAATAACCGAATGACTGTGTACTCTGCTGAACACAAGCCTTTAATATATACCTGCTCTACATTGGATTGTTTCCAGCTAAATTTGTATTATATAGCCAAAACCAGTAATCCGGTGAATGGGAGAACATAACAACCTTCTGCTACAAATAAATTATTGATCTTTATTCCAACTATTTTTTTAAAGATTTTGTTTTTTTTTTTTAAAAAATGTATTTGTATATTTTTTTGTAGTTACATATTTGTATACGAAATTTTTTATAATTTTTTTTTTTTAATATATGGTTTTTATTGCTAAGTATTTTTGGTTGTAAGTCCCACACCGGTTATTTGCATTTAGTCAAAGGTTGCACAACAAATTATGATTAGTAGTTTTACATTTTCGAATCAATATACAGTACCAAATATGATATATGAGCCTTCGGTGATCTTGTTTTACAGGGCCACGATGGAGGGACGAAATTTTGCTGTACATTTTATAAAAAATGTAACACCAAAATAAAATACTCAAATTAAAACTATTGTTATTACTATTAGGTATTTTGGTCAACTAGTGTGTTTGTTCAAACATACCGTATAGATTCATTGAACAGTTATAATTTATATATTATAATGATGGAATGAGTCATTAATCATTATACTGATGTTATTATCAGCATAAGTTTAATATTTAGAATCAAAAATTAATTTTAGTTAATATAGCGTTGGTAATATTATTATCTTGATATCAAACCAGTGCCATTGCTGAGTAGGTAACAAGTATTCGAGTAGGATTTCGAATCTTATCAAACATTATATTATAATCTGTTCATTCGTCACTGACATCGCATTAATATAAGTAATAACTTGCTAAAAGTCGAAGTCTTCAAAATACGTATGCACCATAAATATTTGGCATTTTACCTATAATTTTCTTTTAGGGTTTTCCCAATTGTTTCAATAACCCCTTGGAAAATCAAAAAATGGCCTATCTAATGCACTAACCAGACAAAATTTCCTTTCAGAAAAGACACTATACATCCAAACAAGATTTTTTTTTCGAAAAGTTGTTTACAGGCAGAAAAAAAAATACACATCTAAGTAAAACCAAATATAATCCTTGGTGTTTAATATTATAATATAATATTTGACAAAACGTATAAAAATTATAACATTACTTTTAGAATATGATTAGCATTGTACAATATGTAAATATCTGTATTAAACTAAATATGACAATTTGTTTCATTACTGTTTTTGATTGAGAAAATGTCATCAGTAGGTTTCCTATTTTCACCGGCATCAATAGAATTTGAATTTAGTTTTTGATTTAAGAAGTATATCAACCTGATAAGACAAAAATTGTTAATAATATCTTTAATCTAAATATTTTTTGGAGAAATTTATCATGATAGTATCTCTGTTATTCGTATCGTATGTGTACCCAATATTGGTTTCTTCTATATTTGATACTTTTATCGTTTTCACATACCAAATAATTGGGTTCACTGACATATCACCAACATACCTAATAAATAGGACCTACCGTTGTCCAATACCATAGACCTTATGCTAATAGACAAGAACTAAACTAACCCCGGGCGTGTAAAATAGAGGGCGCTTTTGGTTATTAGGTTATTGAGTCATTGACTAAATTGATGTATTATTATTGTATACATTATACAGTGCACTTCTACTCTGTCCGTCCCTTTATATTTCCACGTATCTCGTAATGCTGTTGTTATAGCGAGTTATGTCTATTGGTAGAAGTTCTATGGGTCTATGGCCGATAATACCGACTCACGTTTTCACCGCATGTAAGTACATTTTATGATAAACATTAATTTTATTAATCTAACAAAAAATAAACATGTTATATATTTCATATAATTACAACACTCAGAGTACTTGTTTCGTATTATTTATCAATTAGGTAGGTACCTATTATAAAGTAGATAAAAAAAAAGATATATAGAGTGTCCTAATATAGTGTTACCTGAGTGCTAATTACTAAATAATTCTTTTATTAATTTTATTTTTAAATCGGGTTTTGTTTTAGATGATGCAAATTTAGAGAAAAATCAAATTTTTATTTTCATTCCTCAATTGCTAAAAAAAAATAACTTTATTTTTTCATTTAAATTTTCAAAATAGCCAATTTGTAAACTATATAATTTTAAATATTTGTATGCACTAAACTTGAATAGTTTCTTAATAATACCCTTTTTGATTTTTAGAGAATTGGTGTAAAAACAATCAGTTTTCAATAGAATATCACTTAACGTGATAAAGAATCAAAATCAGCATAGTAATTCCTTATCTACCTATAATATATTTTATAAAATTACCATTATGAAAATTGTAAAAAGTGAAAATGACATTTTTTTTCTATTAATAGTACTAAGGGATGAAAATAAAATTTTAATTTATTTCTACATTTGTGCCCCCCTGATAAAAAACAAAGTTTTAAAACAAATTAACATTGGCTGAGTTATTAGCATTCAGACAACATTATACAACGCTCTATATTTTATTATGGTTCATAAGAACTAGGAATTTGTATAAACGATATAGATTTAATAATTTTTATCAGTGTGCCAAAAATATAGCGTCTTACAGTAAGTTTTAACAGATAATAACATATTAGATAAATAGATATTTTAATTAGGCACTGAATGATTAAAAATTCAAAAATAAATATACCTAAATAAATAAAATCTGAAATCAGTTAAAAAACTAAAACAAATTATTGTATATTTTTTTGATTGATAATTAACACGAATAAATCGTGTAGGTCGGCACGTATTATAATGTTATTGTAACAAAATAAAGGTAGGTCTTCTTCTATATAATATTATAACGCTCGCAATATTGTCTACATTCAAATAGGCAGGTCACGTATGAAAATAATTTCAGTATATCACCAAATTAGCCTAAAGATACATAAAATATAAAACTGGAAATACTTACCAAAATACAAATATCAGCGGAGCTGTGAGGATAATGCTAATGAAAAAAAATGCCCCAGGAATTGATTCAAACGTACGATTATATAGAAAATTATATAAAGGTAAAAATCCACTTTTCAATATATTTTCCGTTAGCATTTTTATAGAATTCATGGTACCTGTATTATATAATACATAAAATAGATCAAATTAATTTTATTAATTAGGTATTTATTTGGTACACTTGTGTTCAATAATTACCTAATTCGGTGGGCTCAACACATTTCGAAGCTAAGGAATTTGTTAACATTAATGCAGCACCACGAAATATTTCTAGGGGTGCCACTGTAAGTTTTGTATAATTATATTTATGATTATTTTTTAAATAAACTAGGACGAGTAGGAACTTAAGATAAGTTTTAAAATAAAGTACATGCATAGAAATATTAAACAAAATATCTACATTGAACAAAATAAGTTCCTCGTAGTATTTATTTATTTTTGTTAACTTCTTAAATTCTTATTTTGTTAATTTATTATTGAGGCGATATCTTACCCAAATATAGTTGCCACGATTGGGAAACTATAAGAAAACCGACCGCAGATAAAATATCACATATTGATGCAATCATACCAATTAATGCGTCGTTCATTTTGAATTTGTGACTTAAAATGCCTAAAGCAAATATTGTACCTTGATAAACACAACACATTTTGATTAGGATAGTATAATCATTGTTTAGAAGTTTATTTTTAATACGTTAAGTAACTATTCTGTCTCTAACCTTCTATTATCATTTATTGTGAACAAAATGTTATTAGTTATTTGACTCTTACCTAAAGATATGACAGACATCTCATAAACATTAAAAATACTGTAGTTGATTTCATTCCACTGAAATTTATATCTGACGAATAGATACATGATCGACATTTCTCCTACAATATAAAAATATAATAATATAGGAATACGACAATATTTTTACCTACGTATTCGTAATATTCTACTTATCAGTTATCGACAGTATCATTTATTGAAATAATAAATAAGTTATTTATAATTATTTAAAAAATCAATCAATACACTCATACGGTAAACTAATATTAATCACAATAGGAAGAGTATACAATTTATTAACTAATAGACTTTAATAGATAAAAACTTAACTGAACGATACCAAATTACGATGTTACTAGTGAACAATTTTTTTTTTAAATTTTAACTCAACATAGTAAATTATTTTTGTTATGGACTGATTTACTCTGATAGCTTTTAAATGTATGAACTCAAAGTTTTAGAATTAATTTATTATTCAGTTAAGTCAAAATTTAACGTCTGCAGACGAATAATTGACTGGTTTTTTTTTTTCGAAAATCAAAAATGCGTTCGAATTAAGTCAGTATTGTAATAAAATAATTGCATTATTCAAATTACTGATAGATAGAGAATAATTTTTTGAGCACAAAAATTTAAATAAATACTGAATATATTTAGCGTTGATATTTGTAAGTGAACAAAAAATTAATTTTTTTTTGCTGAGTTATATTTTTGTTTTTAGCATTATAATACGTGCATAATGGTATAAAATCAAAATTTTTGTTAACTAAAAGTTACCTAAAACAGCGTCCTAGCCTAAACTAACCGAAAGTTTTTTTGTTTATTTACCCTAAATTTATTAAAATAATTTATTTTAATAACTTGTTAACTTATAATACGAGTAAGGAAAAAATACAATCGCGATAAATCATTTATCTTTGTCGAACAGGTCAAATCCTAAAAAACAAAAATACATCAAACGTCACTCACCCTCCAACGGTACACAAGTGAGTGGTGCGCACGCCAATACGACTAATAAGAGGATCGTGGTGCCATGGCCTTGACGACGTCTAGTCAGCACGTGGTAGCAGTTTCGAAGCACTTCTATCGGGTTGATGGTGCGAATGAATTCTTGGTACAACGGTCCTTTGTCTATTGATATTTGTTTGCCATCGTCGTTGTTTGAAATCACGGGGTTGACGTCTTTAATGAATATAAAAGTCAAAACCAAGGAAGCGAAACTCAAGCAGACGCACACTATGTAGGCAGACACGAAGCCCACGTTGACGATCACAAAACCATAGACTAGCATGCCCAGTATGCCGCTTACGGTAATCACGCCACCGAGCACGCCGAACTTAGTGGTCCTAGATTCTTCAGACGTGGTGTCAGCTATATAGGAGTTGATCCCGTTAAACAGCATCGATGGGCCACCCGAGCAAGACAGTGAAATCGCTTGCATGACGCCCGTTACCGCCGGCGACACGGACCACTGAACGGAACAGTACACAGACAACGCGTCCGATATCATCTGACCAACGATGGGCAAGATTATGATGGGCCTCCTGCAGCGGCCGTGCCGGTCACTCCAAGTGCCCGCCATCATGACCAGCACGATGGGCACCAACTGCTGGCTCAGCATTTTCCATCCGTTGATCGGGGCCACCACGTGCTGCGCTTCCGTCTCGTTGTCGCATTTTGAACCCACTCGTTGAGCTATAGCTCCCGTGGGATCGCACGCCTTGTACAGCAGCAAGTTGGTGTTCAGGCACATCGAGAACGTTATCGTGAAAAAGTATAAGAACATCACCGGTTCCACCGACATATTACCAATAATAATTCGCAAATACGACATCTTTAACAGAATTTGTATATTGTGTTACCTATAACTATTAATGAGCGCGTGATATAGATGTAATGTGCACTGCATTCATAAACTTGTTCAGTTCGAGTGAATTTGTATGCTATTGAAATTGTATATATTTTTTTTTTAATAGTTGTTATCAAATTAATCAATACATTTTTAATTTCAATAATATTATTATACTATCGTAAAAAAACAGTTAGATTTTTCTTTTCATATAGGTCGCGTACGTTCAACACGGAACTTGAGTATGTTGTACAACCATAATACTTAAACAAGATAACTTTCATATTTATGTATATCTTTATACGGTACAAAACAAACAAATCACAAATTATGAAAATTCATAAATTACATCATTATTACGACTTTAAGAATATTGTATAGTTGAAAATTTCCTCTAGAGGGCGTACGTAAGTATACCATAATATACGTTTTACTTACTTTTGTATATCTCGTTCAGAAACATATGCAAACAACATGTATGTAGATATTAGTACTTACTATTGAGTATTGACAAATTACATGTTATTCTATAAACGTAACCTAACACAAATATATGATTATAAATTATGATGGACTCTAACAGGTGCGTACACAGAGTGGATTATAGGTTTAACCTAACCCCCCCGCCACTTTAGACGTGTAACATATTATACATAATATACAAGAATAAAAAACCTTAATATAATAATACGTCTTGAAACCTATAAATATAAATAATAATTTGATTATAGGTATTGTTATCAAATCTTTTAATATACCTAATAAGAATCAATCGAGAAATCGTAGTTTAAAACGCCATTACAATGATAGTTAATAATTTATAAAGTACAGTCACATCCAGTATTAGACAGTATTATTGGTATTAAAAAAAATCTTCATGTATACCTAACGTTTTTATATTTTTAATTTTAGATTCTGAATATAGCGAAGAATGTATTAGTTTCATTAAGGTGTTTATTTTTTTTTATACTGTGTACAAAAATTCTACGAGAAATCTTGCTCAGATATATACGCATCACACCATTTCTGAAAGGGAATGTTATCTAGATGGTACTTTTAAGAGATAATTTTTTGATTTTCCAAACGGTTTTAATAATATATGGAAAAACCAGGATAAAACGCAAGAAAAACTGAAAATTTACGAAAATAATGCTTTTATTATTTTTCAATTTTGTTATTTGTTGTGTGTTTTGCGGGAAAATATTAAAAACTACTTTCTTACTCAGCAACTAAATTAAAAATTCAACAACAATAATCTTGTTTTTTATTGGAGAAATATTTCTGATAGAAAACTTAAGGCGTACAAATTTAAAATAATGAAATAGTAACGCCATAAATTTATCTGTTTTGATTTTTTATTATTATTATCATTATTTTTTTTTTTTTTTTGATTTTTCCCAATTATTATGAAAACTACTTGGTAAATCAAAATAACGATTTTCTTCGTAAGACCCGAAATTCGACAGAAAAGATCTTTTAACATGTTTTAATTGAAACAAGATTTCTAATAATAAAAATTAGTTATAAAAATGTAAAATCATGAAATCGTTTTGCTGTAAATATTTGTCCATTTACCCCTATTATTTTTCTAAGTTTTTCCCAATTGTTATGAAAACCACTTGAGAAATCGAAAAATGACCTACAAAGTATCAACTAGATGAATTTTTCTTTCAAAAAAGGTGCTACATTTTGATATATCAGAGTAAGATTTCTGGTATAAAATTTGTACACAGTATACAAAAAAATTAATAAATTAATAAACATCATTGTAAAATCAATGCACTCCTCACTTCCCTCAGAATCTAAAATGTATAGGTATACGTATACAATCAAATAATACAATTTTATATTTATAATGCAAAATACAATTAAGTGTAAATATTGATAAGTATTAAATACGAGTGTATTTTACAAAACGTATAAAATTATACAAATTTTAACATTTGAGCATTTGAGTATTTTGAGCATTATTTTATAGTTTTCGCCATTTCGCATGTATTACAAAACATTATCAATAATATATTATGAACAATGAACATTATTATATTTATTAAATATGGCAATTTATTAAATTAAAGTCTTTGATTGTGGAAATATCATTGTTGTGTTTGCTATTTTCACCGTCATTGATAGAATTTGATTTTAAGTCTTGATTTAAATAGTATATCAACCTATTAAATAAAGTAAGACAAAAGTTATTCATATATTAAGCTCTTTTTGATAAATGTATAGTGGGAATATCGGTATTCATGTCGTATATGATCTAATGCAAGTTACCACACTATCGGATACCAACTAAACAGTTACGGTAATCTACTTAGTAGATCTATACTTTACTTTATACCAGCGGTTTTCTACCTATTTGAGACTATTACCTATAAATCAGGTTGGATATTAAACAAATTCTCTTCCCCCCCCAAGAAAAAAGTTTTAAAAAAACTATTACAATCGTAATACATATGACTGATTCAGAGTTAATATTATTAACTCTGCAATAATATGTATACATAAGTACATAAAATAAAAAACAATTAGTTGGATCAGGTAGTCTTTACCCCTCAAAAATTCGTGTTTTATCCTTTGGAGGGTGATTACCTCCAGGTTGGGAATCGCTACTCTATGCTTATGGGCGTCAGCCGTTTCTGCCAAAAACCCTGATTTTCGCTTCCGCTAATTATAGTATCCCCTAAAACGAAAAAGGTTCAGTTTTCTTTTCCGCCAAATCCATTTCTACCTACTTATCTGAATATACTTATCAATTTTGCTTATTACTTTTAGTGAAATCACCGTCTCTAATCTAATCTATAACTAGGTATACAAATAATATATGATAATCATTTTTTTTATCAAGTATATTACTTGCGTTATAATACTGTTTTACAATATTACACCGGGTAGGTATGCATTACTGGTAAGTATATCGGTTTAATTAAATGCCATTGTTTGTATCAATCATAGGTGTATTATATTATTTTGATCTAGTGTAATGATAATACCTATGTTATCTATATCCTATAATAATTAATAAGTATATTAAATTTTCGTAAAAAAAAAAAAATTAATAATAAGTTTCGAATACATTTTAAAAATTAAAGGTGTTATTTGTCGGCATACCTATTGGAATTTTTTTCTTTAAAACAAATGCCTGTATGAAATATCAGGGTTGAAATGAGTTGTCGGCTAATTGGACGACTAATACAAATTAACAGCGATAGTCAATAATCATACAAATATGGTTTATTTTTAGATACCTAGTTAAATATTTTGTTATAAAATTGAGTAAAACACCATTGCGTACGTTCGTTATCGTTGATACTATGTTAAGCTACACGATTGCGTACGTTATTTGATTTTTAGATACTGATTGCGTACGAAATTTTAAGCGTTATTGCTAATTTTCATACCGGCTTATACCATATATAAAATAATTCATTTTTTGAACTATGATTTTATTTATTTATTTATTATTTTATTAGTAGTCATATTTTTTGTAGTCCAGATAAAATTATTTTACTGGATAACTATAGAGTACATAATATATAAATTTGATAACAATGCATACGAATTCGTACGCAATCGAATTGATTTTTTAAGTATTCTTTAATACATAAAAAAATGTACGCAATCGTGTTGTCAAAAAGGACAAACGTACGCAATCGTGTTCAACTCATAAAATTATATCATGGCTATAATATTGTGCAACACCAACAATATTATCAATTATTTTTTGTAAAAATTTCGCGATGATGGCGCAGGTTTCATAATAATTAATTATATTCTATTTATCTATCTACTTAAATTATAATTTGAGAATTATTTAGAGTTATCCAGGGATAACTACGAGAAGAAGGTTCTAATTGACCCCCCAAAAAAAGTTTGACCTAATTTTCGGATTGAAGTTTAAAAATTAAAATTAAATTAAGTTGATTATAATTAAGTTTATGTTACAATATATATTTATAGCTTCAATATCAAATGGTTTATACCTGACATACATTGATGATCGATAGCACTGTATATAGGCTAGGGGTTTTTAAAGTCCATCTCAATAACATACTAAGAAGAAATAGACTTGGTGACAGCGATAATAAAAGTTTTGGTGGAAACAACGATCGCCCCTATTGATAAGTATAGCAGTAACAAACAAACGTGTAAAACAAATAGTGTACACTAAACACGAATAATGTATGACACGAATTACAAAATATTAAATGCTAATGTTGCCCATAATTACCTAACCGAAAAGTAAAAATAAATATAGTACTATACTTACCAAAAAATGAACACCAGCGGAGCTGTCAGGATGATACTAATCATGAAAAATGCACTGGGAATCGATTCAAATGTATGATTATATATAATATTATATAATGGTAAAAATCCACTTTTCATTGTACTTTCTGTTAATAGTTTTACAGAATTCATTGCACCTGTATACAAGATACACAAAGTAGTATTATTATTAAATAGATGTTTAATAATTTTGTTCAACAATTACCTAATTCGGTTGGATTAACACTTTTTGAAGCTAAGGAATTGGTTAACATTAATGCAGCACCACGAAATAGTTCTAGAGGTGGCACTGTAAAGTTTTGTTAAATTATATTTATGATAAATTATTCAGGTAAATTACATATCAATATTTAGAAGTTTTGAAATTAAATACATGAATACGAATATAAAACCAATCGCATACATAATTAATGTACATCGAACAATTATTTGAATATTATTGGAGAAATTACAAATCATGATGTACTAAGAAAGTTCAATAAAAACCGGCAATTATGAAATCACATTAAACGTTTAGAAGAGACAAGATGATAGAATGATATTCTGTGACAAGGAAATTTATTGTAAAGTGATTTTGAAAGAGATGTAAAGATGCAAGTTAGATGACGAAAGCATGTAAAGATGGAGTAAATAAAACTAACGCTGAACGACATGAACAAAGAATTGTAAACACAATTAAAATAATTGACTCACAATAAGGAAACACGAAAATCTGTAAAAAAGCAAACCTATAATAATTATGGTAGACGACACTAAAGAAAATAATAATATTTTGTGGTTTTAGAACCGTAATTGTTAGTATTTATCAACAATCTTACCCAGATATAGTTGCCATGATTGAGAAACTACGAGGAAAGCGACCGCAGCTAATAAGTCAAATACTGATGCAATCATACCAATCAACGCGTCGTCCATTCGACATTTGTGACTTAAAATGCCTAACGCAAACATAGTACCTATAGAAATACAAATAGTTTTTATTAGGACATAATTTGTTTAGAAGTTCATTTTTGATACATGAATTAACTCTATAAGTCATTATCGCTATCTGTGTTAAACGTTGAGATCTTTATTGGTTTATCGGTTGTTTAAACTCTTACCTAAAGATATGATGAATATCTGATAAGCGTTAAATATACTGAAATTGACTTCGTTCCACTGAAATTTATATCTCAAAAATAGATACATGGTCGACATTTCTCCTAAAAATATAATAGTTAAAATTATTTAATAATAAACGGAACTTTAGCTATAGTAACATTCGCATATGTATCGAACAGTTGAAATCGTAAAAATAGTCAACATCAAATTCCGCTCACCTTCCATTGGTACGCAAGTGAGTGGTGCACATACCAGTACGACGAGAAACAGAATCGTGGTGCCATGACCTTGACGTTTTCTGGCCAGCACGTGGTAACAGTTTCGAAACACCTCTATCGGATTGATTGTTCGGACGATATCCTGGTACAACGGTATCTTGGCTACCGACGTCGGTTGTTTTATGTGTTCGTCGTCGTTTGCGGTGACGGTGACATCGCTGATAAACAAAAACGTCATCAACAAGGCCACCATGCCCAAGCCTATGCAAACCATGTACGCGGCCACAAAACCCACGTTGGCGACCACTATCCCATAAACAAGCATACCCGTTATTAAGCCCACGGACATGACGCCACCGATTACGCCGAACTTGGCCGTCCGCCATTCCTCGCACGTAGTATCGGCCACATACGAGTTGACGCCGTTAAAGAGCATCGGCGGGCCACCCGAACAGGACAGCATAGCCGCTTGCATGATAGCCGTCATCGCCGGTGACACGGACCACTCGACCGCGCAGTACAACGACAGCGCGTCCGCCACTATTTGACCGATGATCGGCAACACTATGAGCGGCCTCCGGCGCCGGCCATGCAGGTCGCTCCAAGTGCCCGCCATCATGGCTAACACAATGGGCACCATTTGTTGGATCATCGTCTTCCAGGCGTTGATCGGTGCCACCACGTGCTGCGCCTCCTCCTCATTGTCGCACTTTGAACCAACGTGTTGGGCTATAGCGCCGGTCGAATCGCACGCCTTGTACAACAGTAAGTTTGTGCTCAGACAGCTGGAGAAAACCATCGTAGTGAAATACAAAAACAATGCCGGCTCCACCGAAAGTTTGCTTAGTACTTTTGTCAAAATCGCCGTTATCGATCTAATCTATAATTAAGTATACAAATGTGTAGTGATAATTTTTCACCAAGTAAAAGTAACGCATGTTACTCGCGTTGCAATACTGTGTTTTACAATATTTCACCGTGTAGGTATGCATTACTGGTAAGTATTTCGGTTTAATTAAATACCGTTGTTTGTATCAATCATAGGTACATTATACTATTTCATTCCGAATATCGATAGCCTTCGCCATTATCAGAGTAATGTTAATTTGATTTGAGTTTAAATCTAAAAGCTCATTCGACGATTGACAGTTTTATTCGCGAATAAAAAATAAATTAACTGCATGATATATATACTACATAACACTACTTCCCCTTTTTGAGTCCCCGTTACCGTGTTGTAATGAATCCTCTAAATCCAATTACATCACAACTATCTATAATTAATGAGAGAACAATTATTACTAATTGAAAATTCGTAATAAAAACTATAAAACAATATCAAATAACAAAACGTATTTTAATTTACTGTTTGCAACGCCGAGATGATTATCGGACATTTTCGAGTCATAAATTATTATTTATGCGATTTCGGTCCAGTGTTATGAAAACACTTATGTAACCTATATCCTATAATAATTAATAAGTATATTAAATTTTCGAAAAAGAAAAAAAAAATATAAAAAGGTTTTGTATACATTTTGATAATGTAAGATATAATTTATCGGTGTACATATTGGAATGGAGTTGGAATCAGACGTGTTGATAGGTGTACGTCATAATATCTCTTTTTTAAAAAAACCGGGTAGTGCTGTCAAGACAAATTCGACCCATACACTGTTTTCCTGCTTACGACAATATAACAGATGTTAAATACTATAAATAAGAATATGGGATAGCTCGATTAAAAAGTACGATACATTTATTTGTCCTTCCAATAACGTATGAGTTGTGTACTTCAAACATTTTATGGCATTGAATCTAATACTATGCAAAGTAGGTACCTATTCATTTCTGATTCAAACTTGTATGAGAAACAGATTATCAACCCATGCCGAGGTTGTTAAAACCAGAAATAACTTTTTAAAATATTTAATTGTTGACTGTTGTGCCTATTATTTTAAAACCTATAATATTAAAAAAATACGAAGATCAGAATAAACACTGAAGACTGAAGTCCAGAATTATTCAAAATATTCGAGATTCAAGTATACATTCAAGTACCATTATAGATAAAAACAACTGTTAACAATTATTTCCTCATCATCACGCCAAAAAATTTCTCATATAGGCAATCACCACGATTTTGTGGAATAGGTGCCCAGGTTTATAATAAAATTCTTATGCAATCAAATATTTATCCATTCAATAATATCTCGTTTAATTGTATAAATATCTTATGTATGATGATAATGTATAATATCAATGCTTATAGATAATATATATATAATTAATTATTACTGGTATTATAAATCATGTAATCTCATCAATTTGTGCATATTATAACTTATAAGATAAATAGGTACTCAAATCTTAATAATATACTAGGTACATTAATATGTACTAATACATAATATAAATATAAAACAAATTATACTGTAAAAATTAGGTACCATAAATTTATGTATGATTTTGATTTGTGTACCTATATTAACGGATAAGTCGTAACCATAAAGTTACCTATACATGATAATTAAATACTAATGTGCATTATTAATTTCAATTAGTAAGATTTGTGCTATTGCATTCGAGGACTGGTCTTTTGCGGTTTTTGAGATGAGTAGATACAAGTAACTATAGATAATAAAGAAGTAAATAGGACGCCGCCTCAAATTCATTATGTGTTAATTTTTCGGTCCAACATGTTATGTAAATATGTAATAAACATACACTAGGTAGTAGGGACCTGGTACCTATAGATAAATCAAATTTATGTAGATACTTGTATTTACCATTTTGCGTTAAGTAATTAAAACATTTTTTTCTTACATTTTATTTATGCTCATAGACAATGTTTTTTTTAGGTGTGTCTCCGGGGGAGCTATGCCCAAACTTATGTATCATCAGCTCGTTTGACCGTAATTTACACAATGAAAAAAATTTGTTAATTAATTTTTTTCTGCTATGTGAATAACGCTTTATGATTATGATGTATACCAAGCACGTAGCTAGGGGGGTATCCAAAGGGTCTGGAGCCCCCCTCGCAAATATAAGCTTTTCACTAAAAATTCAGATTGTTAGTACAATTGTTGATAGTGGTGACAAATTCTATGTTTGGACCCCTCCCCCCCTCAGAGAAAACAAAATTCTGTCTATATGCTTGATGTAAACTGAATATTTAATCGTTTTTGCATTCGAACATTTTGAATGTTGCCGGATCAGTGGAATCCCCACCATTCAATCGTCGCCGTGACTGCTGAATTCGGTTCAGGTCTTTCAGCGTTATGAATATACCGGAAATAGGATGCTATCAAAGACCTTAATGCATTGTATGATAATTGAGGGACTTTAAATTCCTACCGACGAATTTCTGGATAGTGTCGTAAACTTATATACAATGAAGAAAATTCATCGAATAAAATTAATTTAAACAAATGTTTTTAAGCCGTTCTTATATTATATGTATACATGTATTAATAATAAAATTAACTTTTGCCAAACTAATGGGGTAGAATTTTTGTTTATTCTATACTTCTTCCCCCCTCCCTCGGAACAAAATACCCGAAATAAACACTGTTCGTTAAGATAAATACTATATAAAGTGACAAAGAGAAAAAATGTACACGATTGATAGATAGTTTTAAGTACCCGACTAATTTTTAAGATTTTTTTTAAAACAGACCGGCGTTGTATTGTTCTGAACAATGAAACACAATACGCGTATTCAGTTACGTACATTAATGATGTTGATAAAAAAAAAAAAAAAAAAACGCTTACCGTTGCAAAATTGAAAAACATCGTGTCGGCGGTTGATTGGTATAGATTTTTTCGTCTGTGCGTATCGACCTGGTTTGTTCGGATCGGCAGCCGACGTTTCGCACGGGAATCGGCAGAGATCACTCGGAGAATCGCGGCGGCGCAACGGTATCGTAAACGTAATATTATTCATTCGTCAATGTTAGAAACCAGCGAGCCGGGTAATCATGCCGACCGATTGAGAGGATCTGCGTCGCGTGTCCTCGGATCCGCGCTACAGCAAACTGAGCGGCAATACGGTTTCACCGGGAACGGGAATAATAACAATATTATCCGCCGGCGAAATCGCTGTTGCACAACGTACGATAATATTCTAATGTTATTATCGTGTCGGTTGCGGCCCCCGGGGGACGGTCTGTTCATCGATCGTTGCCGCGATTAAATATTATTGCAATATTAACTGTCGGCAAAAACGTGGAACAGCCCGAGACCATTTTTCGGCCATTATTATTATTACTAGAAGGTGAACAAATCTGAAATGCATATATTATTAACACGCGACAGTCCGTCAGTGACCGGCCACACGCATTGACGCACGATGTGAACGGGTTGCGGCCGACCGTTCAACAATGTGACGGCTTAACAATAATAAACGCGGTTATATATTCCTTTTTTTTTCCGTCCCGTCATAAGTGAATTTCCGATGACCGGTTATTTATGTGGTTTTTATCATTTGAGAAACAGTGGTGCGCAACCTGTGGGACTGAAACGTGCGGGATTATTGCAGCCCAGCTCCGATGTTACTTTTTTTCAGATTCTAAGCGGAGCTACCAGAAAACTTGTTCCAATCGAAAAATGCCAAAAAACTATTTTTATTGAATTTTGATTTAATTGGTGTATCGGGAAGGTCATTTTAGATTATGAGTGTAGTGAGGAATGTATTGGTTTTACAATGATGTTTTTTTTTTCTGTAGACAATTTTTCTACCAGCAATTTTAATTCAAATGATAATGTTAGCACTTTTATAAAAGAAAATCGGACTAAGGAAGTACTTAAAGGAGATCAATTTTGATTTTCCCAGTAAATGGGAAAAACATGGAATGGAGAAACCCGAGAAACACGTAAGAAAAACGGAGAACAGATACAATATTCAACAAATATTATTAAAGTAAATATTTAATACATATGCAATTATTTTACCATACTATGACATATTGTTGATAAAGTAACACTATCAACCGAACATCCGTTCAGAATCGTTTTTTTTTTGTTAACAATGGTTTATTGTTGCTTACAAAAATATATTAAATTTCTCCTCTACTACCTTTCCAACTTCTTACCAATAACAGTAGCTTTATCCGTTAACCTAGGACAACTTTTTTAATTTTACAAGCGGTTTTCATAATAATTGGAAAAAAAAATACGAAAATATATATCTACATAATTTCAAAAAATTTTTAATTGATCTTTGCTCAAAATCGTATTTCGGGATTGTGGGAGGGGGTGAAAGATGTGATCGCCTCCCCCTCGTTTACTCTCTAATATACTCTCAGCTGCATTACATATTTAGTTTGATTCATAAATGGGCTCGTCATGAATGCATACCTTATACGCATTGTTAAAAGCGTCTACCCGTTTTTTTTCTTAGATTCACCCCTATCAACAACAGTGGTACACCCATTAGCAGTATCAGCTCTTAAATTCAGAGTGGAGCAAAAATATGTATTGGTTTCACTTACACGAGATTTTAAGTGGAGTGCAGAATGCTTTGCAATGATATATTTAAAAGTATTTTAAACATAGATATTTTTTGCAGTTGTTTCAAACATGTTTTATTTTTTATTTCCGACAACTATGTAGGAAAAGTTTACTAGATGAAAGTACGCAAAAGCCATTGATGGATAGTATTTAAAAGTTTATTTTGTAGTTAGTCAGCAAACAGTTCAACAGAAAATGAAGAACTTTTTCCAAACGATGTTCTCTAAGTCATCAATGATTGGCTCATAGTGTTGGCATTTAATTACGAAACTTATGATGAATGTTGATCATGGGAAGTTGTGAAGCTTATTAATAAATGTGAAATTACTTCCTTAGAAATGCAAATAATTTTTAAAGGCCTTGAAAACATTGAGTTTCTTTATGTTGTTATTACCAAGGCGCATAAGTTTGATATTAATTGACATCGTATTGAGATAATCGGTATTTACATCTCCATCCACTCTAAGAGTGACAGTATTAACAGAAAATTCAGGAACTCCATATGCAATAACATTACTTTCAACTTTAGATCGTTCAACTGATTCGCGAAAAATCTTTAATGTTAGATCAGTAATATGGTTATATGTTATAGCATTATAGTTAGTTGACAGTTGATTAAGTAAATGAATGACGTTTAGGTTAACAACAAAAATAATCCTGGATAATGGAGAATGCAACCAAATATACTGTAGTGTAATGATGTAGTGGCAAGGTACAGAGACAAAGGTAGACGTAATCGAAATTGTTGATCGTACCTAAAATCCAGTACCACGGTTGGATTAACGCGAAACAGCTGGTAGGTGTTTCCGGAATAAAATTCACAATAAAAACTCACGAAATAGCTGCAGTAAAGTTTAGACGACTGGAAAATAGGAGTTTCACTATATTATATAAATACGCGTACAGGAACACAAGCAGGCAGATTATAAATGAACAAAACTAACTTAAATTTTTAAAAATTAATAAGATAGTTAAAATGTTTTGATAAATGAAAAATCAGACGAAAAACACTACTTTGTCATCACAACTGATTTCTAATAAATTCCGTATATCCACGACCGAGGCAGCCCACCGACTTAAACAATCCACCGGCCCATAAAGATTTATCTCTCCAACTCCCGTGGTCAATCCGCTGTTGATCTGTTCTCAAATTTAGCACATCGAGTATTAAATCTGTACTGTTCAGATTATAGTAATGATAATATATATCTTTCATCGTACTATTTTACATAAATTATTCGCAAACCTGTAATCTGTTGTGTATACGAGAATAGGTACATCATTACTTATTCTATTTTATTGATTTATTTTCATCACTAAGGTTGTAAAGTATGTTTTTTTTTGAGAATTTCTTCTTCAATTGATCAATACAAACAAATCAGTGTATTTTTAGAAAATGTATTAAATTAATTTTATTTAAAATTAAACTAAATTAACTCATACATAAAATATTAAATATTTATTCATCTTTAAATAGTTTTTAAATCAATTACAAAAACATTTAGAAAAATAATTTCTTTTAAAATCGATATCAAAAATGAAGTACCACTGAGCAGGAATTTCACATTTTTAAAAAAGTACATATTAGGAATTTCGAAAAATGTTTCAAATAAACAAAATCAATCAATAATACATCTTAAGTTATCACATGAAAAAATTTAAAAAATTTTACTAATCGAAAATATTTTCAATATTTCATTATAATATATATTCCATATTCTGAATCTCATAAATGTTAATAATACAATATTTTTTTAAATATTATTATGTTAACAAAAACAATAATAAAAGAACAAGGGAATCAATAAAAAAAAAAAAAAAATCAATTTACATCACTTAATTCGTATATTCTTATTTGTTCGTATTAAACTTAATAATTATTGCTCAATAATAATTAAAATATAACGTATGATCAGCTATTTAAAAGAGCTTTATGTGCTCTATATGCTCTACAATATATGGTATTTATTTTTATAGGTACATATAATATTTTCTATAATATGCGAATACTAAGTGCTACTATATTTAATTATAAAATGTCTTCGTCTGAGGTCTTCGCTCACAATCATTTTTCAAATGCAATATTTTAATATATAACGTTTAATTTAAAAAATTATAAAAATACACTTTATTTAATGCTTTTTTTATAAACCATATGGGTAATGTTTAATTTATAATATTTCAAATAACATACATTAAACATTTATTATTTATTTATTAGGTTCTATCAACAACATAATATAATTTTAATAAAATTAATTCTTATTTGACTAGAATATACACATTCTCTATTGTAATTATTAAGTATGCACCTGGTCTTATTTATCCATTACAATATTTGTACCTGTGTATATTGAATAGTAAGTAAATAATAATATGTTTACCGTTTACGTATAACAATTTAAAAAATTAATAATAACAGTAAGTATAGTTTTATTATTCTTGATTCAAATTGAATAAGTTATTTATAACTACATAACAAAATACAAATACAATAAATAACATAGGTACACTGCACACAGATATTTCCTACATAAATCAGTAACTTGAGGCTTCATGTCAACTAATCAACAAAATAATGGTTAAATTCATATACATATTTAAAAATTTACATTTTATAATAATTACTAAAATACACTTATATACTCTTATAGATAAATTTCATTAACCCGTCTCAATAATAATATGTTTGATAGCAATATACCCATCATACTGGTAGCTACCTAACAAACGTATTATTATTATTCTTCTTATACTTTGATTTTGTTCTTATAAATTGTAATATAGACACTGCTGATTTAGCAGCCTTATAAAACTCTATTTATAATAATAAAACTGTAATAAATAACACAAAAACAATAATAGTACCTATCTAAAAAGACGATAATACAAAAACGTACAAGTAAAATAATAATATTATGTACATAGTTAATTATTGTAGTATCCTCAAAATATAGGTAGAAGTTATGATGGCGGATAATAAATGTCTAGTGTTTAGAAATTACGAGTTGATCAGAATAATGTACATGTCCTGCAGTTATTATGTTAAATGTGTATTATTTTTATTAATATTTAAATTTTTGGGACTTCAATTAAACTGAACATTTTTTTTTGTATTTTTGAGAATGAATAACACGAACTCAAAAACTATTGCGTTTATTTAGGAAACGGCCTTGAATTAACTATGATTATGGATGACCGCGTATGTGTGCGCATTATATTTTAAATCTACAGATAATGCATAAAATATTAAATTGAGCAAATAGTTAAGAATTTTAAATGGTTTTTTTTTTTCAATTGTCATGATATCTAGACGTTATAAATAACATTATAATTTTGTTTTATAAACGTGTCATCTCGGTACTAGAATTAGTATTGAGATTGTTCGATGGTTTTTTTTCTGGTTTGTCGTTTTCCTGGGTTGTCGTTACTTGATTTCGGGTGTAACAATAAATCGTCCTAAAATTCATATTAATTAAAGTTTTAACCGCTCACTTAATTGAAAAAAAATCATTTTATAACTGATATCAAAACTTACGCAAAAATACCGACTAGTGGAGTTGTTAAACATATAGTTATGATGAAAAAAGCGTTCGGCATAGTTTCCAGAGTATTGTTGTAAACTATATTATACAACGGTAAGATGGCGCTTTTTGATAAATTTTCTATGACCATTCTCACGGAGTTCATGGATCCTATATACATAACATATTATTATTTTAATTCATCAAATTTCACAATGGTTTCTAGGTAGGAAAATTTATAATTACAAAATTATTTTATTTATTATTAATTTATATCACTTTTTATTATCTACAGTAATTTTAAATAATGTCCTTACCTAATTCGTGGGGGTCCACACATTTCGATGCTATAGATCCCACGAGAGACAACGCTGCACCACGGAAAAATTCTAACGGAGGTACTATAATATAATAACAAATTATATTTTTCTTAAAAATGATTGTATCTCAATAAAAACGTAATTATTTATTAATTAAAATGGATGGTTTAAACTTGTAAGTATAACTATATCTTACTAAATAGCAAATAATTATATTGAGTCACTAAAAGAAATCCGACAGCAGTTGCAATATCAAAGATCGTAGCAATCAAACCGATCAATGCATCATTCATCCTGAATAAACGACTCAGGACTCCAAGAGTAAATAGAGAACCTATAATAAATGATTTTATTGTTATAAAATGATCAAAAAATTTGAAAATTATTAATAATAATACAAGCACTGAAGGAAATCTTACCTATTAGCATTATGACCAAAGTATACGCGTTGAATAAACTGAATTCAATTTCTTTAAAATTGAACTGTTTTCTCAAATATAGGTACATTAAAGACACTTCGCCTAAATAAATACATTCAAATGAAAAAAAATGTATATATATATATATATATATTAATTATACAGACATATTACATATTACTACAAGTATATAATGCTATTTTTTATTATGTGGTTTTTGATGACAGTATTTTATTGTTCGACTTTTTTGGCAGCAAAATATTAATATTATAACGCATATTCAAAGTGTAAAGTAATGAACACAAACATTTGTATATAAAGACGTAAATGAATGAAAAATAATAGTTCAGCAAAAAAAAAAAAAAAAAAAATGTAACGTTTCCACAGTAAACTTTCTATTTTATAGAAACGTTACAGTTTTTGTAACTTTCAAGAAACTTTGTCGTTTTAATAATTTAAATACCCAACAAAGTCATTTTTCGAAAATGTTGTTTTCTGGTGCATTTGTTTTTATGATTTTCGATTTTATTTCATCACTTCTAGTTTTTGAGTAAAACGAGTAATGTATTGGTTCTACTATATGTACGATTTTTTTTTAAATAGATTGTTTTGTCTGTAACAATTTTTCTATTAGTTTTATTCAAAAAACGACAATAGAACTGTATTGTAGAGTTTTGGATCTAATTGATGAACTGAAAAGTCATTTTTTTTATTTTCCGTGTATAGTTTTCTTTAATAATTGGAAAAACGTAGGAAAACGAGATAGGTTTCTGCATAAATAGTTTTATTATATTTGAATTTATTTTTGTTGTAATTCGGATAAAAATAATCATAGAAACTTGAAATTTACGTTGAATACTTCTTATATCAGCATTTTCTAGACACGGCACAAATTTCAATATAATATTCAGGCGAATTTGATCTATTAATTTGGCATTTTCGAATTTGTTTAGGCTATATATCAATAAAATTGTTTGATTGAATAGAAATGCTTGAAATTTTACACAAGGTTTATTATAAGTTATATTTAGCGGTAAAAAAAAAATATTAAGCGTATTGTATATAAGAATTTTAAGTTCAAATTTTGATGAAAATCGTAAGAATTACGACATTTCAAACATATTTAAACGAATTTTGCTCATAATCTTACTTCGTCTGCAACAATGATTAATCGTTGTGTACAGATATAGATGTTAAATAACTTTATTTATCCTATCTTCCCAAGATCCCACCTACAACAACGGCACACTGATCAGCAGTATAACCTTTTTTTAAATTGTCTTCTTATTTATTTTCCAATAAAATTACTGTATCAAAAAATTTATTTTCCAAATAATTGTACTCTTGAGTTTCATTTTCAAAGGGACTTAGGTACATTTGATGTTTATTTAAACACCGTCTGCATTATTTTCACCAACGATATGTGATGGCAGCATATACGGTTCTTACCGATAAAAGGAACACCCGTTAATGGCGTTGCGATGATCATCAATATAAGTATGAAGCTCTTATGATGATCACGTTTGACCAACACTGTTTTGAAACTTTTGATGACGATTTCCGGGTTGAACGTACTCTTGTATATTGAACCCACCGGCTTGTACGGTTCAGAAGTGTCGTAGACAAACACGAGACCCAGGCACAGTGCAATTAAGTTTATGCCGATGTTCAGAGCAAACACGCCGATGAAACCGATTATGACGTTCAGGTAGCCTGCGGACAGGGCGCCCACGGTGGCTGCCAATGGGAGAATAGCCGCCGCGAATCCAATCCTCATTGTGCGATTGGACTCGTCAGTCACATCAGCTAGGTACGCAAATACGCCAATAAGGAAACAATGGAACGAACCGGAAGTAGACACGATCACGGACTGTGTGATACCGGTGACGGTGGGTGACACCTGCCAGAAAATGGTGAACACTATGTTCAGTATGTCGCACAAGATTTGTCCGAAAAGCGGCACGAGCATCAGCGGTCTACGGCGGCGGCCGTGGTTGTCGCTCCACGGGCCCGCGAACACGATGAAAATCAGTGACAGAATTTCCTGGATCAAGTTCTTCCACACGTTGACGATGGACACGCCGTGTTGGGCGCTCGTCTCCATCAAGCAGTTGGGCGTGGTATACAAGTCTGGTGCCACCGTCGCGTTAGGGTCGCATCCCTTGTGCAACAACAAGTTGGAGCCGATGGTCGACGACAGCACGGTGGCGAGGAAGTAAAAGAACAGCATTGGTTCCACTGTCACCGAGCACCGTACGGCTTTCCACGACGAGAAAATCGCCATGGTGGCGACGATGATGATCACTGATGATATTCGTGCAGGGTTCTCAAAAATAAAAAACAAAACAATTAAAAGTATTATCACGGTTGATATAAATACAATACTACAGTAAATTCAGTATTTTCAGGGATGTAAGTATATTAGTAGTTTATCCCCTCCCCCCATGAAATTTTTTCAACTTGTCGAATACCTATAATCTATATAGTATAACTCAATAACTGTTGTATAGACTAAAACAAACTTCAGTAGTAAACATAATAAATGATTTAATTTAACCGCCTCCCTCTTCCAGAAAATTTGTTTCCGTTGTGGCATTGCACAGACAATTAGGGCACATTTATTTCATATGTTTTTTGTATTTTTTTTTTTTGATATAGTAGTAAACCACTTTTAAAAAATACAAAGTAATCGTTAAAGATATTTATACATATACTCGTAAACTCATTTATTACGTACCTTAATTTTAGATTAGAAAAAAAAATAAAAAAACCATAGTATACCTCAAAATGGGCGTATTTCAGAAATATAAGTTTAAATTACCTATAGGAGGGAGAACTCAGTAAAAATTATTTGTAATTTAAGTGGATCGAGAGTGAAAAAAAAGAATTAAACTTTTGTAGTAATTTCGAAATGAGGAGATTCGAATGCCTCCCTCTTTACCTACGCCCTTGACATAACTGCATATAAATTAGTAATTTTTGGACATAGCTCTATATTCATACAGACTTAATCGATTTTCAAGGTATTTAATACTACGTCCTAATAATGACATAAAAATTTAGTGTACACGTTTTAACATTTACTTATAAATTAACACGATTTTGTTTCAGATTGCACACACACGTAATCCCAACACCCGGAGACCTCAAGGCGTATAAAATAAATATTTACAGAATTATATTTAGATTCTATATTCTATAAGATCCAATCGAAAAACTATCAATAAGTCGAGAATATCACTGCGGTCTGCGATTGCATGTAAGAGCGTGTGTATCGTTATCATCGACCAATTACCACCAATCAGAAGTGTGATTATATACTAAAGTTTATAAAAGCTCATATATTATTACGTTATACATTTCTAAACAGTACCTCACTTGACCATATTGCATTATAATAATACAGCCAACACCTATTGTTATTTTGCATCATAAGGGAGGGTTTTGGGGGTTCAACCCCCTCCCCAAATGTATGGTTGGTAAGGCACACGTGCGTATTTATGAATTTATTTAATCTATGAACGGTTCGCAGCAACAATATTATGTAAAATATAATATACCTCAACAATACAGTAAGTAGATATAACTTGCAAAATAAATACATATAGTAATAAGGAATGGCGTCAGGTATAAAATGAAAAATGTCTGGTGACGAAAATTAATGTGTTTAAATACTAAACTAGCTCGAGTTCGATTCCCTGACAACCATGTAGAATGTTTGAATCTTTTTTTTTAGGCATATTAACAACTGAATCAGAAGTTATTTTAACTCCTTAATATAGCTGCGTTAACAATAGTGATGTAGTTGTAAATATATTTGTATAAAGTTAATTTGAACAAAAATTATTAGTTATTTTGACTATCCTAGATGGGTTACAATAAATGATTACTGTTAACTACATAGCGTAAGTCAAGTCAACACTAATTTTAGGCCCTAAGCGAAATTAAACGCTCAAATGTGTATGTAATTGACTAACTAAGTTATTTTCATTAATAATATTTTTTTAATATTATAAGTCAATGGTAATTTTTTCAATAATGTGTGTTTTTGTTGGTAATTGTACTTATCAGATTTATTTATTGTATATCATGTTGCACAAAAAAAAAAAACATAGTTATGTTTATAAAATAATTAATAATATTAAAATAACTGTATGAGAAAATACATTGTGGTAATTAAAAGTAAAAAGTTCTATTACTAAAAAAAGTTAAATTTCCAAGACGCACATAATTCGAACGTGGGTGCAGTCACTGTTGTAGGTGGGAAGTTGGGAAGGTAGGATACAGAAGATAATTGAATGTATATCTGTAAGCAATGATAATCCATTTCTAACGAAAAAACGATTCTGTGCGGAGTTCAGTAATACTTAAGTATAAAATAGAGAAATATAATATAAAGATTAATAGTTAAAAGAATGTATTGAAATCGAAATTTATTTTAATTTTAATATAGCTCGGTCTATAGTATTATATTTTCAATAATTTGCGTTTCCATGACAACAATGATTGTTTAAAAAAAATTAAAATAATAAAAACTTAATAATAACAAAAAATAAATAAAAGGTTGCCAATGACAATCTTATTTTTAATCTTCCAATCTTTTTTAACCTAAAAAACCAAGTTTTCCTCATTATCTTGATTTTTAATGAGAATTTAAAAAAATGACCTCTTTAAAATATCACCCAGAGAATATTTCCTTTCAGATAAGGTTCTATACTTGATGATTAGAGTAAGCTTTTTGGTAGAAAAAGATTTCACATAAAAAAAAAAAATAAACATCACTGTAAAACCAATATATTCCTCACTTCACTCAGAGTCTAAAATTATATTAATAGAATACTAATACAATACTACTAATACTTTACTACCCAATCATCAATATTATTTGATCAGGCCTACCCAAAACATATTTCTACTTACGTAGTTGTTTGTCATATTTAGTAAACATTGTATACGTTCATATAATTTAACATATTTATAAATTTTATAGAAAAGGTTATATAAATATCTCAACAAATAAAACTCTCTGTAATTTGTTATCTCGTATTTTATTTTGTTTCATTATTGTTAGCGGCAATAGTGAAAAGAAACTAGAGATGATTTTATTAACTAACATTTATAATAATCTAAATCAATTTATACATTTTTATTTTCAGGTTATCAATAAAACAGATAATGAGATTTGTATTATGTTATGATTGGTTAGGTAAATCATTATCACATAAAATGTATTTATGTATGTATATTATCTACCTAAGCACAAAGTATACGTTTCACAACGTACATAACGTTACATAATATGGATTAAATTATGATGCTTTTTAAGTTTTTAAATGTGAGTTTAGAACAATTTATTTAAACTCTATTATATCCGTCCTATATGGTTATCTAGTACATAATAGTTACCACGTCTTTTCAAAATTGTATATTAATTTATTGTTAATAGGTTTAAAAACCGGAAATTTCACACTCCCGCATAGAGAACTTTCCTAACTTTGTTTTTTAATAGGCAATAATATTTTGAACGATATTTTTGAGTTTTTATAGTACATGCTATATTTAAATAATTTTGATACAAATTTGAAGTTAATTATATGGTATTTGGGAACGATACATCTTTGCAAACGAAAAACGAATCTGAGCAAAGTAGTGTATTAGTCGTGTTTTTTCATATCATGTTGTTAAGCTAACTCAAATGTTAAAACAACGCACCTAGAGAATGGACTGCTAAAAATTTCGATATAAATGTTTTAAGTAAAATACAACCAGTCAAAAAAATAAGAGAATTTTTACTAACCGTTAAGATTTTTTCCAAGAAAAAAAATTCATATTCATAAAAACTTATGACTTATAACTTGTTATTTTCAGAATCTAAAACTGAAATGGATGTTATCGTTTAAATATTTAAAATTAAAAACATAAACAAAAACTGAAACATTTTAATTTTATATTTTAATGTTATTAGTATACGGATCTTCCAAAGTTTATGTTACATTTTTGAAAGTAGAATATATCCTCCTTCTCACTCTCAAAACTATAATATATAATTTGGAAGACCCTGTGTATTTAGGTAAGTACATTATATCAGTTTAATAAATCGTTTAATAAGTTACGTGTTTTAAAAAAACTACAAATTAAAATTGTGCAACATAAGTACTTCAACATGTATAGTATGTTATATATTTAAATAAGACAATCCACAATGATAAGTGATAATTTTTTCAACACTATGCATAATAGTTATTAATTATATGTATGTGGTAAAATAAAATAGTTGTTTATCTTTATTCTTTACAAATTATAGGGATATTTATACTAGTTACGATGACGTACGTCTTTAATTTTAAAAAATTTAAATCATATATTATACTGTATAACCAAAGATATATTTAATTATGTTTTAAAAATTAATTATCCTAATACCAATATTCTATACTAGCGGCTATATTATATATACATAAATACAGTTTAAGTAGATTTAATTTTTTAATCTATTTTCAATTATTTCCCATTTCTATTTGCATTTGATAAATTCTGAAAATGATCTCATTATAATATGTATATGTGTCAATATTCACAATCGTGTTCTATAATAATATTCCACCTACCTCTCCATAACACTACAATATATATTATAATTGATAGGCGACGATAATCGCTTCCCCCTCATTCGGATGACGAACTCGACATCATATAATATAGGTAATTAATTTGAAAACAATAATTATAAAATTATTGAATAAAACACACTCGTTTAATTGGTGAGCGACGGGACGGAAAGAAACTGATAAATAGGCTATTAAATGTTGTGCGATCAAATTAGAAGGTAATTCGAAGTGTGCTCGCTCCTCGTTTATCAATGATAATTGTTAACAATAATAACGCGCGGGACATTATATTATGGAAAGTTATGGAAAAAAAAAAAAACAATAAAAAACCTATTTTGGAATTTACAGTGTTGTATAATAATCTAATTACGAAAACGATTGTGTTAAACATAAAACACGTACGTACACGAGACATATGTATCGTAAAAGGTACTTAATATACATGGGATACAAATCAACTTGTTTAAATATATTAATATTGAAAAATAACACATCAGGCAGCAATATCGGTTCTTATTTAATCGCTCGATAGTAAAAATACCTACATTATTTTACGCTTGTACTACATGTATAATGTGTTACATATATATTATATATTTTACACTGATAATCGAATTTTGATTTTAATGATGTAAAACGATATTGTACAAAACCATTCTCGTATACCTGTATAAAATACATTTGAGTAATTTGCAGTAGCGAACTTGAACTGTTATATAATAATAATATTTGTGCACCAGTGTACACTGTATATTTTATGGGAACAAGGTTTGTGTTCGTTTTTAGCTTCTCAGAAATTTAAATTTATAATATTTTCTCGATCAAAACAATATATTATAATTTAAAATATACCTACAATAATTATCTATCGTTTTAGATTCGTGCGAATATTATATTAACTAAACTCTTTCTCAATGATTAAAATCCCTTTTAAATAATACGTTTCATTATTCTTGCGTATTGTTGATTTTTCTCAAAAGTCTTTGATTAAGGTCAGTGGCGTGCGCATGGGAGGGGGGGGGTAAAGGGTTATATCCCTCTCTATTCACTTGAAAATACAAACAGCTATGTGTACTCTAATATCGAAATATATATATAACTATATTTCAGCCAAGTGACGAAAAAAAGCTTGATGTGTTGACTTAGAATTAGGTTTTCTTTAGAATCCGATTTTTAAATTACCAATTCCCATAGTCGAGTTGGGTAGAGAAAACGGTTTTATGATTTATTCACGACACTCATTTGTTACACCCCCCCTCCCATTGAAAATTCTTAGTCACGCCAATGATTAAGCGTGTTCTATGCTCGAATTGGGCAGAACACGGCTCCCTTACTATTTTTTTTTGTTTAACCGTTCCATTACTATAATTTTTTTTTCTTTATGACGGAGGGTCGATAAATCTCTTTCCAAATAACGATATTTTTAAAAACATTACATTGTATCAACTTGGATAATATTTTTATTTTATCTATTCTACTTTTACTGTATCAGTTATAAACATTATAAGTATTAACGTAATACATTGTATTATTCAATTGTGTACTAATAAATAAATGTGTAAGAAAAAACTTATCCGGAAGGTCTTATTGGTTATCTGTTTTGTAACTTATGAATCAGCGAATCTTGAATTGTGGTGTAGAGAGGGTTCCCGGGTTAGATTGAGTTCAATCATTACACGTTAATTTATTTTATAGTCTTTAAGTCTCATTTTCATACCTGTGGCATAGCTTTTAGCAGTGACCAATTGTTGGCATACGCACGATTCGCCTAATTTAAATTATTATATTAGTCTAAATTTTTTATGTACCTTATAACGAATATTATTTGTATATTTTAATCGTAATAATATTATTATAGTTCTAACAAGAATATGTATTAGATAGGTAGGTAAATACATTTTAACGTTAGATGGTTTCAGATGCGCGTGTTATGATTCTAGTCGTGTTGGAGGGCTTATTATTATATTCTCGTCATATTATCATTATTGTTCATTATTTTTTTTTTTTTTTTTTTTTTTTTGAAATATTACTATCTAATTCTAAAAACTATAAGCAATTTAAATGATTAGGTACCGCCGTCTAGTTTAAGTATTATTATGTTCACCATACATATAATAATATTGTGGTTCAACCGAGTTGTATTCATTGTCACTGTGAAAAAAAATATGATTGCATCATAATTTATAATTATTATTATAATGTGTATGGACACTATATATTATGAACTGTGTCTAAGTTAAGTTTGACTCAATAGATAATAAAGATAAAGTAAGTGATACTAATATATATTTATATATATATATAATGGATTTTTAGTTTCCGCGATCCACTATATCTAATTTACTACATCTACTTTATCTACTAAATTACCGAGTATAATTGATTTTGGTTATTTCATTCATTATATAGAATCGTTTACAATATTTTTAAAATGTACACTTATTTTGTACATACACCACGATGAACACAAATAAGCATTTGATTTTCAATCTCCCTCTCATGGCAGATTCAAAAACAGAATATGGTTCGAAACATTTATTTATATGCACAAACACAACACTAATATTGGATTTACCATTAATGAGTTACATAGTCTCAAATTTGAGCCCGAGATGTAAGGAAGGGTTATCATCTTAATATTGATAAGGTATTTTTACTTTTTTGATTTGAATTTTAAAATATTATTAACTTATAACTTATATATGGTATATCCGATATTATAATGTTATGCATAATATTAAAATTTTTTTAATCTGTGTTGAAAGGAGTGAGGAATTCTCTTTGAAAATCAAAAGTATATAAGTATCTACTCATTTAATGTGTTAGAAGTATGAAAAATAATATGAAAACAGTGTTAAAATAATGCTTAAACTTTAAAAAATTACATGATAAAGATCGAAAAAAAAAAACAGAAATTAAATTTACTTATAAAATCCTCCGAGAAAATCGCTGAATTATAACAAATTAATCACTCTGTATACAACTAGGTAAATTATTTGGTACACTATAGTCGAACAAAATAATACATCATAATGTACAGGTAATAATTATTATAATCATAGAAAACGTAATCTATACAAGTAAATTTGCACATTACCTGTCTAAATCAGAAAAAAAAAATAAGAAACTTCACAAAATATTACTATATGTTTTTCAAACGTAATATACATTTTATTTAGGTAACTTGTAGCTGTAAACTTATAAATTTTATATACCTATAGGCACCTGGCACTCCGATCGAGTTATCAGCTACAAATTATTTTTGTAAAAAAAAAAAAATTATATTACGAGTAGTATAGGTACCTATACTAATAATTTATTTATAAACAAGTAAATTATGTGTTGTTAAACTATAAAAGCGAATAGGTACTTATACAAATTCGCGGTTAATTAACAAAATACTAATTCGGCAAGTACTCATAAAATATTTAAATTAATGTGCAATTATATTTGATTAAAAACAAGATTAGGGATCGCCATAACATGTGTATACGTTAATTAAAAATTATAAAAAACACAAAATAAAAAAAAATATTATATTATTAGCCAATGCCTATTTAAATTATCAATCATTATACATTTTTTTATCAATTCACAACAAGCGTACTTGATATTTAATACAATTTGTATATTTATGCATTGTATGTGTAAAAATATGTGACGTAGCCTTAAATTTTGGGTATGGTTAAAGTTAATATAATAATAATATAATACGAATATTTTTATACGCAGTCAGTGGCGTAGTTGTGAGTGATATTTATCTATTTGATTTGCAGGCAACCCTTTAAACAAAATCAGTCCACTGACCAGTGACGGAGCTAACACTATTTTATTGAATTTTCGATTAAAAACTAGGTTTGAAACAATTATTGGCTCGTATTATTTACCGCGGGCATTTGCCTACATAAATATTGCTCGCTAAATAGTAAATATATTATTATTATATATTATAATATAATTATAGTCGAATAAATATTGATAGTTCATATTATTAATCGGTTAGGTATTAAAGAGTTTGAGGATAATTACTGACGTATATCAGTGGCGTATTTAGGATTTTACCAAGGAGAATGTTATTGAATTTGGAAACTGTGTCATATTGTATAACAGGTACCCACTACCCAGGCTTAAAAAAGTTATAGTATAATTTTATAAAGTAATTAATATTTATATTTGTCCTAAAATTAACAATTATAATTTAAATCAAATAACTAGGTACATCTATAAGTTAGTACTTATTATTAGTTAGTTTACTGTTTAGGTACTAAAATTAACCTCCTTAATATTAAAGGTTTGGATATAGGTTTCATTTTAAGATAGTCGGAGCAGTTTTACCAAATTTTCTCAAATTTTGTTAAATTAAAAAATTAATTTTACCATTTTATGACTACTTTAACGATAAAAATTATCCATTTATTTACTGTCCAATACCAGGTGATCCATCAAAGTGGGCACACTCAATATCTCGGAAAGTATTAACTTTTTCCGGAATTTGTTTTCCAGAACATTTAAGAAAGAAACAGCTCTATAATTTAATATTTATGTTATTTTTAGGATAAAACCATTACCCAATTTTGATTTTCAAATGGCAACCTATATTAAAAATTCCATACATAAATGGAGTATTAGTTAAAATAAATTTTAGTGTTGACATTTTAAATTTTCGTTAATTCGTTGATGAGATATTCTACTTTTAAGTTTGGGTTGGAGGAAAATAGTGAAATATTATTTATATGGCTTTACAGCGCGCGGCGTGCACCATCACTATACTCTCCTCCAATCCAAATTATGAAATATCTCGTCAACGGATTGACGGAAATCAAAAAATGTCAATACTTAATTTTAACTAGTACTCCATCTATTTATGGACTTTTTAATAGAGGTTACCAATTGAAAATCAAAAGTAGGTAGCGGTTTTGTCCCCAAAAATAAGAATAACAAAAATAACATAAATATAAAATTATAAAGCTACTTGTTTCTTAAATGGTCTGGAAAAAAAATTCCGGAAAAGTTAATACTTTCCGAGATAATGAGTGTGCCCACATTAATGGATCACCTGGTACTGTTTAAGGAGAAGGGATACGACTGTTTTTATGGACGATGTAACGTATTAGATTTAGACCAATAAATGGTGGTAAATAAATTATAAATCCAAATGTTTGATTTTAATTTTTAAAATATGTAAGGATTTGTTGACAAACTGTCTGGGTTTTTCAGAAAGTTGATTTTCAAATCAAAATTTGGTACACCCAAGATTAATACAAATGCAATTCGGTGTTTTTTCGGAATTTTCAAAAATATCAGAATTTTGGGCTATCTTAAAAACTGTAATTTTAAAATCAGCTCCGTCAGAAAACTAAAACATATTTTAAAAAATGCATTCATACTTTAAAAACGTAAATTGGGCATTGGGAGATATGACTAATTTTCCACCGCTAATTGATTTAAAATGTATGAAAACTATAGGTGCGCTCCAAACCCCTTAAAAAAGATAATCTGTAGCTTATACATTCAGGTTTTTTGATCCACTAATTATTACTAACACATTAAGTTGTTGATTTCCTGACTAAAAAATAAATGAATTTGAATGTAGTCACATAAATAACCTAACAAGTGAACAGTATTTTTAACGTTACATGCCGGTCGTCTTGTTACCTACTTAATAACTAATATTTATGTATTCAGTATATTTAATACCTACGTATTTATTAGTCGGCGACCAATACGAAATATGTAATTATAGGTACTTCCGTCTGTGTACTCTGTATACCGCAGGACCGTCTGGGCACGGAGCGAGACTGCGCATGTACAGTACGAACTATAGTAAATTATTGTCACGCCAAATCGTTTGAAAACGACCGGGGTGGAAAAATGAAAAAAAATATTTAACAAAAAATCGTTAACCGCGAGCGGAGACGAATTCACACGGTGCCGATCACGCGGCGCGTGGAGACAGACTGCCGCGCACATCCGGGAAGACGAGTCCGCGAGGCGCTGCCGGACACAAACGGGCGCATGGCACACGGCCAGTTATTAATATTTCTCTAACATCAACAATGGGATACCGCACGGCGACCGTTGTCGTGTTACGCGCTACGCTAAACCGCAGAACTGTCCCGTTTTAGTAACCGGTTTCGCGCACTATTATGCATCTAATATTATAATCGTACGTACAGGCGCGTCCCTGAGAGGGAGGGGGGGGGGCAAAAGCGTTGACAAAATGTTGTTTTTTGTAATACAAAATATCTATAGTTCCTAAGTACAAATAAGTAAAAATACAATTGGTTTCAAATGCCGAAAAGATGATTCTGGGTCTTGGAAATACTTTGTTTGAAACAAGAATGAAACACTTATCATTTATAAATTACAATAAATATTCTCTCAAAGGTGACATAGAATTATGGAAAACTAAATAGGAACAATCGATCTGCAAAGATATAATAAAATAATTTAGGTAATTTTAGAATCAAATTTGGAAATGTTTAAGTTAATTTAAATTTTAGATTCTGTAAAGAATATACCTATTGGATTTATAATATATTTTTTTTTTTTTATTGTGACAAAAATTTCTACCAGAAATCATACTTCAATATATAAGTATAGCACCTTTTTGAAAGAAAATATTGTTATATTGACTAGATGGTACTTTAGGAAAGTCATTTTTTGATTTTCCAAGCAGTTTTCAGTTTTCATAATATCAGGAAAACCCAGGATAAAACGTAAGAAGAACGGGAAAATTTACGAAAATAATCCTTTTATTATTTTCAGTTTTGTTTTTTGTTAGTTAAAAATATTTATTACGTTTATTATTCTACTTGTTTGTAGACTTGACATATGGACAGAAAGACATATTTGCCTTTTATTGACATGGTAAAATTTTTGAGCAATTTATAGAAATTTGAATTTTGCAAGTTTTGTACGTACTAGTTGGGTACTCTGTGGATAAAATTGTTAGACTAAATATAAATGCTTGAGAATTTAACATGAGGTTCATTAAAAGTCGTACTTTATGATAAAAAAAATGTTGAGCAGAGGCTAACTGGCTTATCACTTTTAAATATTCATAGAAATGAAAACATTAGTATGGAAAATATTGTGGATCAAACCACTTACAGAACGCAGCTTAAAATAAAAGAATTTTGGACTTGGTCATCTAAATTTTATTAATCATTATTTTTGTTATTTTAGATTTTGAGTGTAGCGAAGAATGTATTGATTTTACTAAGATGTTTATTATTATTATTTTTTTATAATGTGTATACAAATTCTACTATTAATCTTCATCTGGAATTTATGCTTAGCACCATTTCTAAAAGGAAATATTGTCCAGATGGAACTTTTGGGAGGTCATTTTTTGATTTTTTAAGTGGTTTTCATAATATCTGGGAAAAACCCGGATAAAACGTAAGAAAAACAGACAATTTCCGAAAATAATGCATTTATTATTTGTTGTAATTCAGTTAAAAATATTTATAGAGATTTGAAATTCGGACAGAAAACTCATATTTGTCTTTTTGAGGTATTTATAGACATATTAATTTCGAGTTATTTTATACGTAATATTTATTCGGTAAGTATTCGGTAAAATTGTTAGACTTGAATAGAAGTGTTTAAAAATTTAACGAGAGGTTTATTAAAAGTCTTACAAGGTAGTAAAAAAAAAATTAAGTTTAATGTAGAATGTTTTTTTATAAGGAAATTTTAATATCAAATTTTGACGAAAATCGTTTTAGTTAAAAATTATGTAAAAATTATAATTTTAAATTTTTTTTTTTTTGAACATACATGTTTATTGCCAATTTAAAAACGATGGTGAAGTCAGAATTAAGCGGACTGATTAAATTTCAAAATGATAGCTTTTTAAAGTTCTGGTATTATTTGTTATGCTAAATAACTCTATCTATATCTAATAGTTATTATGCCTATTATCATCCTTGGGGATCCGAGTTCTAATCATTATGTAAAAAAAAAAACGTTTACATTTTTTTCTATTTAACCTAAACAAAGAAAAAACAAATGCATTTTGGATGTACCTAGAGACCAAAGTCATTGATCCTTCGAACTATTTTAATTGCAAAATACCTCTCGATTTGTTGTGCAAACTTTTCTACCAGAAATCTTGCTCCAATGTATCAAGTGTAGCTTATTTTTTGAAAGGAAATTTTATCCCCATGGTAATTTAGGGAGATTATTTTTTGATTTTTCAAGCGGCTTCCATAATATCTAGGAAAAACTGCGAAAAAATGTCGGAAAAACGGAAAATGTACGAAATATAGGTATTGGTAAAAAAACATTATGGCCCTTTTTTTTTTTTTGTGAACAACTCTTATACCAGTGATTTTGCTCCAATTTACAATGATATCACTTTTTTAAAAGTAAATCTGACTTGGGAGGTACTTTAGGAGATCATTTTTCGATTTTTTCAAGAGTTTTCCCAGCAAATGTGTAAAAGCGAGCAAAAATATGGGAAAACGCAGAAAAAACGGGAAAATTAGTACAATATTAAACAAATATTGTACAAAATATTGTAAAGAAAATACATTATACCTATATTTAATTAGGTATTTTACCATAATATGACATTTATATTGTTGACAAAGTATCACTATCAACTTATAATAAACCTCCTGTACAATTTTCAAGCATTTCGGTTAATTATAACAATTTTATCCATAGAGTACAGACAAATACAAATTACGTAAAAACTCGTAAAATTAAAATATCCATAAATAGCTCAAAAATGGTTAAATTGTACCACGTCTAAAAAAAGCAAATATAATCTTTCTGATAAAATTTCAAGTCCCTACGAATATGTTTAACTAAATTAAATGAAAAAAAAAAATAAACTACGTATTTTTCGGGTTTGCTCAATTATTTCAAAAATACAAAGAAAAATAAAAGACGATTTTCTTACTCACCAACTAGTTTAAAAATAAAACAAAAAAAGTTCACTTGTTGTTTTTTTAGTGGAGTAAAACATCGTGAACAAAAGTTAAAAACAATGAAAATAGTAACGCCGGGCCATATGCTGTAAATATTTTCCGTTTTACATATAATTTTCTTTCAGATTTTTCCCAATTATTTTTAAAACCCTCTGGAAAATCAAAAAATGACTTGTTTAATGCACCAACTAAACAAACATATTTTTCAGAAAAGGTGTTACATTCTATACATAGGAGCAAGATTTATTTTCGAAAAGTTACTTACAAACAAAAAAAAATAATGAAAAGAACACATCATTATAAAATCAATAGATTCCTTAATATGCTCCGAATCTAAAATTACAAATAATTATATGGCAATCATGAACCAATATAATATATTATTATGATACATACGACGTGATCTTATTATTAAAAGTTTAGTACTTACTTACTGGTATTTCAGATGTAGCTTGTGTAACAATACATGCACATGTTACAGACTGTAACTTACAGACTACAGTAAGTACTAAATGATTATCAATGCAGTCGGCATAACTGTTAGTTAAATTATTCGTTTTGACGCTATATATAATTGAACAACTTACACAGATAATATTAACTTAAGTGCCTCATTATTATTATTATTATAGGTATTTTTTTTATTGATCGTAATCATCGACAACTTTGGGCATTATTAGTTACAACAGTGTTTCCCAACCTGGGAGGCACTCCCCCCCCGGGAGGGGGAGTTGAATACATTGCTGGGAAGGTGCAATGTGGGGAAAAATAAAAAAATGAATAACGACTGTTTATCGGGTATCATTGTATTAATAAAGATTACGAGAGAGCCCAAATTTAGGTAGGGACGACAGGGGGTAGTTACTCGAGCGATTTTAATTTTTATAAATATCGTTTGTACAGATTTGATTGCTTATCGGGTGGGGGCAAGATTTTTGAAAATCTACAAAAGGAGTGTACAATAAAAGAGGTTGGGAACCACTGAGTTACGACATAAGGTACCTTAGTGACTTAGGCCATTTAGTTATTATTTTTATGTTTATGAATCGATTTTATTTGATATATCACATATTATATTCTAATCGAACACTTAATTACGTAAGTATTATTTCCGTAATAAATTTGCAATTTTTTTTATGAGGTCATTTTTAAAACCAATAACATAATATAATAATATGTAATATGTTTTGCCGAAAAGTTAATTTTCTGATAACTGCTTATCTATTGATTTCCTTGAATAAGTTACACCTACTAACGTTAAATTATGTAAGTACACATTAATAAGCAACCATATTATAATAATTAACCGCGATGTAGATATAGGTAGTAATAAGTTAGAGCCAAGTATTAATGGAGGGAGGTGGTAATTATTGTTGTTTTTAAATTAGAGATATTTTATTCAAGAGAAGATTTATTTTACTCAATCATCATAATATTTTTAAAAAAGGTAAAAATATACACCTATTAAAGAAATTAAGTTTTGATTTATCGTTAGATGAGATTGTGTCATTGAAATGATATGATCACAGATTTCTATCACTAGTTATTACAATAATTATTTTGTATTCATACACCGTATTATGTAATCATAAAACTATATGAATTTGTTTTTTCATTATTATAATTTATACATAATAATAATAGTAATAAAAACAAAACTTTGTACCCTAGCTGGGCCGGAAGTCAATGTTTATGTTGGGTTATATCCCAGATAGTAATACAGTAAAACTACTCAACAAATGTGAAAAACTGGGAAAGTATAGGAAAACCGGGAAAAACGTAGGAAAACCCAGGAAATTTTAACAATATTAAACAAATATAATTAAAGAAAATATATAGAGATTATTTAATTATTTTGCTATAACATGGCATATATATTGTTGACAAAGCATCATTATCAACTGAACACTGCTCAGAATCGTTTTTCTTAAGCAATGGTTTATTGTTGCTTACAGGTATACATCAAATTACCTGTAACAATGGCTGCACCTGTTACCATTATCCTAGGACATCTTTTTATTATTCTATATACTAACACATCATATATTCTGTTAATTACCTAATTGTATGGCAGTTTAATCCAGGCATGTACAATGTACAGTGTACATGAATAATATTTCTATAGTTAAATTTAAAGGTACTGAAAATATTGTACATTACTAAATGTAAAATTATTATACAGACTTTTTAATTATATAAATATTTAATTGGAGGGATAACCTCCCCCCAATTAAAAATAATAATAACGAAAATAAAAAATTGCCACAAAATGTAACAAAAAAGTACTCTTTTCATTTTTTGATTGGAACAAGATTTGTGACGCATCATTTACTATAATAAAACCAATGCAACCCGAATTTAACTCAAAATCTAAAAAATACATACATTGTAGTAAAACCAATACGTTCTTCGCTGCGCTTAAAATCTTAAACATACACTAATTCAATGTAAAATAAATATTATTTATGTAGGTACCTTTTGATAAAAATCACATCAACCTATTCTCGTTCGTTCATTTTGTCCACGTTATCACTGCATTACATAATATAGTTTATTTATGGGTACCTACCTTCTACAAAATAATTTTTTTGTTTGTTCATTCATTCATTTCTACGTTGAGCGAAACTATTTGCCAAAATAGATAACCGTGGTAATAATTGATTACATAATCTACCAGTGACGTTTTATAGAACTTATATAGAATGTTCATAATGGAATACAGGTTCGTTGATTACACTAACAATACTATTGTCAAAATACACAATGTGGAAGTTCATAAAGTACAATAATAAATTAATCTTGTAGGTAGGTACTATTTTATGTTTACTAATTTATGATCCGTATAGGTATAGTGATTATTAATAATATCTCTGCTATCTAACAATTTTCTTTGTGTACAATATATTTTAATAATGGTCAAATGAATGAAGATTTTCTATTGTTTGTTCCGGTAACTGATGTCACGGGACCTTGCACTCTTTTAACTTTGCCTAATTTGATTGGAATAGATTTCAACTATAGTAGAAATCGTTTGCAATGACGTTCAAGGAACAACGTAAAATAGGTCATAATAACCGACACAATTTAGCATGTAAAAGATACCTAGGATTTTTGACGAGACCTTCACCTTTCAGTCATAAAACCCGGTATGTTAAATAACCGGTGTCGTTATAAGCGATTTCTACTGTATATGGTTGGCCAAGAATATGATGGTGCTATCTCAATGAGTGGTACATTTCATGGTGCCCACCTTTATGTCCAAGAAAAATGTCCATTAGCTATATATGTACACATTACTCATCTCATAGTCTAAATCTCGCCATTTCTGATACGTATAATATTACTTCAATAAGGAATTGTTTAGGAAGTAATGAGTCAATTTATAATTTTTTCAACTCGCCGAAAAGACAAAATATTTCAAATACATCTATTTAAAACATTGTACCTTTGTTATCTCGACAAAAATTATGACTCAGTAATAATTTACCTAGAGTTACAAGATGCTGTGGTTTATGCTACAGATAAAATAAGCACTTGGACTGATAAAAATATATCTTCATCAGCAAATCAATTACATTTTGTGATTAATAACTTTGAGTTTCAGACATACAATATATAATATCAACAGTGCTTGCTGTTAGTTTACCGCTAAGTAAACTTTTACAAACACGTGAATTTGATTTATCTTACGTTATTAATATGGCTGATAATTATATCAATGTTCTAAAACGAATGAGGCAAAATGTCGAAAAATAATTAAAAATAATATTCAAAAGAGAAAAAACATTTTGTAAAAACTTCAATAACAGTATTTCTTTGTTTCGACGTCTTAGAAAACAAGTAAATCACAGATAAGATAACACTCACGTAACCACGCTTGAGGAATACTACCGAATAATGATATTTATTCAATAATAAAGTAAAAACAAAATTATTAAAATGATTAATACTCGTAAATAAATACAAATAATTGCAATACAAACATAAATACAAGTTCAACAATTTCACAAAGCGTTAACCTACTGTTGCAACGTTGATTCAATTCACGATCTCATTTGGCATTACTGTAAAATAAATCTCGCCGAACGTCATCACAACCGTCACAATTAATAAATACTACCTCCGTCAGCTACGTAACTGAAAACCAAACAGACTACCGTTACAAAACCTATACTAATAGAATTAACTACGGATATAAATAAGTCAGTCAAAACTAGTTTTTACTGAAACGCATGTATTCCAACCTGCTACCTACCTAAAACGCACGCAATCGATAAATATTGCTCCATAAATTCGACTGGCCGGCTATCAAATCAATTATGATAACTTCAACCCATAGACGTATAATATATTATAATTCAATGCTAAAGCATTTGGTTCAAATGCACTGGTTGAAACCAGTTGTCCATCAAATCCTTTTAGATATGGACTTCGACCAATTATACCTAATCGATAGTAATTCGGCCGTTGTAGCTTTTGTCCCTGCGTTTTCAGTTTAACCAGTTCGTTTGTCTTCGTCATAGCCGTTGTGCGTGTATGTCTCGAGCAACTAGTTTAAACTATCAAAATAAAAAAATATTGATTTTCACTAGATAATTCCAGCTTTCACCGTTTCAGACACAACTAGTTCCAACCTAACAAAAATAAGTTAAATCTAGTTTGACCGGTGAAGGTTTTAGTTAATTCTAATTTTAACTAATCAAAACTAGAATTGACTAAAAGGATTTGTGGAAACTAGTTTTCAATAGTTAAATAATAGTTAATAGTTGGTGGATTTCGGGTTTTAACAGTGACATATATACCGTGTGTCCCGTTTTAAATGTACCACTAAATATCTCAGCCCGATAATCTTAGATTGAAATACGGTTTGCTACAATAGCTAAGGGGTACTGAAGTACACATTTAAGGATAAATTTCAAATTTTTAACTCTTGTAGTATGCGCATGCGCAATACAAATTTTTTTTTTAAATTGCAACACCTATTTTTGTCACCGGATATGGATAGATTATTTTATTTTAAGTAATTTTGATCCATTGACCATAGTTCTAAACCTAAAATTGAATGAGTTACAGCTTTTTGAAATTTTATCTAATAAAATGTTCAAAATTTCCTCCGTTTTTTTCTAAACACAATTCCAGTCGACGACTCACTTTTCTATAGGTTGCTGCCAAAATTTGTTCTTTTGTTAATTGTCTGCACGCTACCGTTATTTTATTTTTTAAATCCTGTAAGTTTGCTGGTGGTTCTGCATAAACAACAGTCTTTAAATGGCCCCATAAAAAAAAGTCTAATGGTGTTAGATCAGGTGACCGTGGGGGCCATTCCACTGGCCCGTGAGTTCCCATCCATCGATTTCCAAACATTTCATTTAATTGTTGTCTTACAATAATGGCATTATGAGCGGGTGCTCCATCCTGTTGAAAAAATAAGTTTTGACGAAGTAATAAAGGGATATCTTCCAACATCGTCGGTAGCAAAGTTAAGAAATCTGAATAACGTCTTCCATTAAGAGTACCGTCGTAAAAATGTGGACCTATTAAATTTCCTCCTAATAATCCGCACCACACATTTGTACCCCATACTGTTTGATAATTTGTATCGAACTGCCCAATGTGGATTTCCGTTTGACCAATAACGGTTATTCTGCTCATTTAAAACACCATTATTGGTAAACTTTGATTCATCGGTCCACAAAATGTAATTTAAAAATAACGGGTCGTTATTTGTACATGTTGTTATCCGTGCAATAAATGTTAAACTACGTTCGTTATCACCTTGGCGTAAATGCTGAACTAGATCAGAACATCCCTATAAGGATGTAACTTGTATTTTTTGAATATTGTGTGTACCTTTGTTATTGAAAAGTCAAATTCTCTAGCAACATGTCTTAAAGATGAGCGAGGATTTAATTGAATGTACGCAATTACTTCATTTTCCTGATCATCATTTGGTTCCATATTGCGTAGTGGTTGTCTCTGTGCATCTCTTATCGAAAAAGTCCCGTAAGTTCGTAAATTATTAACTAATCTTAAAAAAAAATTATGCGGTGGACGATATCTTTCGGGATATCGATTTGCATAAACCCTTGCAGCCTCCCGACAATGTTTATTACACTCACCATAAATTAAAATCAATTTTTTCACTATTGTTTAACATTTTAAAGAAGAAAAAAAGAAAAATCTTTCAAAGTATTATGTTAAAAGTTATAAGTGTCATCGATGAACGTACAATACTGAGTGAACGTGCATTAGTTCACTTTTGATAATCGAACAATATCTACAATAATTATCGAAGTACTAAGAATAAAATTAGAAATAATCTACTATTATNTTAGGTAATTTTGCATTAAATTATTTAAATGTATTTCATTTTAGTTTAAAAACGATTTACTTTTGTATCAAATTCAAGCGTGTAATGTTTTTGGTAAAATCGAAAAAATTTAATTATTTTAAAATTTCAAAAAGCTGTAACTCATTCAATTTTAGGTTTAGAACTATGGTCAATGGATCAAAATTACTTAAAATAAAATAATCTATCCATATCCGGTGACAAAAATAGGTGTTGCAATTTAAAAAAAAAAAATTTGTATTTCGCATGCGCATACTACAAGAGTTAAAAATTTGAAATTTGTCCTTAAATGTGTACTTCAGTACCCCTTAGCTATTGCAGCAAACCGTATTTCAATCTAAGATTATCGGGCTGAGATATTTAGTGGTACATTTAAAACGGGACACACGGTATATATATAGAAATAAAAAATAAAAAAATGAGACAATACGTCGCCTGGAGTATTATGATTAGTGTATTCGGTTTCGAATTAAAAATTCATCATTTTGCAAGTATATCACAGTTTTTAGGTGTTTTACATTTTGACTGTGATATACCTATTATTTTACATATAATTTTATATTTTCGTTCAAGCGGCCATTTGAAATAACATAAAGTTTATCATTTAATATAGGTAAGTTTATCCGGTTAGGTACTTATAAATACGAACGTCGGTTTTATTTTTAACGTAAAAAAAGTAAGTGTCTATTATTTATATTAAAAAAATTTTGAACAAGATGGCGTCACAGTTTATACAGCTGGAGCCATGATCGCTTTATTGCGTCTTTTGTTCCTTGAATACTTAATTTCAAAAAAATAGTGATTTCGACTGGCCTCTGCGATCACCCGACTTAACACCTCCAGTTTTTCCAGTGGGGTTATTTGAAATATAGATTTTACTAAACCTGAACCTAACCACGGACCCTAGATGCGTTGAAAGATAATATATTACAGGAAATGGCCGCTATTTAGCCGGAAACACTTCGAAAAGTGATGGTAAATGCCAAAAACGAGCACATTACACCAACTGAAGGCGATTATTTTAAATAGATGGTGATATTATTTTTAAAAAATAATCAGAACAAATTTCCGTGTCTAAAATAAACAAAAAATTATTCAACATTTTTTTTTTTCTAAATTATTACCAAAAAACATCTCGAAGGTTTAAATGGTCCACTATGTACTCATGAGTAAAGTATACATTTTAAATAAATATTTAATATGGGTCTAAATAGTTTTTCAATATGCATTGTCTATAGATGAAAGTTAAACAATTTAAAAATTGTACTCATAAATCTAATTAAACTTTCCTAACCTCCATTCCATCAAACACCATCCGAAATGATATGTTTTCAAATCCATAAAACTCCTTCCGAAAATAAATCTTGGTCTCATCACTGAATTCAAATATCGATATCTATGAATTTTAAACATAACGAAACATAATTGTTACGTAATAATATCGTAAAAAAGTGCAAAAAATTTTCTTGTTTCCAACATCCCTGGTGGGGATCGAACCCACGACCTTTGGATTAGAAGTCCAACGCGCTATCCTCTGCGCTACAGGGACTACTGTCCATTACGGTGATAAATAATAATATTTATTTGAAACTTTATTCATCTAATACATTCCAATAAATATAAATATTTATAATATCAATAAACAGATAACAATGAGTAGGTACTCAATATATAACAGGTATATAATAGACATACATGATTTTGGATAAAACAAAGCCGGTGTTAATACCATGGATCTAATAACTACCTAGTTACTAAATAATTTTTTAGTTAATGAATTATAGTTAATTAAGTAGGTACCTAGATATGTTATATTAGTACCTACCTAACGAAGTTTAATTAACAAAAAGATACGGACATACTTCGCACGATGGGTGAGTCACTGTTGTATGTGAGAAGTTGGAAAATTTAATTTAAATCTGTACGCAATGATAAACCATTGCTTATGAAAAAACGATTCTGAACGGAATTCGGTTAATAGTGTTGCTTTGTCAACAATATTATATAATATGTTATATTATGGTAAAATAATTAGATACATACCTACACATTATGTACTTTCTATATTTTTGATATTTTAATATTTGTTTAATATTATAGGTATCTATTTTCCCGGTTTTTCGCATTTATTATGAAAACAGTTTGGAAAAAAATGACCTCCCTAAAGTACTACCCCATTGTTTTGATTCGTGTTTATGAATCTATGTATCTCGCATTCTCGTGACATTAATGTTAACGTTTAGCTTTTACTGAACTGAAAAGGATGTTTATTATAGAGTATTTTTTGTAGTTATGTAATATTTTAAATTACCTAACTGAATTTTATGAACAATGTAAAATTTCACGTTTTATATACCTACTTTAAATTTAACAACAATATAACTTTGTTTGGCATTTATCATTTTAATGATGTATACAAAATAAATTACATGTATACTGATGTATACATCAAATTTTTATTTTCAGTTTATTTTTTTTTTTTTAAAGTTCAACAAAAAAGTGTATAATAGTGTAGTCAATTGGCCAAAATAATAATTATAATTATAATTATTGGTACTTTTCTCTGAACTTTGAACTTTGAAAAATGTTTAAAAACCGCGTTTTAATGAAAATAAAAAGTTAAAGAGTTGGCATTTTCAGAAGAATTAACTCTATAAAATGGCTTTCTGCTAATTTTTCGATAATAATAAAATAATAATTTAATTTTTTTTCATTTTTTACCAAATCATAAACAATTAACTGAGATATAATTATTTTTAGTTTTATCCCCGTGAGTAATATATACATATATAAAAAAAATAAATAGAATTTGATTATCTTTAGAGATATTACAATATGGATATATTTTCGTGAGACACCCTGTATAGTGTCATGTACATTAATTTCAATTTAAATTCTTAGTGTAATCTTTCAGTTCATAAACTAATTTATTTTATTATATATCTTTCTAACTTTTCTACTCACTAACATTATCCTGTATGTCAAAATATAAGAAGCGGTCACTACTTACGACAAGTGGGAACAAAAAAATTAAATCCAGTGGGGTAATATTGCATATTAACTAATATATTTTGTATAAAAAAAATTAATTTTGCTATTATTGGTCAAAGTTGGCGCATGGCTTAAAGTTTTAAAGTTATAGACTGGCCTGTGACCTAGCCAATTCGCTCTGGGTCGTTACAAATAGCTTGCTACTTCCAACCACTGGTAATATCATAGAATATCATCATCTTTTCAGTGGTAAAATTCCTTCACCTTGTGGCATAGTATTGAATGGGGAAAAACTAAAAATTAAAACACATCTCCTGATCAATATTTCCCGTTATAATGAATTAGTAAACAAATGAGTATTAATCTCTTCAAAAATGTTGGAAAACAATGCAAAAAAAATGAATGTGTTCTGGATTCAAACCCGAGATTGCTAATGTGGAATATAATAAAATTGTCACAGTGCTAATGTATTTGTAATTTGACAGTATTTTTTAGGATTATGTATATAATGATATTATAGATTCCTTTTAGATTCTGAGTAGAGCAAAAGAGTTTATGGTTTTACAAAGATTTTTTTTTTTGTCAATGAGTTTTCTACCAGAGATCTTGCTCAGATTTTTATGTGTATCACCTTTTCTGAAAGTAAATCGGTATGGGGAAATATTTTAAGGAAGTTATTTTTCGATTTTCTCTTCAAATTTGAAAAATCGAAAAAAAACAGGAAAAAATAAGAAATGTAGGTATTAGTTAAAATATATTACAGTCTTCTTTTTTCCTGTGAACAACTTTTCTCCAATCAATTTGGCTCCTATTTATAATGATACCAATTTTCCTATAAGGAATTGGTATGGAAAGACACTTTAGGTTGGTCATTTTTCGTTTTTCCCAGCTAATGTGAAAAACCAGGATAAAAAATATGGAAAAACTGAGAAAATCGGTATAACATTAACAAATATTATTAAAGAAAATACATAAAGCTTAATTAATTAAATTATTATAAAATTACATAATATATATTGTTGACAAAGCATCACTTTCAACTGAACTCTGCTCAGAATCGTTTTTTTGTAAGCAATGGTTTATCGTTGCGCAGGTATACATTAAATTACCTGCAACAGTGGCTGCACCTGTCTCCATTATCCAAGGACGTCTATTTTTAGTTTTTATTAAAATTAATCAAAACCTTACCAATTTATTCGGTAGCATGCCACAAACCTGGATTTAAATTTGAGAGACTGGTGTAAGCTTATTTCTGGACAAGTTTTTAGAATAAATAATAAATTAATAAATATATGGAGTACACAATAAAAACGTTTTAAATTAAAATAACATATTTGAATTTTTAGTATGTCTAACCTCTCCTCCTCACCAGTTACACAATTGAGCTTATTTTCATCTCCCGGTATAGTAGCCTTTACTCCATTCCACATAAGAACGCAACGTTCGGTGCATTCGGAGTAAGCATCGCGGAGTGACGTTCTGCCCCCTTGGCTAAGTCTATTCGCTCTATGATTGGTCGCCGTTAGTCAGCTACATGAGTTTTGGCCGATTATCAACTGCTGCCCATTGTGTTCTTATTTGGTACGGAATATAGGTAAGACAGCATGCATAGTCATATTTTGTATTAAAAAAAGTAATAATAAAAATAGCAATTCATGTTTGGCAAATATGGCTTTAAATTTACAAACGTTTATGATACATTAACTATATAATTATAATACTAACATTTCACTATAAACCAATTATTCATTTTACCATTAAAAAAAAACAAACATTGATACCATTACGTTTATTTTAAAAAGTATGTTTTATTATTGCAGCATAATAGCATATCATAGATATATATATTTGAAAACTAAAAATAGAACAATATAAAATTAAGTAAAATAATTAAAAATATTTTATAAAGATGGTTAGATCAATGATTAAAGTAGTATTTTTATTAAGTATGACATTTTCATGATTAATTAATGGCACTCTCTCTATGCATTTGCAAGTATAAATAATGATAAAAAAAATATAATTCTTATAAAACTATTTCTGATATAAAAATATTTAAAACAAAAATATACTATTCATAAACAATGCAACAAGGCTCATTATATCACAGGCTTTCACACATTAACAATATTGATTAAGTAATTCGATTTTGATTTGGTTTACGCCAAGCAAGAGAGCAGAATAAAATTATAATATTAAACAAGTTAAGTAAGTATTAAAAAAAGGCTATGATAAAATTAATTTTGTTGTTTAATCTTTTAAACTACTGAAGACCGAGAAGTGAAATTTCAGAAGACTGAGTGGATTCGATGCCTGGATTATCAATATCCATAAACTCAGTAATTTTATCAGCTAACCACTAAAAATAAATAAATAATTTAATACAATAGGATCAAACAATATTTTAGGTCATTATGTATATTAATACATACAACACATAGTTCAGCATCTGATACTAAAACATATTTTATATTAGACTGTTTTACTTTAAAACAGCACCATCGACGCAAATTAGGATTATTTTTTCCTTGGAGTAATAATGTATTGAAATGTACTATTTTTGGATGCTTAGTCATTGCTGACCATACATACTCCCATTGAATCTAATTCAAATAACAATTTTCAGTATAGAATATATTTGTATTATTGAAAATATAGCCAAATACTTTATAAGAGCCAGTCCAGTAACCTCGAATAATATACATTACTCTTTGGGAAGTGATTATAAACATTTCTTTATCAGAAACTGTTGTTCGTATGTGATAAATATAGTTGTCAGTCAACTTATATTTTCCCTTTCCAGCAATCTGTAACAATTCATTGAACAAAGTAAAGCATAAAAATGTATACATTTTTAATTTGTTTAATATAAAATTAGAAAAAGAAACTTACAGGAATCATAGTTTAATTTCGCATGGAAGCTGTGAAAATTAATTAGATACTAAATTCTCATCAATTACTTAATACAAATAGCCCCAGGACAGGGAAATAAAAAAAACTAAAATAGATATTTTTTAATATAATATTTTATTAAAAAAAAAAACAAATAACTTTTTTTTTTTTCTAAACTACATTTATTTGAAATATTAATACTAGGTAATGAATGACAACAAAATAGAGCAAACGTGTTCAAAAAATTTTTTTGTTTTTAATATAAAAAAAGATAACAAGTGGTCTCATCAATATGCATAACATGTGTTAGTTAAATTTGTTGAAATTAAATTAATTAAGCGAGAGTAAGCAAAAAGTGAATAGAAATACAGAAGTAAAGAAGAATACACACAAATACTTATCTCTATTATTGTGTATCAGATATTTTCAATACTATCTGTTTTCTATCACCATTTGCTTACTTTTCCTAATAAACAATAATACATTAATATACAATTTGATTTATAATAATTGTTTAAATATAGTTAAAAACATTAGTCTTTTTCACCTTTATTAGTTTATATCCTTCAGCTTCTCGTTTACAATATGGTCGAACTTGTTTATCTTCTTTAAAATATCTAGGTAAACGAACTCTTTGAACTTCTGATGTTGTGTCAGTAACCCTAATTAAATATTAATAAATAAATTATTTAATACGTTTTTTTTAATATGCGATCAACAAATCTTAATTATATATTCAGAATATTAATCAATGGGACATGTACAATTACATAAATATCAATAAATTAAAAATAATAATAATTACATACAAAATTTGAAAAATGACTATAAATAGCTCAAGAACAGTTAAAACTGTTTGAAAATTTTACCATGTTTAGAAAAGGTAAGTAAAGATAAGAAAAGATAAATATTCTATCTAAATTTCAAGTCTCTACGAATATTTATAACTTGATTAAAACAAAAAAGTAAAAACAATCAAATCATTATTTTTGTAAATTTGCCCATTTTTGTTATGTTTTACCCCGGGTATTCCCAAATATTATGAAAATCATTGGGAAAATTAAAAATGACTTCTTTAAAGCACTATCCAGATAATATTTTCTTTCAGAAAAGAGGTCAAACTTACATAACAATGCAAGATTTATGATAGAATTTTTTCACAATAAAAAAAAAATAATAATAATAATAAACATTATTGTAAAACTAATACATTCTTTGCTGACTCAGAATCTTAAAATAAATCCATTATGAAATGACAATGAATCTTTATTCTTACATTTCTATTTCTCTAAATTTTAAACAATGTTTCAAATACTTTTAAAATATTCTATGAGGATATATGTTATAATTTAAAATTTCATAGTAGATTTATTTTGAAAACAAAAGAGAATAAATGTTTTAAAAATTGCATACGAAAACAATAAGTATCAAATATTTAATCTTTAAAAGTTTCAAAATAATATTTTGATGGTACTTACTATCTTATACTAATTTGATTCTTTTACCCAACATATAGATGTTATTTATAAATTTAGGTATACATTATATATAAATACAAACCGTTTTATGGTATTTAAAGTTCCGCTAGTGAAATCTAATGCACCAGATAATGGTCTAGCAACGAGGCCAACCATTCCTTGACAAACTCCTTTGAAAAATCCCTCAACACCGTCATTACGAGCACCACTGATTGGTTTTTCAAAAACACCTTCTACACCTTCTACAACACCCTATCAAAATGTAAATACATATTTAAAACTTTAAAGACAATATATTATTTAATATTTACTGATAAAATATATTATATTTATATATATAAAAAATATGTATAAACCACATATTTGTTTTATTATAAATATAAAAGATTTACAATACTGTCAAATATGAAAAAGGTAGAAAATTACCAGAACTAGACCTCTTCCCCCTTGAGCTAATCCAGCAGGTATATTTGTTGGTTGTTGATTCATTAATTCCTGTCGTTTCTTTTGATAGTCTTTATCAAATGTTAATGCTGCTATACCTTTACCTATAATATTAAAAATAATGTGTCCATGAATAATTTTAAATAGGTTGAAATAAAATTTAAAATTATTTTAGATTATAAACAGATTAAATTTATTATCAACAAAATTCAAATATATTAAATTACCCATAGCTCCTGTTATTCTACCAACTGCGCCTGCTGCACCTCCAACAGTATGGCCAAACAAACTTTTAACACCCAATACTAATCCTTCGGCAAATTCTTCAGGGCCTTGAATGGCCCCCTAAAATAATCAAACATAAAATGCCATTGATCCCAAATTTACTCAACTAATTGATAGCTATTGATACATTAAAACTGAGACTGATTAATTATTTTATTATTTAAATAGACATATATTTAACATTAAAATATAATTATAACTAAATTAATAATAATAATGAAAAAAAAAATTATATTATAAAATATGATTAAATGTAGTAACAATATTTTAAGTTTCATTTGGTTTAAAATTATAACAGTTCAAATACTCATTCAATTAATGTTTTAAAATAAAACTATACATACTTGGAAAGGTTCATAAAATAAATCTTCCACTCCTTGTTTAAATCCTGAGACAAGACCAAATGGATTTCCCAATACATCTAGACCCAAAACAAGAACATAAAGTTGTTTTATAAGTTGACTAACATAATGATGTTGAGCCTCTATCATTAATTGCCGTTGATTAAGAACAACATATTGTCTTTCAAAAAACGCCAACCTAAAAGCAGAACATCAATAAGTTATAATACAAGCTAATAAATATAAAATTTACAAAAAAATTTGATAATATGTAATTATTTTATTTAACCAAATAAATTCATTTAAACTATATATTTGTTTTTTTTTTTTTAAAATATGCTCTTTTAGTATAAGACAATTCTTAAGTACAGCATATGCCTACTAAAATCTATTTTGTTAACTATTTAATTAGTTTAATGTCAACATCATAAATAATGTTACATTCACATTATAATTAAATTTTATTAAAAATTAATTTTACTGTTTCTTTAAAAAAATTTGTTGGTATCTATTAACAACTTTTTAATAAACATTTTGCTCAGATATTTAACTTCAGGAGTAGTTTCTAGTATCAAATTTTGTGTAATTGACGCATTGGGATGGTCATTTTTAATTTTCTTTTTAGTTTTCATAATAATTGGAAAATATCAGGAAAATGTATTCAATAAAAATCTCTATTACTTTTGATTTTGTTTTGTTATACAAAAATAAAGCAAACAAATAATAGTAATGTTGAAGATAATATATAATACTTACTTTAGAACCACATCTTGAACGCTAGTAACAGTAACACCAATACTTTGCAAAATTATATTGATAATTGGCGGAATATTTTCTAACTCATCTCCACTCAGTGAAAATGTAACATGTATCTAATGATTAATAATTAATTAAATTTGAATTAGTTATTTAAATATAGAATTCACAAACCTTAAGAGGAGAAAAGTGAAGCATATCATAATAATTCTTTTGTTCTTGTAAAGAATGAGTAGTAATTTGAGATTGTAATGGATTACTGGCATATAACAAATCTTCATTAAACATTTTCAACTAAAACAAAATAATAACTATAATTTACAAGAAACATTTTAATATTTTACTTTTTATTTTTAAATTTATAAATAACAAACCCTTTCTTCTTCTGAAAGTTCATATTTTTCAGTCATTTTTATAATTGCATTGATGAAATTAATATCAAGTTTAATATGAAATTCTTGAATGAGCATTTTATAATACTTATATTGTTTTACAGTACTGTATTTATTTAATCGTTCTACAATACTGAGTTCCACAAATGGCTTACGTTCTAAAATTTTAAAATACATTTAATAAATATTAACTCTTTGTTTTCAAATTTTGAATTATAAAATATCAAAACATACCGGTTTGTGCAATAGTTTTTGGTGGAGGCACAGGAGCAAATACAACCGGAAAAATAGAATTATCTATTTGACTATCAATTTGTAAATTATTTATTTTAGCATGTATCTGAGATGTATAGTCAGAAGATTGCAAATTAAGCCAAAATCCAGTATTGTAAATTCGTCGAATATTTCTTTTAGGTTTTGTAACAATGTTTTCGGCAAAATTTATCTAATATAATATTAATTTTATATTATGTTTTACAAGAGTAAAATTAAAATAAATTTAAAATACCTCAATATTTAACTCTTTAATTAAGACATTAGGTTCATTTTCACCAATTGCTAACTTTCTAGTGTAGCGAATAAATGCTGCCTCAACTAATTCACATTCTCTTGGTGTCATTGGTTTGTAACGAGAACCACTTAACTTTTTTGTTTCCCATATTACTCCAGAACTAAAAAAAAAAAAAAAAAACCATACTGTAAGTACACTGATAATATAATAATAGTAAAACCTTACATTTTTGATAATTATTATATTAGGTATTATTTAATTAAAAGTTAGTTAAGTCTTAAATTATCTTACATTTAAATTGTTCAAATCATTAAGTCAATTAATTGTGTAGTATTAATGTTATGAAATATGCAATATAAAATAATTGAAACTTCCCAAAATGAATATTGATAGATTAAGAATGAGTAAGTAGAATTTTTCAATAAATAATGTTATTAATTAATTATAATTTAATTTACAATATTTTCCCCCTAAATAAGACACCTAATTTTTATTATGCATTTTGTGCAACGAGACTTAAAAAAAAACTCAAAACATTTACCTTCCAATTCTCAAGTACATTAATTCCATACAAAGATCATTGTTCACTAATGATAAGCCCAAGGAATGTATGGAAATTAATATTTCTCTATTTATTATTTCAAGTTTACTTGAGGCTTGACATTCTTCAGCAATATTGGCATCAACAGTGAACATAAGAATACGCTGCATACCATCTAAAAATGAAACCCAATACACTTTTATACCATCATCTTGATTGAATACTCCAACACCATCCTAGAAAAAAATAATTTCTATGTAACTAATAAATATACATACATATATAAGCTAAATTCTTAAAAAGAATACATGAAAATAAATGATTCAATAACTTCAGTATAAAGGTAAAAAATATAAGAAATGAAAGTATAGGAAGATTATGGATGATTAAAAGTTTGACTAATGTGGTATCAGTGTTTTTTTTAGATTTTAAAATATAATTTTAATGATAAATAAAACTGTACTAACTTTTCTTAAATCTGCTTGATTCTGCATCATGTTCCAATAAATAATAGGGTGATCTGTTGGCGTAGACCACGAAAAGAACATTTTATGTCTGGGAGGTAATATTTTTCTGTAAAAAAAAAAAAAATTCTAATATATTTGAAAGAATATTCGAACACCAACATGATATAATTTACATTTCATCTAAGTATTCAGACAAATCATGTTCAATAAACTTAAGGTAATTCTCTGTATGATTAATTATTAAAGCAGGTGCCATTCCTTCCATGTATGGACTAAATGTAATGTACGTTCCACCCTCTGTCATTTGAGTATCAACTTGAAGAGCACTGTACTATAAATATATTTTAAATATTACATACTTATACCACACTTATTTTAATTAACAGATAATAAATAATTTTATTATAGTATTTATTTATTCATAAATCAGTTAAAATAAATTATGTTTATTTTAATAGACCAATAAGAATAATTATTTACTTTATTACGAAGACGTATTAGATCACTTCTAGACTTAAAATATGGTAATGGTGTTGAAGCATCAGAAGTACCAGCTATTCGAACAACAAATACTTTGTCTGATAAAGTATGTTTATCAGTAATATTTTGAGGCCAAAATGGCATGCAACTATTTGGCTCTACCTATTTAAAAACAATGCATAGTTAATTATACTTATTAAAATTATTTTAACCATTTATATAATATAAAACTATTTTAAATATACTTTAATCCATGGCTGTTGTACTTTATCCGCCTCTTGAACATCAATAGAAAATGGACATTGATTAGATGCAATATAAAATGGTGTTAATGTAACTTGTTTTGTTAAAGAATTATTAGTAAGTTGTATATGAACACCAATCTATATAAATAAATAATAATAATGAATAAATAATTAAATAATAGTTAATAACACAAAAGTTACTTGATATAGAATGTCATTCGTTTTACACATAATTGATCCAGAGTTTCCAGCTACATCTAATGAAAATCTATCAGACCACAAACCTGAATCTATTTTAACATAAGCTTTTTTATTAGCAAAAAATATCTTCTTTTTAAATGACCACATCAAGGGTTCTGTAGGATTTGATGAATGTTTTAACATGTTAGCTTCATCGTCAAGAGCCTTAAATAGTTTGAAAACAAATATTACACAGAAGTTTTTACTGTAGGTATTGAATTTCAAATGTTTGAAAGTAATACCTTGTAAGTAAGAATTCTCCCAGTTTTGTTAATCATCCAAATTGGACAGTAAAGAGTTTTAATATGTGTTCCTCCATTATGAAATTCAGTTCTTATACCAAAATTGATAACATTTGCATTTGTATCGGGTTTATCTTCATTATTTGTAAATGACCAAATAGAGAATTCATCTGGATGTTCTTCTATTGTACATTTGCAATCCCAAAATTTATCTAAGTACTTTATCTGAAAAAAAAAATTGTTTGATTTGTTTTCACTACTAATTGTAACAATAATAATTAATAAAACAACTTTTATTGAAGGTTCTTCTTACTGGGTGTTTCAAAACCATACCTGTAATGTAAGACATGAATACCCGATTTCAATAATAGGTAAGTTAATTTTTTCTCCTGGAGCTAATGTTTTAATATCAGAATCTCCTTGCATCAAACAATCTAAATTTACTGGAAGAGCATTTACTAATATCACTGTAGGATATAAATGAATATTATAGCAATTACTAGACATCAAATATCTATCAGTATGCTCAAAATAAATATGTTCCATATTTCCTAGAACCTAATTCATCAAAAATATAAAATATAAATAACAACATTAAATGTGTTTTAAATCTAATTTTACTTGTATAAAAAATGGATCTTTATCTTCTACTTGATTTGGTGGACATTGCAAAAGAGCACGCAAATTCATCATTGGTTGAATATCTTTCCAAATAAAAGGTTTAATACATATTTGATACCTAAAGATAAAAGTATTAATGTTTATTATAAAAATAAAAATAAAAATACAAATTTATATTAGTCAATAGTAAATTAATATTAATTATTTTACTTTTCTGGACAAAACAATATTTCTTTGGTTTGTGTATAAATTGAATGAACGGGTAAATTAAATGGTTTATCAGGCTTTGCTTTTCCAATCATTTTTAATTTTCCATCTTTCTTATAATAAAGAAATATGTTTTCATTGAAATGATTATGGATCTGTAACAATAACAGTAATTATATAATGATAATAAAACAAATAATTTTTGTTTAAAAATGACATTACTTGTACAACACTCCTCAATGTTACAACCATGCTGCCATTAATTACTTGAGCGTCAGTCACCAATCCCCAGGGTTCAAGTACAGTTCTCAGTTTATGTTTAATATTAAAATATCTTTTGTCAGCTTTTATTAATGGTAAACTAAATATAGTAGTATTATTATTTTCTTGAATCTAAAAATAAAAAAACATGTACATTTTTAAATAAGTACTGTTCACATTTAATTTTTTGAAAATTGTATACCAACCTTAATTTTTAAAGATCTTTCGATATTTGTTGTTTGGCGTAAATGTACTGATACTGAATCATCTTCTTTAAGACAAAGATTAATCTGTTCTCGATCTTTAAGAATTACATCACTAAGGATTTCTTCTTCATTAATAGCACAGAGCTATAAATTTAAAATTATAATTTTTGTGACATAATTATTAACCTAATTAATTATTACTTTGAATGGTGTGTTTGAAATCATGATAGCTATATCAAATCCAAGGTTATTTTGTACAACATATGGAGCTGCTTCAATTCGTTTCGAAAGTGGTATTTCTGCTGTGATTGCTTCATTAAATGCTTTACCTAAACTTGTCATTACTTCTAGAGCAGTTTTTGTCATTGTTATTTCAATTGTTTGCTAACATAAATATATATATATATATAAAAAAAAAAAAATTAAATAATACATATTTAAACTATCAATTAATTAAAAACAATTTAAAAAATCATACATATGATATCAATGAAATTTTCATTGTTGGTTTCCTTTGAAATACTTCATCTTGAGAACTTTCATTTGGGTCAAATGTCTCCAACTATAAAAATAAATATATTTGCATTATTAATACGTGATTAGTGTAATTAACTTAACTAAATTTAACTTAATTAAATTTACCTTAAGTTCAAGTAGCCATGGTACATATTTGGGACCAATACTTGATTCAATTTCAACAGGTTCTATAAATGGTTCCCAAAGAGCTAATCTACTATTATAGTAATTCATTTGCATTGTTAGCTCTCCCGCGACAGATAACTGAAAATAAAAGTAAATATAATTTTAAATTTTAAAACAATAATTATAAATTAAAAAAACCAACGAATAGTGAAAACTAAAATTAATTATAGCATGAGAGAGAATGGGATATATTTCTTCCTTAAACTATTATAAATAAATAAACCTTATAATTTAATACATAAAAGTTACATTTTAAAAAATAAAAATAAAGTTTTTCATTTAACATAATAAAAAACAAACTAAGTTACATAATATTTACAAATTTTAAATATTTTTTAGATATTTTGAAAGATTTAGGTTTAGTTAAATTAACTGAATTTTACTTTATAAAATTAATTTTTTTTTTTTTTTTTTAAATTTACCTTAGAACTCCAATTGTTAACAGAACCATTAAATGTACATTCAGTTAGTAACATTGGCATAGTTTTTGTGCCAATTCCTGCTTCAATAGTAAAAACAATTGAAGGAATAGATATTAAACAAACTTCACTTTTCTTTAAAACAGATTGTATATTATTAGTGTCTGATGTGCAAGCTTCAGTGGCTGATTCTGTAACATATCACAATATAACTTAAATAAATAATTAAATCATTTTAAGTAACAAACTAACCAGTTTTTAAAAACCAAAATTCTGAATCATTAAATTGAGTTTTATTCCATAAATCATAAAATGATTGTTCATCATACTTTGGTTCGCAAGATATGTTTTCTTTTTTTTCGGTTAAACTTTGATTAATTCGATTTAGCATTTCAATGTTAGCTAAGAAGAAAAACCAATTGTATTTATAAAATTATAAAATTTAATCAAGATAGATATTGCATATATATATATCCGTAAACAAAAACTACCTGGTGTAACTGATATAATTACAGGAGTCATAGTTACATCCACATGAAGACAAGTATCATCAGGAGTTGAACCAATAACATTTATGGTAACAGGACATAATATCTATTTAAATAATAATAATAATAATAATAATAATTACAATAATTTTAAAAAGGGTCTTAGAAACTAGAAAAAAAATAAAATTATTTACTAAATTCATTGTATCTTTCCTTCTTAAAGGATTATAACAACAAGAATATATTTGCAAATCTTTAATTTCTCCATTCACAGTTTGACGAGTTGGGGTGGACATACGTAATTTTAAGGTAGCTTCAGTCTGTTATTATTTAAAAAAAAAAAAAATTATAAAATTATTAATCCAAAAGCTGTTAATAATATTACATTCATAATTATTGCATTTGTATTGATATCATCTAAACTTTCAACCAATATAATATCTGGTTTTTCTAGTTGCAATTTTAGTAAAAGTGTTTTATTGTTTTCTTTTGGTTCTATAGCATTTGATTGTTCTTTCTACAAAATTTACAAATTTAAATTTATTATTATTATTATTTGTATTGCATAGTTAAATTTTAAATGATGTACAAATATTTTTAATGAATACCACTAACCATTACAGTTAATTTGGGATTTTTTGCCGCATCGTTTAATCCTATATCTTGATTTTGAGATGGCAAAATAAAGAAATTCAACAAATATTGTATATATTCCACATTAAATATTAAATTGAAACTAAATATTTTTAGTTGAACTAAAAATTAATATACAAATAAATATTAGTTAATTTAAATGGATTTATTAAAAACAAAAAAATATTACCATCAGATCCAGTGGGAGTTTGTTTATACTTAATGTCAATGGTGTTTTGCAGATTATCATTTTCAATATTATTCTTTTTTCTTTCCATATAACGTACCACTTTATTAGTTGAATTCACTCGTGTATCATCTAATATTACATCTAACAAATATAATGTTAAAGCTAATGACAAATCAGTATACATTGACCCATCAACAGTCAAAGATGAAAACATAAACTGTCCCATACTATTATCTTTTATTTGAAAACCATTCTAAAGAAAAAAAAAATTTGATTAAAGGTTTATACACAAAAAAATATCAACAAATTTAAAATATTTATTTTATATATTAAATACTAAGTAATAGTAATGGTCAATGAAATAGTAAAATGCACTTTAGATTTAAAGATATGATTATTTAATAAATGTTGACATAAAATTATCAAAAAAAAAAAAAATGTACTGGTCAAAAGCCCAATCCTACATTTAATTAATCAGTAACTAAATGTTTCAAATTTCGATTAATAATAATTTCAATTTACATTAATAATATTATTATACTAGTAAAAATATTGAATAAATTACCTCGCCAGGACCTTCTTTAAATAATTCAAGAATAATATTTTTTACTGAAAATTCAAACTTAGCCAATGTTCGGATTTCTTCTGATTGATATTTATTTTCAATATCAACAACTACTTTAGTTTCTAATTTAAAAAAATCAAAAAAATTAAATACATTACGAGGTAAGAAACATTTTTTTTTTATTAAAACTTGCCATTTGACTTATTTAATTTTGTAATATTCAATTCTTCATTCGGAATGGCTAATTCATCTTTTCCTTCACTCAAGTTTTCATTTAATACTTTCATAACTACAGTATAATCAACATGACTTACAGTTACCTAAATAGATAATTTTTTAAATTGTTAAGTATAGGTAACAAAATTGTATTAAAATAAGTTCATTAAATAACTAACTTTAATAGAATCAAACATAGCTACAATATCAAAATCTGGGTGATCAGTATACCATGCAGATGATAAATTTCGTTTAACAATAAGAGAAAATGTAATAGGTTGTAATAATAAACAGTCAAAAACAAAAAATTTAACACCATCATTCAATTTTACTCTGCAAATAAAAAAAAATATATAAATTATTGTAGTTGCATAGTATTAACATTTAAATACGTCATACCTAGATACTTTGAGATCCTGTAAATTTAAGCTTAATTTGTCAATTATTGCTGGAATATGATCTGCTCCTTTATGAATAACCATAAATGAATTGGTAATAGATAAATATCCAAAATCAAAACACAATGCTTCCAAACTAAATGAATTTTGTGGTACTATGAAAACTGGGGCCTTTTATAAAAATAGAAATAATATTATTAATAAACTTAATATTATTTATGTAAAAAAAATAATAAATACAAACTTTTAAATTAATATCAAGAGCAACACGAGTGGCAGATTTTACATTCATTTTAGCAGTAGCAACAGCAGCTGCTCCTGCTTCATAAACAGCAGCTTTACCAGCTTGGAAATGGTTTATAAAATTCTATAAAGATAAATAAAATACATCTTTCTTAACAAGAAAATTAGAAGCCACACATTCCCATTCCAAATATGAGAAAAAACAAATGGAATCAATTTGAAAATCAACAACTAAAGTCCAAACTAAGTCCACGTCTCATTCTAACTTTAATCTTTAATACTAATTGATACTTACTAATAGTTTGGTTACAAAACGATTTAAAAATACACATTTTATACAGCCTGATGAAATTGACATATAAATTTCTGGTGAATCATAATCAACAAGATATTGTTCATTATACATTATCATTTGAAGCTTTAAAGCATCATCATTTTCAGCAACATGAATAATCTAAATGTGTAGAAAAAAAGTTTTATAAATTAGTAAAGAAATAATAATACTATATATAGTTTTTTTTTCAATAATGTGAATTGGAAAATAATATATCAATTATCATTCTATCAATGAAATTGATTACTAAATATTAAGTACATTAAACAGGTATTCAATATTCTGACCAAAACAATTAAGTGAATAAGGTACCATAACAGCTAAATTTATTATTTTATAGTTTAAGATTTTAAATAATAAATATTTACATATTTATAAATTGTATCAGATGATGGATCAAAAACACTTATATTTTGAAGTTTAGCATCAATTTGAATATCAGATTTTTTCATTGTAATACACGACTCAAGTTGAGTTATAAACATATGAGCTAAGTCTTCATTTTCAGTAACAATTATCAGTTGTATTTCGCCTATTTGAGCTATTAGCTTCAAATCTTTCATGTCATTATCCTCGGTTGTTCGTTTATTTACTAAATATATATACATTAATTAATATAAATATTAAATAATATTGGTTTATTTAAATTATACGAAAATGTCAACATATATTTTACATACATTGTTGAACTTTAGTTGTGGCAGATTCTTCAAGAATAGTTGATAATGCATTAGAAACCAAATGCATTCTTTTGAGCTTATTAGTTTTTTGAACTTGTAATGTAACTGGAATTTCTTCAGTATTGTAGTTATATTGTTTTTGCATGTTACTTATATTAGAACTGACATTATTCATCCAATCAATAAGGTAAAGCAAAGCTTCTCTATTAGCTGTTGCCAATATTTTAGTAAAATTTAATTCGAGTAATTGTAATACATGATCATTAGTATGAAATTCTGGAGAGTTTTTATCTACCTATAATAAATTGGAGGTTCAGTTTACCTTTAATATTTAAAACATGTTATAAAATTATATTTAAAATACTAACTAAGGTGTATTTCATGAGTAAGAGGTATTGGTTTTCATCTTCATTTGGTGTATCAACTAAAGGTATAATGGTGTCCTTATGATACTGAGCTAAAAATAATCTACCCAATTTCAAGGCAATATTAGTATTAAAAGTTTGTTGTGTTAATGACAATTCCAATGTAAGTAAGTTAAAATCTAATAATGGATTCAACCAAGAGCCTTTGCCATCATAAGATAAAACTTTAACTGATAACCCTAGAATTTGAAAGCAAAATAATAATTAAGTTATTTTAAATTACGCATATAACTAGGGAACAGTATTTATAAATAAATTGTATGCATATTAGTCTTTTAGTTGATTATATAATTAGTAAATAATTGTGTTACAAAAACACTTTGAATAAATATAGAAAATATATAATTTTAAAGTTAAATTTAAAAAAGTATAAAAAGAACCAATTTATCAGTCATTATCAGTCTGAAAAAAAAAAATGTATAATTTTAAAGTATTTATTCGTTTTAGAATAGACGGTTTAGTTAAAAATTAATTTTTTAAATCAAAACAAATTGAGCAATTTAACTTTCTTGTGTATATTACATATTATGAAAAATAAATTATTTTATCATTTTTCAGTATATATAAATCTGCTCCCTACATACAGTTATTTATTTTCTATTCACTTTAAGCAGTGCTAATAATACTGAAATAAAGGTAATTAATATTATTAAAAGATTTATATATCTTACGTTTAAGAACCAATTTCACATCTAATGATGTAAATTGTACATTTACATCGGAAGCTTTTTCTGCTTCTTTTCTCTGGTTGGTTAAATTTTTGGTCATATTAAATGAATCAATCTTTTGACGCAATGACATTGCTGAACCTAGGATATCAAAATCCTGAAAAAAAAAAAAAAAAAAATTAATGGTTTTTAAATTTACATTCAATAATGTTTTAATTTGTTTAACAATAAATAATTGATCCAAGTTGAGAAAAACACACTTTTTAAACATACTAGAAATTCAAGTTTCAGAATCAAAATAAAAAGGTTGTATATTCATACATAAATAAAATTAATTCAATAAATCAACTTTAACAAAAAAATGTTAAAAAACATTTATATTTTATGCATATTTAACTTGTTAGGCAATTGTTCTACTACTAAATTAATCTATGTTATCATTTTCAATTCATTAGGTTAAGTACATTGTGAACACTAGTCAAATTAGATTTAGGTATTGGTAACAATTTTTCAAATTTTCAATACTGCCGGAATAAATTCCCTTAAGTATTACAAGAAAATATTTTGAATCAATTGACAATATTTTCTTAACTAAGTCAATTAAATATAAAATATGTACAAGTAAACAATATAAAAATATTCAATGTTTCATACAAAAGTAATACTTTTATTTAATCTATATATTTATAAAAAAAACTTACATGTAGGTTATCATCTAATTCTTTGGCCTTTTTTGGCAAAGGAACACTTAAAAACACTGACAGAGCATCCAAAAATCGATTCTCTGTAAACCAAATAATAGAAATTAAAGTAACAATAATATTTCTACACATTTTTAATAAACAAATAAAAATAAACTATTTTATAATTATTGAAAAACGGTTTTTTTTTTTAAATAAATTTAGGCTTTTTTTATTTTTGAATATTTAAAATACTTAAATATTTATTGTTTTTTTTTTCAATACTTCAAGTTATATCAGTGGAGGAGTCAGGAATTTTTTTCAAGGCAGGCTAAAGGGAGGCCAACATATATTAAAGCAGGCATAGTTACATGGTAGTTACAAAAATGAAGGGGGAAAGGGTGCTTAATTTGGACTCCTCACCTTTGACTCTTCGAATATAAGTACAGTACCTTTATAATAAAAAATGGTTTATTTAATCTCCTAAGGTCTTTGACTTCCCCTCACCACAAAAATGATGGTTGCGTCACAGTTTCAGTCAATCACATTTAACAATATTGGTATTACCAAATAGTTAACGGATTTCATATTATGATACCAATATAACTATGATGTTTAAATAGTAAAAACTATTATAAAAAAATAAATAATTATATATTTACCTGCCATTTTAATATCAATAGCTGGAAGTTCTCCAGTCACTTTAAGTAACGGTAAGCGGGGATCATCAGTTATTAAACATTTTTCAACTTGAATGGTTAAGGTAGTTGGCTTAAGAATATAAAGTTCATTTTGAAATGACTCATTAAACTTGTTTTTCCAATTTTCACCTTTATTGGCAATTAATATCTAAAATAGTACAATCGATTATGATTAACTCATTAGTTAATTATTTTTAATGTAAATAAAACATACTTGAGCATTTTCTAGTTCAATATAATAACGGTCATAGCTACGACTAACAATTCCTTGTAAAACTTCAGATTGTGTAGCACCTTTTTTATGCATTGACTGTATACTTACATCCTCAAGATTTTGAGGCTTAGATTTTATTTTTAAACAACCTAAGTTAAAAAGTAATAATGACTGATTTCTGAAAGAAATTGTGCAAATTAATCAATACGATTTTGATATTTATTTTAGATATTAAAATATCATAGTTTTAATTTCATACTTCCTATAAAAACCACCATGAGGTATAACAATATAAGATGCCATCATATCAATTTTTAATTCAAGTCTTTTGTGTTCTTCTATAATATGTTGCATACCTAGAGCAGATTTTTCTTTGATTTCTGCCAATTTTGTACCTGCTGCTGCTTGTAGTCTATTATTTTAACACAAATCAATATTTTAAATTTATAAACCATAATTAAATTAATCTTGTACTGTTTTACATAAATTATATAATTTTCAAAAACAATTCTGATCTGATAATTAATCAAAAATTATAAGCAAATTTTGAATTTTATAATTAGTTATTAAAAAAAAAAATATTTTATTAAACATTTTTAAAATAAATATGTAAAATTGCCTTACTGTGTTGCAACATTTGATTGTTGGGTTGTGAAAATATTCATAATTTTAATTATAGTTTGAGCATCATAAACCATTTTCAAAGGTCTAAATGATAACTGCACTCTACTATCACATAATTGATCAAGAGGATTTGTTTCAAACAATAAATTGAATAAATACATCATTTGTCTTTCAGTACCATCTTCATCATTATCCTGAGAAAATGCTAAATCTTGAGCGCTTCTGTATTGATCAAATGCTTTAGAAGTAATAAGTTTTGGAATTTTATTTGACTGTGGCAAACCAAATACAGATAATGTTTCACCAGAAGCTTCCACTCTAAAATAAAAATTATAATATAAATACCAAAAAATCAATCAATAATTTTATTATGTAATTACTTCATAGCATTAGCTGCTATTCTTGTCTGAAGGTTAAGTACAAATCCTTTGAAATTAACAGTCAACACTTTGTGAATAGAAGTAAATTCTTCATCAAAAACTGATATTTCTAATGTATGTAAACAGAATTTAAAGTTTGTGTCTATAAATGTTTCAGGATAAATTGTTGCAACTGAACTTTCTTGATAACCTATTGCCTTGTACAACTTTTCTTTTTCACTAGCATTCATGGCTTCTTCAAATTGCTTAACTATTTTATATACATAATAATTATTACAATAATAAATAGCAGTTAAAGTAAAATTTAATTGTAATTAAAGTCATAAATTACTGATATTCTTTTCTTTTTCTTCTGTATCGCTATCTTTTGTACGCCAGAAACTAAACCACCCTCGTTCTGATTCTACTTTTCTAATTTCTTCTTGAATTTTTCCTTCTCTTTCCACCTTTAAATACAAACATGAATAATTATAATTAAAGATGAAACTCTTCAAATTGTTGGTTGAAGAACATATTTTAACATAAATGCATTTTTGAATGAAAATTGAATTAAAAATAATAGTTAAAAAATATTTACTTCATTTTCTACTCTTTGTCTAGTTAGAATGATATTCATTACATCTAAACTATTTTCTAATTCAGATATTCTATTTAACGTTATAGCTGATAATTTTTTTGATTCTAATTTTTGTTTATAAAGAATTCTATACTCTTGAATAAGTTTTCTATGTGATTGAATATGAAACCAATCCCAATTCCTATGTATTCTCCGTACATCTTCTTCCAAAACACATTTATATGCAAATTTCCACCTAAATTAAAAATTATATTAATATTTTAATTAATAAATATATATGCTACCCAACTATATAGTTGGGAAAAAACAAGAAGTAAAAAATATAAACATAAAAAAGCCAGGCAACTTCGTGGATGCAGCAATTTTTGTTTGTAGATGAGTTGGGAACGTAGTAGAAGGGAAATTTAATGTATATCTGTAAGTAACAATAAACTATTGTTAGCAAAAAAAAAAAAAAATCCTGAGCAGAGTTAGTAGAGAGTGTTACTTTGTTGACAATATATATGTCATATTTTGGTAGAATAATTAGTCATTATTATATATGTATTTTTTAATAATATCTGTTTAACATTGTACTTATTTTCCTGTTTTTTTCAACGGGGTTCCCGTGTTTCCTATGGGGAAATTTGAATAATGACCTCTCTAAAGTAACTCCCTAATCAGATTTCTTTTAGAAAAAGTGCTGAAATCATAAATCGGAGTAATATTGCTGGTTGAAATATTGTCAACAGAAAAAAATAAAAAAAAACATTGTTGTAAAATCATAAGTTTCTTTGCTCCACCCTGAATCTAATAAAATAAAAAAGAAATTATATGCAACTTGGAAACATCACCTACCATTCTTTATAGTTTCCTTTATATTCTTTCAACATTGGTCGGTATTTTCTGTATGGCATTGCTTTAGTTAAACGGTCTATAGATTCTGCAGCCATAATCAAATTTTTATATTGAGTTTTGCTGATCCCTAAATCATAATTTAATACTGTTAATTCAATTCAATTTAAAAGTTAAAATGCTAATCTAATTAAAAACAACTTTTAACTAACATAAAAAAAGATTTTAGATAAGAAAAAAAATTGTTATTTACTTATATTTAAACTTTCCATGTCAATACTAATGTCATATTTTGGTATTGTGAAATCACTACCATCTAATTCCGGTTTTGGATTCATTTTCATTTTAGCTTTAGCATTAATTGGACCCAACACTAAAAATTTAAAATTATAATTGTGTTATTTATTAAAATAATATTTAATATTAAAATACATACAGTATTCATAACCATCAGGAAGAACATCTTTCTTTGGTATTCCATTTTCGAACATATCTTTGTAAGTTTCTTTTGAATGTTCTGTGAATAAACTACCTTTAGAATTCCAATAAACTGCATATCCTTCCATAGATATAATCTAAATAAATAACAAAATAACTAACAAAAAGAAAAAAAAGAACAACAACGTACACTTTATGAGTAAATCTTACTATATAAAATACAGTTATTAGTTTATTACTATTAAAAATTAGTAAATGTATAAAATGCGGTAAACAGATGTTACTTTACAATGAAAGAAATATTTTCTTTTAAGTTTCTATCCAGGCGTACAAAGAAACGCCTACACTAACCATAGTGATGTATGTATACGAAATGTGGTCAAAAACCTAGAGGGATAAAGAATGGCCAGGATACATCTATTAAGCTTCACTCATTCATTAAGAAAATTATAGAAGATAAGCCAACGGGGAAAGGATCAAGAAACAGGCATCGGCAGAGATGGTAAGATACAGTAGAAAAATATTTAAAAAAAAAAACTCAATCCATTACTGAATATGAAAGCAATATTGGATAGAGAGAGGTGGAAAAGCATTTTAGAAGCGGTGATGGTCCCAAATGGACCACTATGAACCTAAAGACAAGAAATGTATAAAATATTTTTGTATTAGTAGTATTAGTAGTAATTTTATGAAATTATAAATGTACTGATTTTATTCAAAGAAATTTTATTAATTATATTTAATAAAATAAAAAATATATTTTTTTTATTATTATTTACTACTATTAGTAATAATTGTAATAATGGCTCAACAATCATATTGGTATACAATTTGAAAATTACATTCAAACATTTAACTTCAAAACCAAATACAGATTTAAATATTGTGTGAAAAGAAACAAAAATCAAGTTATAACAATAACGAGTATTAAATGGAGAAATTAGATAATGTAAGTAACTAAGGAAAAGAAATATAATACATGGACATTATGCAATTAGGAAATGGCTATAGTTGGAATTGAACATAAATTTCCAAGACTTTCAATAGTAAAGTTAATAGTGGGGTAGAGAAAAAACTTTTATTTAAAGGAACCCACCAAGTGAGATAGATTTCAAATCATTGTGTATTTTATTTAAATCCTCCGATAGTTTGCTTGTTGGTTGATGATGTGTTCCCTAGGCATATGATCTTTGAGTAAAAGCGTCAAGACTACAGAGCTGATTAATACGAGCAGGCCATGACATAAACAGAAGAGGTGATTTCTTTGTATTTGGGGCATCCTTTATAAGAAGCTGTATGGTTTGTGTGCAAAGTATGCATTTGGTCGGAAGTTTGCGGTCTTTGGTGCAATCCACAGATGATACATTAAAATCTATAATAACTTTATTGCCTACATCTACTGAAAAGGCGGCGTAGCGGTTTGGAAAGCTGAAGGTTTTGTACTTTTTGTCATTCTATTAAGGCGATTTAGATGTGAACGAAAAATGACATTTTTATTTGACATGAGTATAATCGAGAACGTCAATTCACGATAATTGATATTTGGTGATAACATGACATGCATGTAATTGGTTGCACACACATGTAAACGCAATGACGAGATTTATCTAATTGATTAGTAATAATTATGTTTTTCATTACTGAATTTATTAAAACAATGTAAAATAAGAAAAAAAAAAACTTATTTTGAATCTATGTTCTATTAATAATCATATATGATAAATGTGGTGAATAAAAAAAATTAATCAAATAAATTTATAATAATAAAAATAAGTTTCTTAAAATCTGAAAAATCTAAAAAAATTAATTTGAATATTGTACTATTTAAAATGTATACAATAAAGTAACTATTATAAGTTAAAAATTACCTATAAATAGCATATTAAAAAAAAAAAATTGTAATAATTTTTTATATTTTTACTGCTGGTATTTTCTGAACTGAAACATGTTATTCTATAACCTTAAATTAACCATAAAAATCCTTTTTTTTAAAGCACTTATTCATTATTATTCATCACTTTTTAATTTTATTTTCATTTTTCATCAAAATATATAATAATATACTGATATTAAAAATGTTTGGGTTTCTATATTGTAATTAAATATCTAGAAAAAAAACACTGATATGATTATTCAAAAATAAAGTATTTGAGAACCCCAGTAACTATAAATTTAACTATAACATGTATAGTTTTAAAACTATTCCTTTATAAATGTATAATGAGAACAAATTCTTAATCTTAACAATTCTTTATAGGCAAATTGAAATAATCTGAAATTTTACCTTGAAAATCATTGCCAGTGGATCTTGACCTTTATCAATAAATCTATTCCAATTTGAATCAGTTGAATGAGAAGTTAGATCATAAAGAGTACATCCAAATGAAAATGGATGATTTGGAAATGTTATTCGGTCTTCATATCTAATATGTATTGATTTTATATTGATTTGCACATTTCTTATAATTTGAGTAGCCAATTTTTCAACAAAGGAATCTTTCACTTTATCTTGATCTAATTCTAAACATATATTATAGTAATATGTATATTTAATATAAATACAAAAATTAATAAGTAAAATAAAGGGCTCATGAACTACTACTATGAATACTTTTTTACACATACTACTTTTTTCTTGGTCCAGGAATTTTATATTTTCAATCCTAGAAATTTCATTTTGTTTTGCAGTTTGTTTATTTTTCTCTTCTTTTTCCATATCATAAGTAACATCTTGTGTAGGAACAACAAGCAAATAAAGACTATCAATGGATGCTTCTACAGATCCACCATATAAATTTTTCCATGGTATTTTCAAAACTAACTTGCCTGTATAAAAATATCATAGAATAATAATATAAATCAGTACTTTATCAATAAAGTTTAAAATAATAGTATAATAATAATTTCAAATAAATATAGTTTTGATTTTTTAAGTTTACCTAGATGTCCATAAATGGTTCTGACTGGTAGATCTAGACTATCTAAACATGTTTCTTTTAGTTTAAGATTTCTTAACACAACATCTCCTAAACAAAAGAGTATTACATTCAATAAAATATTACATCTAAATAGTTTTTTCAATAGATTTATTTATTTTATAAAATGTAAAAACATAATATTATAATTTAGTTATTAATAATATAGCATATAACTGCTGAAAACAACCCTTAATAATAAAAGAAAACTGCTGGTATGAGATCCAATTATTATGAACCAGTAATTTTTTTGGAGGTGTTTTTTGTTTTAATTATTATAGAATCATTTAAGTTTTATTTTAATACTATTTTAAACTTTACCTTAAAACCTTAAATAAGGTATGTATACAGTTTTCATATTTAAATAGGATTTTCCCCATCTTTTAAACACAGATTCATATTGAGAATATTTTTGGATTAGAGATTTCCTATTATGTAAAAAGCACAATAACTTTTGTGAATGGTTTAATTGTTTTTATACTAATTACTAGTATATAATAATAATTACATTATTCCTCTATTTTAAATATTTTAAAAAAAAAAAATTGTTAACATATTTCAAAATAGCACTTTTATAAATATGTTTTTAAACAGAATTTTAGTCCTACAAAATATTTACTAATGATAAATTGTTTAAAGAATATTATTTATCAATAATACATCTGTCAATAACAGATCTGTTCATACTGTATTTTTTAAGAATATCAGCAATTATATAATATACTCATTGTCACTATTCATTTTAAATAATAATTAAATATTTTTAAACCATTGGAATAATTTTTAGAGCAAATAAATTTAATAATGTATACCTAATCTAATCTAAAATAATATAATTTGTTAAAATGACTTGTACTTTATTTTTAAATGAGTGACTATCATTTTACAATAAGGATAACATGCAATTTATCAATTTATTTTTTTGAAATATCTAATAGGTATAATAATTATAACCAAGTTATTAACAAAACTGCAAAACTGAAGAAAAATAACAATAATTTTGTATATATATTTTTATATAGTTTTTATTATTTCTATTACCTTAAGTAATTGAGTTATATAGATACTTGAAATCATAAAATAATAATTAAATGGTCTAATAGGTATATTTTTATGATTTTTTATAATCATAGATAAGCAAATTTGTTTTATTATTATCATTCGTTAGTAAATATTAGTACTTATCTAAAAATAAAATAAAATGGTTTACTAATATCATAATATCTTAGTATAATAAACAAGGGAGCAATTCAGATAATTTATTATATAATGATTTATAACAATTACACAAATTCAAGAAATTCTGAACTCTAACTAGGTAAAGGCAATAATAAAGAAATATAGATTTTCTCATGGTTTGGCTCAGGATCTAAAATAATAACATAGTGAATTAGAAAATTGTCTATTTAATCAGAGAAATAAAAGTAATTTTAAAAAATCAACAACTTTTATTCAATATCAATATTGTAATCCTCTAGGTAGGTAATTAATTTGCTAATAAAATCCTATTAAGTGCCTAAATATTTAAATTGGAATGAAGAGAGGATAAGATTTTAATTAATATAATGTTTTATTAAAAGAGAAAATATTATTTATTTTAGTAAACTAATATAGTAACATACATTCCTACACTATTGATTATGTATAGCTATACTGTTTGAATAAATTTCACTAATAATGTATTATCATTAGGTAATTGAACAGATTGAGAACTCTAATTCGGTACCTATATAATATTATATAAGTAGCTAAGTAGGTACTAAGTACTTACTTATTATTTTTTTATCAAATGGAATGAAAATTGGCCTATTTGAAAAATGTTCCCAAAATCTTAATTCTTTCTAGACTCAAAATATATTGTTTACTCAGTCGGACATACTAGAGTTCGGGGGTAGTAACTGCTAATCGAGAATTTTAGATAAATGGTGTTGATGGTGGTTTAAAAATACTATTTTCAAAATCACAACAAAATAATACATTTGAAATTAAATGTATGATTTTATTAGGTAAAAATATTGATGAACTAATGTTAATTTGTTACAATTTCAAAAGCGGATAGTTAATAGTCATTCAATCTTCTACCCTAATTCAATTTTGAATTTACTTAATAATAATATTGTTATTCTAACTAAGCAAAATTATTAATTTCCAAAAGTAATATTCTAAAAGCTATTTAATTTAAACATTTAAACATAAAAATAGGTACCTAGGTAATTTTCCTAGGACTATTTTATGTATAGGTACCTAATAACACATGATTTATTTTTTAAGGAAACCTCTTTATTAAAATGTCTGATATATGTTTATGTAATAAATCTAATAAAATTGGAATCTTGGATTTTCGAAATAAAAATTGTAAGTATGGTTTAGTTTAGGATTGAACAAATTAAGTAGGTAACTATGTGTATACCCTAGCAGGGCCAATACAATTGAATACCTGTAATAAGCACATTTTATTTTAAATTTAAAATATTTTTTTTTAAACTCGTACAAACTTTTGTAACTTACCACCCCATATTCCAATTTTTAGCTGAGAGCTATCCAAATTTTCGACATATTCACCAATGAACCTGTTGAGTATATCTGCTACCAACTTTTCAAAAACCATGATTTCTGATGAATTCTAGAATTGTTTAATAAAATAAAATAATCTAAATTACATTGTGTGGTTAAAAAGTATTGGCATACTAGTCGATAAATACAAATTGTATTAAAAATAATTTCGGTAGTAAGTACAAAAATTTAACTATCAAAGTATCAACAATCAGCGGATAATTTAGGAAGTTTGTATTATATAATGGGCGCTGTAATCTACATAGATAGCGATGTGTACATAACGGCCGTGGAACAGAATAAGAACTAAGAGATAGTACACAACTGTCTCAATTACTCATTTAAAATTAGTCAAACAATTATTGTCACATACTTTTTTCAATACTCATAATCTATTCAATTATCTGTTACCGGAACAATATAATTTTTGCATTCTAATATAATTATCGTAATTTGATTAAATAGGTAATTTAACCAAGTGCCCAAGTATATCAGTGAAAGATAAACAAACATATAGATATACGTATAGATAGGTAGAATGGTCTGACAACAATATAACCATGGTTAGGTGCTACAACCGTGCTATGTAAACGACGAAATTGTGTACATTTTTATGCGATACCTACCATAGACATATAAACATACGGACAGCGACTTCCTCACCTTACCATCATCTATTATTAGGTCTATGGTACCTACATTTTAGTATTTCTTAACACTACCACCAGAGAGCAGCTACTTTCCTTGTAATTACTTTCATTGAAATATATTATTTTCGTCAATCCACTTTGATTATCATATTTTATCACAAGTGCCTAAGTCCTATCTCGTTTTTTCCCGCAATAGTATCCAGATATTAGATCACAAATTTAGTATTTACAAAGGACATCTATAGAAATGGCGATGACTATATTGAAGGCACCCTTAATAAATACTATCGTTAAACGCTGTTACGCCAATAAAGGAGTTGCATTATCCATCAGAGGACCAGAGATACAAACAAAAAAATTACCTAACAACACTTATGTCGTAGCTGTTCCAAATTATCCAACGAATCTTGGACGTATTTCTGTCACTTTTTTGTCAGGATCGCGTTATGAAGATCCAGAAAATACAGGCCTTACACATTTGCTACGCAGCTCAGCCGGACTTTCTACACAATCATCATCCACTTTTGCGATCTTACGAAATTTGGGGCATTTAGGTGCCAATTACTTTGTAACATCTGATCGTGAGGCAATTACTTATACCATTGAAGCACACAAGAACAATCTTTTGAGTAGTTTAAGGTATTATATTGATTCAATTTCAAATCAAAAATTCAAACCTTGGGAATTGTCTGATAATTTAAAACGTTTGGAATACGATATCTTGACTATATCACCAGAATCGAGAGTTTTGGATTTAGCTCATAAAGCTGCATATAGAAATGGTCTTGGTAACACAGTATTTTTGCCTAAATATAACATCAACAAGTTGGGAAGTGAACATCTTTTATACTATGCTAAAAAGAATCTAAATAATAACAATGCTATTATATCAGGTGTTGGAGTGGACCTGGACACATTGGTACATATTTCAGAAGACTTGAATTTACCTAATGGTGAATCAAACTGTGCATCAAAAGCTAAATATTATGGTGGTGGTGATATAAGAAAATCTACACCTATAGATACTACATATTTGGCTGTTGTAACTGAAGGAGTGAGGTATAAAGACTCACAAAGTGCATCATTTGCTGTACTTGAATTTTTGCTAGGTAAAGGATCATCGACAAAATGGGGAGTTGGTCAAGGAGTTTTGGAACAAAATATTCTGAAGACAAATGCTACTGAGAATTTTTCTGTGTCCTCTGTAAACTTTAACTATTCTGATTCTGGTCTCTTTGGTTTTCTCTTAGCCTACAATGGAAAAGATGTCAGTCAAGTGTTAAAGGCTGCTGTACAAAGTTTAAAGTCGCCTATAATTACTGACAGTGAAGTGAACAGGGCTAAGAATCAATTAATTTATTCACTTGTTGAAGCCTCTGAATCTGGTGCTAAAACTTTAGAAAATATTACAAACCAAGCTGTTGTTGCAAGAGGAGTACTACCTTTCGGAAAGTTAATTGCTGCTGTTGAAGCAGTCACTGTTGATGATGTAAAGAAAGTAGCCAGCAAAGTAGCAAGTAGCAAGTTAACATTAGCTGGTTATGGTAATATAGCCCAAACACCTTACTTGGACGATTTGTAATTTTGTCGTCATTAATTAATTCTTGGGTATTAGTAAAATATAAATATTCAATTATACTTTTACTTATATTTAAAGGGACTTTTTCCCTGTGCTTAATGTCTGATATTTTAATTAATTATTCATTGATATAAATATGTAAAAAAATAAATGAATGTGTCGCCTGGAGTATTATGAAATGTGTATTGTACGACTGGTTTCAAATTAAAAATTCATTGTCAGATAAAATCACAAAGTAAAAAAGTAAAATGCGACTAATTCATTTATTTATGAATATAAACCATTTAATTTTGTTTATACTTTATTATTGTCTGTTATAATAAAACAAAAGCTGTAACATTACTGTATTTATTAAATTAAAACATTTAAAACTCAATTTAATACATAATACATGACAACATCGAACTTTTAAAAAACCATTTTTTCGGATTGTAATATTTTATTTACGGCCTTTTTTCTTTTTGTTTCCACTAGTTTCATTTTTGTTTTGATGTTGTTCAGGTCCAGTTGCTTTCATCACACGACTTTTCAATTTAGGTATTTGTACACCACAATGTTTCATTAAACTTATTCCTGAAATCAAAACATTCCATAATTCTTTTTAATACCTTAGTAGTAAATAATATTATTAAAGATTGAAATTTTATCATTATTATGTAACATCAAAGCCTAAAACATAACTATAGGCGGAACTTTAAAAGTTCTTGGTTTCATTAAATTGAATACTAAAGATAGTCTTTGATTTTAATCAACTTATCTACTCCTAATTCTTTTTAAAGGTCTAATTCTTCCCTGAGTATTCACGGTGTTCTGATTACAGATTCTGAGTGGAGCGATGAATTTATTCGTTTTACAAAGATGTTTATTTTTATTTTTTCATGTGAACACTTTCTACCAGAAAATTTACTCTGATGTAGATGATGTAGACATTTTTCTGAAAGGGAATTTTCTTGGGGTGGTACTAGGAGAGGTAACTTTTTTGATTTTTCTATGAGTTTTTTCATCAATTGTGAAAAAACAGAAAAATTAGTACAATATTAAACAAATATATAATGTCTATTTAATTATATTATCATAATATGACATATATATTGTTGACAAAAAATCATTATCAACTGAACTCTGCTCAGAATCGTTTTTAGTAAGCAATGGTTTATCGTTGTACACAGATACAAATTAATTTCCCCTCTATATCCTACCTTCTCACCAACACGGTGGCTATATTCGTCTTCATTATTCTAAGACAGGTTCTTTCAATTGTACCTTGAATGAATTTGGAATAATTTCTTATCTTTAGCAATTTTTCTTCTTAAATTATCTGAATATTTTCAAGATTATTCACATTTTTTTGGTATATTTGGTATTTGCTATCCCTACATTTGCTTTTTTTACCAAATGTAAACCTTTATTTAGTTACCTAATTACCTAAATTCATTGGGTTATTAGTTTATTAATTAATGTGTTGATTAACTAAATTTTCTTTTATATTCTATTCTAATTTACACACTTTCATCTCCAATTAAGCACAATTAGATCAAATTGAGTTATTTAATTTAATATATTATTAAAAAATATATTTTAAATTGATTATATTCTTATTTGCACATATTATAATGTAAAATGATAAAATTAAGAATTAATATAAAGAGACTGGTGAAATTGAAACTAATATTAGTAGAACCTAGTAGATTTGATACTCACTTGAAGGAAAAGTTTGGTTAACAGGTGTACCATCATCATTTTTAAGTTGTACTCTTATTCGACCACGAAAAGCGAATTCTTTGCTACATTCTCGAGAATACTGTTTATTTTCAACATCAGCGTTAAAACCAGACGCCTTGACTACCTCAAGAATTTCTTGATATGTTGGATTTTCAACTGCATATTTTTTTGGTACTACACGTCCTTCGGCCAATGTTTTTTTACAATTTAAATATGCTGGATATATACATATCCATCTAGATTAATATCAACAATAAAATTGATTAGGCATGTAACACTGTGCATTGAAAATTTGTTAAATTGAATGAATACATTACCTAGATCGATCACTTGGTTTTCTCTCATCATAAATGCTAGCCATTATTTTGTAATTTTGAAACCATTAACATTAAATTTATAAAAGTAGTTGTGATTGTGAATTTCTAATTCTTTTAGTTAACATTCAGTGTGACTGAGTGTAATGATGATATGGCAATCATTGATTACTTTTACTAAACGATACCAAACATTGTAACCAGTATACTACTTTAGTTACAGTATGATAGCAATCCGAAGAAAAGATAAGGTTGTTGATGTTTTGATTTTGGATTTTAAACTGTTTTAAGTTTTTATTTTGAATAGTTTAATTTGATAGTTTGATACATTTTAAATCTACTTTTACTGTTGTAATATATACTATTTTCGGTTATAAGTTTTATATTTTGTTCCATCATTTACAAATAATTGTTGTTTTTAAAAATTTGTTGAATAAAAATATGGCACCAATAAGTGCAGCAAAGAAGAAACAAGTATCTCAAAATGAACTGCGTTTATTAATGATAAAGCAAAAATTACAAACTCAGAAGGAGAAAAAAAATATTGAGTCGCCATTAGCCAAATATCCTTTTATTTACCTATACAATTCTAATTAGTTTTAAAACTGTATTTTTTAAGGGTTTGTGAGTATTTCTTAGTGATTTTTATTGGTATTAGATTCCTAACACAAAATCAATTTCAATGTTTTGTCATATAGTCATAATGTTTTAAATGTATTTAAAGTTTGTGAAATTTTGATTAACTATTTTTATTAAGGCGGAAGGATAATGTGGTCAATAACTTGAAAGAACTTGGAATAGAAAATGGAGAAGAACTAGCAAAGGAGAGAGATTATAGGAAGCAAGTGGTTTTTGCAGAAATAGGTCTAAATGGTCTGTAAAACGCCAAGAAAAATGTTTACTAATATTTTTGATTTTGATTATCATAAAACAATTTTAGTACCTTCATATTTTATTAAGAATTATTTATATGTATATACCTACATTTTATGGAATGAGAATGTATAGAATTAAATTATGAATCTAGGAAAAAACCGGCTAGGTAAAAAATATTAAATACATTTTACTTAAAAATCACAAATATTAGTTTTAAGTCAATAATCAAGTTATCAAATATATAAATAAGTACCTAAATAATAATATTAAATTATAAATATCATATAGTAGATATATGCTATAGCTAGTAAAAATTTGATCTATCTCCTTTCTCACTTAAATATTCTTATTTTGAGTTTATTCTGTAATTCTACATATATTTTTGTTTTTTTTTTTCGAAATGTACTCGGTGAATTTTGCACTAATTTTGCGCATCATTTATCACATTCAATCGGACTTTTGTTATTAATACCCAAATAGAAGGAGTCAATGGTCCACTGACTTCAAGAATGGATGATTCCTTTCCTCCATTTGGTTATTGGTCTGGTCACCATCATTTAATGCTATATTATGATCATTCCAAGTCATTTGACCGAATTTACATGATTAGAGGTCAATACTAGAAATCTCACTCCAATAAAAAACAAAAATTTTTTTTGTAGAAAATGACTACTAGACTACAATTTTGTCTAGTTGCTGTATTAAACTTTCAATTTTTTGATTTTCTTTGATGTTTATTGTAGTTCAAGTATTGTGATTCCATTAAATGTCGGTATAGCGAAAAAATATAAGTCTCAATAAATAACTGTTTAAATTAAATTGAAATATAAATAAATTCTAATGTATGTCTGTTCCACTAAATGTCTTCATGAAATAAATAAAATAGGAGATGAGGAAGACTGAAAGAAGTGATGGCCAATATATTATGCATAAATGATGTGGGAGATTGGGTCAAGTGGTAGTTTAGGATGAAGGTGGAAAACTCAAATATAATATGGCTTGGATAAAAAGAATATTGTTTGAAATTACATTATTAACATAAAATTCTTAACTTTCATGATACCTATACATATAGCAATGGTCAGTTATCTTGTATTTTATGTAAATTCAATATCAAAGATGATCTATCATGGAGTGATCATATAAATTCTAAGATACACAAGGAAAATATTTCTAAGCGTAAACCAGAATCATCCAGAATGACAGAAAGATTAGCAGTAGCCACTGAAAATTTAAAACGACCGTTACCTAAGCAAGAAAATATTGTACCACCAAAAAAGTTAAAAGGTATATTTGAAGATTATAATTGAAAAGTTCAATAGTTTGATGAATAATATTTATTTAAATGATTTACCTAGGTATTTTAAAAAATGTTAAAACTCCACCAGTTCCAAGTGTCCCTGTAGATTTCTTCCAAAGCCCAATATCTTCTTCACCAATGACAAATGTTGAAGAAGAAACTGAAGATAAAGTAGAGGAACAACCAGAAATTGTTGATGAAAATCTTGATAAAGGTGAACTTCCAAAAGGATTTTTTGATGATCCAATGTTAGATGCTAAAGTGAGTTTTGTGTTAATGAAGTACATAGTAATTAACAATGTTTTAAACAATGGTTAGTCCAGAACAATTTTATACAAAAGTATATTTTTCACAGATCATATTTAATATAATTAAACACATTTGTGAATTTAACATATCTAATTTTTTTTTTTAATTTTGAACTGTAGTTTTCATACTAGAAATTACAAAGTTTGTATTTTATAAACATGTTCTATATTGTTTGCTATGACCACACAGATTAGCATGTTTTTACTGATTTATGTAATTTATTTAAAAAGAACTTAATTAATTCATAGGATGGTATAATTTAATTTTTTGAATTTCACATAAATTACACTAATATGTATTTGTAAAAATTGCTTGTAATAATTTAAGTACTGTTTGGAATATTGTTAGTGCTAACATTTTTTCACTGTATTGAGTCTTAATATTCATTCCATTTATATATTTTTGATTTATTTTATTAATAATATAAAATACAATACATTTTATACTTTTATTAGATACGAAAGGAAGAATATGTCAGTTCATTAGATGAAGAATTTATGAAATTTCAAAAGGAAATTAAAGAAGAAAATATGTTGTCTGAACAGATAATGGCAGATAATGAAGATGAAGCTACTTATGGACGACAAGTAGAAGAAATTGATGAACAAATTAAAAACTGGTCAAAGTGGGTTTTATTTATTTTTCTAAATTGTTTACATTTTGACAGAAAAATTATTTAGGGTATTTTAGGCATAGCATTATTTTAGAATATTATATTAGGTAACATAATAAATAAGTAAAAATTTATTTATGACATACATAGACACACTAATTTGTGGTCAAATAGTTAGGCTCCCCAGTGGTGTTTTGGTGGATACCTATATGAAGGTTTACAGTGTGTACCCATCTACTGTTTTGTGAATTAGTAAATACCTTATAAAAATAGTACAAATACATTAAAATTTAAATAAAATTTTCGTATGAGATTTACAAATTAAGCAATCTGTATTCTGTATAATTATTTATTGAATATCATTTATCAATTATTTTAGTAAAAAGTCAGAACCGTGTAATAAGTAATTAAGATTGATTATTATCATGTATTGTTTAAAGGGTAATCGGTATAGAACTGGTAAAAAACTTCTACTGTTTTTTTAGATAAAAATCATAAATATTAGTGGTTTATTTGCAGCCTGTCAACCCCCAATCAAATAACTTCTGTTTTATGCCTAAAATAACTAAGATGGCGTACCTAGGATTTTTTTCCTGGGGGGGAGGGGTATTATTTTTAAATATGTACAGAAATCTGAAAGCAATTATGCCAAATTATAAAATAAACTTTTGAGTAAATTATTATGCAAAGAATATTTAAGTGGGGAAAGATGTATACATTTTTTAATAGCTACAGCATAGTATACTATACAATATTTATAATTTATGATTATTATTATTTACTTATTTATATTTTTGATAATTTCTTATTTGATATCTTAAAACTAATGTTTGTGATTTCTAAATAAAATGCATTTAATATTTTTTACCCTTGTCGATTTTTTACATAATGTATTTTCCTATATTTGTTATAAACATGTTTAATTATTGTGACTAGGATTATTGTAGAGATTTTTAAAAAATATTTGATTTGTTGCCACAATCACAAAGTAATACAGCTACTGCTTTAAAATATTGCCAATGCTCTTATCAATAATTCCGGCAGTTTTTTGCAAAAGCTTTCAAATTAGTTTTTCACGTACAAACTGGTCAGCTTTTTGAATGGTTGAATCTAATTAGTTTTGTGTTTATAAAATCACAATATTTGTTGCTCAAATTCATAAATGAGCTACAGTTTTTATTTTATGAAGAAAAACACTGAGGTTACCCAAAGTTAAATAATCTTATTAAAAGTTTTTTGGTCATTTCATTATTATTGAAAAATATTGATAATAGAATATCAATATCTTTCATTGTGACCATATAAAATGATCATTGACCTGTATCAATTATTATTAATAATTGTCAGTAGGCATATTTAATATGAAAATGTCTGCTCGTAAATTCGTTTTATTCATTATATCTAACAATTATCAAATATTTGTTTAAACATGAAAAATAACATTATTGAGGATCAGCATTTATTTTTATATTTTAAATTGCATTATAAACTTTTTGTTTATTATTATATTAAATATATACTAAAAATTACTGGTTTTTTAAATTTAAATTTGTTTTTTTATGTTGTAGAGTTATTGAATTGGAGAAAAAAAGAGAGAAAGTAATGGCTTCAGTTTCACAACATACAAATAGTATGGAAATTGACCAAGAAAATGAAAATTCAGATGGTTCGGACTTGGATGATTTATACATTGATTGGAGGTCAAAAAGTTAAAATAAATTAATGTACATACATAATGTTAAATACATATTTTCTAAAATTATTACAATTATTATGTATTATGTATAGTTATAATTTGTTTTTTAAATCAAATATTTTTGTGTTCATGGATAAGTAAATTCATTTATCAATTTTTGAAAATTGAATTATATTTTGCTCTGATTTTTAATATCTAATTAGACACTTGTAGTCTAAAACTTATTTTCCAGAAATCCTTATCAAAACATCAGTGTTATTATATATTTGTCTACTTTAAATTTTGGTAGATATAATCTTATTACATACAATAATGTATGTTTTTCATTTAGTTGAAAATAATACCAACCTAAAATAAATTATTAAATGGATGGAAACATTTTTATTAGTGATTTATACAGTCATTTTCTGTAAAATGGAAAAAAAAGAGCCGATATTGGCCATGGGTGTACGACTGTTGTAAGTGCAAATTGGAAAGGTAGGGAATACACAAAGTAATTTAATTTATACCTTCATGTAACGATAAACCAGTGTTCGGAACGTTCACTAAAAAAATTTCAAAAAAATCATTCATGTTCACGTTCAGTCCTTAAAAAAGGAACTCGCTTACGTTCACGTTCTTTGAAAAAATTAATGCGTTCATTAGGTCGTTCATTTAATTTTTTTTTTTTATGAATAGTTTACCTACTACACAGTATCTAAAAGTTTCACACCAATCACAAGTATAAAAATAAATTCCGTGCGTGTTCTGCGCGTCCCTGTCGTTCTGTAACTTCCAGTAATTAAATTTAAATTCGATGGTGCAGATGATAAACGATAAAGCCCATTACAGCCCATACGACCGCGTCATATCACTACACATTTACACGTTATTAATTTAATATTATATTAATAATATTAAATTATATTACTGTATTATAATTACCCGATTAAATTAGGTATACCAATTTAATACAAATTCGTGGACATAATAATAATGTTATTGTTGTTTTATGTCGAGCCGGGCCTGCTGGAATTTCACGTATTTAATTTGTATCCTATTTGTCATCAAATAGTATGTATAATAGGAATAATAATAGGAAAACCCGAAAATACTATTATTAAAATAAAATAACCAATTTATTAAATATTTTTTTCATATATTTATTTAATGGTAAATAAACTGAGCGTCCTAAAAATCGTTCCAATTCATTAAAAATATAAACGTTGTTCACGTTCTATTTGAAAAAAACGAATGACGTTCGCGTATCGTTCACTAACCATGAACGTAGGTTCATGAACGATGTTCTTTCCAAACACTGCGATAAACCATTTTTTACAAAAATGATTTGGAGTGAAATTCGGTTGTATATGTTTTAGAAAACTATAATATTTACAATTTTTATCAAAATTTGACATTCAAATTCTTATAAAAAAATAAAATACTAGCTTCATAACATTAAAATTTTTCTTTTGATCACTAAGTCTATGGCTCATAATGAACCTCCTATACAATTTTCAAGCATTTGTGAGAAAACGGTGTAAAAAAACTTGCAAAATTAAAATGTTCAAAAATGGTTAAAATGTTTTGAAAATTGTATTACGTCTATAAAGAGTAAATATAAGTTTTCTATCCAAATTAAAAGTTTCTTCGAATAATTTTAAATGAATCAAAACAAAAAACAAAATTTAAAATAATAAATGCTTTATTTTCGTAAATGTTCCCGTTCTTTCTTCCAAGTTTATTTTTTTCAGTTTTTCTCGATTATTAAAATACTACTGGGAAAATCAAAAAACACATTTCTTACTCACCAACTAGATTAAAAACGTAACAAACAAAGTCTTCTGTTGTTTTTCTATCGGAGCAATATTTCTGATATAAAACAAACAGTATAAATTTAAAATAATCAAATCGCATGACGTAAATTTATTCGTTTTTTATTTTACATCTGTTTTCGATTTTTCCCAATTATTAATTATTATTAAAGAGTTTTTTTTATACGAATATGTACATTTTTCTTTCCTTCTAATTAATAATTTTTATGAAACATTTTTGAAAAATCAAAGAATGAACACTTACAAGTATCAACAGAAATCGTGCTACACTTGATATACCAGAGCAACATTTTTAGTAGAATAATCGTTCACAGAATAAAACAAAAAAATAAATAAATATCATTGTGAACCCAATACATTCCTCGCTACACTCCGAATTTAAAACACATAAAAATAAATAAATAAACCGGTCTTGGGGACAGGTGTGCCACTTTTATAGGTGGGAAGTTGAAAATATAGGATAGGTACATAAAACGATAAAACATTGCTAACGAAAAACTATTCGGAGCGAACTTCAGTTATATATGATGTTTGCTATAATGTTTACAATTTCTGTAATAATTTGATTTTAAAATTCTTATAAAAAAAAAAAAGTACTGCATAACACTCATTTTTTTTTTTATCATTTTTAGAATAAGTGCTACATTGTATTCATCAGACCAAGATTTTTTTTTTTCGAAAAGTTGCTTACAGACACAAAAAAAAAGAACACATAAATCATAGTAAAACTTCCCTATGTTCCAAATCTAAAAGAGCTAGTGGTGTACGCCACTTATTTATGTGGGAAGGTAGGATATAAAAAGTTTTAAACAAAAACATTAAGCCCGACTTTTTTGTTTAATCCTTTTTACAGCTTATATTGAACCCCGTGTAAAATTGTCATACATTTCTATTTGGGTAAACATTTCTACCTATATGTAAAGTATAATGCAATGTTCTGAAACCTGAAAAAAAGTTTGGTCCTGTTCAATTTTTTTTTTTTTTTTTTTTAAGAATTTCGAGAACAGTGCTCTATGAGTACTCTATTTTATATTATTTTTTTAAAACTATTTTTAATGTATTTAATGATTAACACAATTATTTCTCTTGAAAATATTGTTGAATGAATTACGATTTTTCATAATATTATGTAAATATTTTTACCACCTAAGTTTTCTTTTAAAATATATTTATAAAATATCTATCTTGGATTTTATAATTAAATTATTATTATTTTTTGGTCTTAAAAAAAAAAATATATATATATATATACAATAGAGCAACCATAGCGCAAGTAATTATCACAAGAAAAAAAATATTGAACAGAATAAAAGTTTATTTAGATTTTATATAATCGTGTTATAACTGGCTGTATAACACAAAATAAAAAAAAAAAAAACTTTAAAATGTCAAAGGCCTATAAATTGCTCAAAAATCGATAGAACGTGTATACCACGGCTGGACAAGGCTAATATAATAAGTAGATATTCTGTGAAAATTTCAAGTCTATGATTATTTTTAACCAAATTACAAAAAAAAAAAAAAAATTAGAAAATAACAAAACAGTTATTTCGGTAAATGTTCTCGTTGTTTGCTAGTTCCTACGTTTTTTCCCAATTATAAACAAAACTACATAGATTATTATTAAACCAACGTTTTACGTACCTATTAATTATAATTCTTTGACACTACTTTTTTTTCAGTTGCTGCTCTTCAAATTTAGAACAAGATTTCTGGTACAGAAAAATAAAATGAAAAATAATGAACATTATCACTGTAATTTTCTCCGTTTTTTTTTTGGGTTTTAAAATTACCTAGGTACTATGAAAACTATCTGAAAAAACAATAAACGGTTTTTCCAATGCACCTACTAGATCCAATACGCTACAAAAAATCTTTAGTCATTTTTTGATTAGAGCAAGATGTTTGGTAAACATTTAGAAAGAAGTTATTTACAGACAGGAAAAAAGTATACATCATTGTAAAACTTATATATTTATAGGTTGTTTTATTCGCTGCACAATCTAAACATTGAGTCCGTTTTGATAGATGTAAATAATTGGATATATTTCAATAGACAACGAATTGTCTAGTGAGTTTACTCAGAATTGGTTTTTGTTTGCAATGATTTACTTAACTAGAACCTAATAATAAATCAGTGGTCTACCCACGATGTGAAGAAATATCTCCTAAAACTTCTTTTAGTTTCTATTTTCAGAAAAACATTGCACTACATAGAAAAGAGTCAGATATTTTATTCACACCGAGGGTTGGTCACTGTATTCGACACTGTATTGAATCGTGACTTCGAGAGTATCATCGTTATTTAATAATAATTGTATAAATCCGGTACCCACACATTACACAATATAAACACGACGGTATCGAACAACACTGGCTCGCAGCGGGCAGTCGTCGTTGGACGATAATAATCGAATTTGCTCGACAGAAACGGACCGTCTTAAAATAAAATAATTTATTGTATATATCGTAAGTATTATGTATGTATAGCAAGAGCAAAGAAAAAAGCATAATCCTCGGCCGTGAAAAATTATTCCGATGCGGTTTCGCGTGACGGTATTATAATTTTTTTGCCGTAAAAAATGTAATCCGACAAGATTGCGAAATTTCCATTATGTACCTGTTTTGTGTAAAAAATAAAAAAAACTCGTTTGAATTTTGGCAAACCGTACGTGAATCTTACGACGATGGTTTTATTTTTATATTTTTATTGATTTTTTTTTTTTAATCCAACGAAATTCGTAATTTCGGGTTCAAGGACTCGGGAGTTCCAATAATAAAGCGCACAAATATATTATATAAGTACTTACGAGGAGTCGAGGACTCACTCAGGTTGTAGATAGACGCTCTCATAAATGTTATTATTGGCATTGTTAAATTTATTTTTGGATTCAATTGGATCTCATCCTCCAATAGTTGATGGTTATATTATTTCTTGTGGTAATAATTTTTTATTATAATAATATGCGTAAGGGACCTGGAAGGGGATATTTATTCTTTGAAAACCAAACACCCCCCCCCTTGAATCTACAACTGTAACATACAGTGACTAAAGGGTATAAACTGTAAATACGGATATTGGACTAGAAGTTTATTGAGGGTTCATATCTCCAGCATCCATACAATAGAGATTATTGAAAAAACCCGGGCCGATCGATTGTATCAGTTTGTACCGCAAATTTTATCGTTTGTACCGAAAGCAC